ATCGCGAAGATGGGACTCCTACAGAACCGACGGCAGTTAGCACCATGAAATCCAGGTTACGCGTCCGCCCCAGAGAAGAGGCGGTGAGAGAACAAGTTGGCGACACGCGATCATCAGCCTGAGAAGCAATACTGCTTTGGAATCGTGAAGCAATGCGAATCCAAGGCATCCCACGTGTGTAAGTGCTCGCAAGGCTGAGAGACGTCGGCACCAGCAATTGGAGACTTGGCCACCGCCCGGGAGCCCATCTGAGGGCTCTGGATGCATCGGCATCACCGGCAGCGGCCAATTCCATCGAAACAAACCTCATCTTGCCTTGATCCGGGCCCCGGAGAGCCGGTCCATGGACGCGTTCGGGTCGAGTCGTGGCTGGATCAGCGGGCAAGATGCAAGGCCACAGGGCTGCGGGCGGCAACAGCGAGTGCAAGGAGACGACAGCGACTTACCAGTGATCAATCAATGACCCGTGGCACTAGAATGAATGACGGGAGCCCACAGGCTCGTTCGGGCGAGTCTGGCGATGTTCCGGTGGGCGGAAGGGCCACGAGGGTTGAGGTGTCGAGAGACGGCCGGAGGTGACAAAAATGCGCTGGTGGAGAGAGGCAGGAAAGAATTGGAGGCAACGGGGCGGAGGGCCGAAGGCTCGGCCGGCGTGTTTGTACCCAAGCCAAGCCCTGTTGGGGTGGTTTGGCGCTCTGCTGACTGCTGAAGCCACTAGAGACTGCTGCAGTCACGTGGCTGGCTGGCGCTCGCAACCTCAGAACCTTGGAATTTCTGCCTCTGGGGTGCTATATCTTCTGACAATGTCAGAAATTGCGAAAATCGCCAGAGGCAGAGCTTCTGAAGATATAAGGGAAATAGGTATGGAATTTCGGTAGAAGTTCAATAGAATGTGGATATTGATTGTGTATTGTTGGTTTAAATTTGTGGTCTTTGCTGAATGCACTTTGGAAGCGTTATGATCCCAAAGTGAGAGAAGAGTCAATTGCAGGTGTAAGCAGCTTAAAGTGTAAGGTTGGGGGGGATGCCCCAAGCTTTATAGTCCCCATACAAGCACCTGATTCAAGAGCGACTAATTCTATTGTGCTTTCCTATTATTTACTTCGGGCTATGTTGATATGGAAACAGAGAAAAAAGGCTGAACAAGGCTCACGATATTGAGTCGCGCGTAGATACCAGAGGCTGTAAAAGTCCCGTGTGGGAACTATCAATACCGCCACTAGATAGTAAACACAGTAATTGTACATAAGGACCATGAAAGGCTCAACTTGAAGGCTCTTCTTCATATTAGGGCGCCGAGTTTTCGCAGGAAGCTTCGCAATTACTCTCATCGTGGTGGCCCGGCCACAAGATGTCCAGTCATCAACTGGTGTTGTGGTGTTATGGTGTTCATCTGCAGAAAAAACAAAACAATAAATTATGAGGCAATTGTGTTGACGAAAAGTGACATATAGAAATTAAATAAAGCTAAATGCAGAGGGAGGAGGAGGAGGAGGAAGAGGAATAATCATCGAATGGGAGTTTGGGTTCATTCATGCGTGCCAGATTCAAACTTTTGGTATCACCAGAACAAAGCCCAAGTGGATGGAGTTTACAAATCTGCAGGCGACGAGCATCTGTATGGAACACTCAATACACACTTTTATTGTGGATCTGTTGCGAAACTGATTTCTACCAGGCTTTTGTCCTTGACTTGATGTTCCTTTGTAGGTTGTTTAGGCACTTGGGAATCTTCAATGCTCCAAGAAGAGCTTCTGCATGATACCTAACTCGGATCCTGTCAGATCTTGATACTACAGTACTGACAAGATAGCGCCACAACTCATTCAAGGTCCCTTTGCCCGCTAAATCCGCAGCGCAGGTACATCTCTCCAGCGCCACAGCTAACATCCAGCCAGCTGCCCTTCCCCAGAAAGGCCTCCACCCCAGTTGCCCTGCCCCGCCATTCACAGGGCGAGAAAAATTGATGACCACACACCTTGCTGTCCAGAGCTAAAAGTTGCCCACTCTCCCCGTCTGATTTTTCCTTTTTGCTTTGCACGATCCAGCTCAGCTTCACGCGCGCCACCGCCTCGTTGCAGATCCTGTCCAACAGTTCGCAGCTGAGATTTGCAGCTCTTACGGGGGCCACCGAGTCGAATCCATTGCTACCCTAGACGGTCATCCGACAGACAGTCTTCATCATGGCGGACAAGCTCACCCGGTATGTACCAGCGACGAGATATATTAATTAGCCTTTGCTCTATCAGCTGTCGTGTCGTGTCACGGCTTGGGATCTTGGACGTGTTGCTAACTGACGGCTTCTAGTATTGCCATTGTCAACACTGACAAAGTGAGTCACGATGAAATTCTGCATACCCCGCCGACCACCCCGCTATCAGCCAGGTTTGCTGACCATGGCCTCTCCGAATAGTGTCGTCCTCGCAAGTGTCGTCAGGAGTGCAAGAAATCCTGCCCTGTGGTTCGCAGTGGAAAGCTCTGTATCGAAGTCACTCCTGAGTCTCGCCTTGCCTTCATCTCCGAGTCGCTGTGTATCGGTTGCGGTATCTGCCCCAAGAAGTGCCCCTTCGACGCCATCACCATCATCAACCTGCCCACCAACCTCGAGAGCCAGGTCACCCACCGCTATGGTCCCAACAGCTTCAAGCTCCACCGTTTGCCCATGCCGCGACCTGGCCAGGTTCTTGGTCTCGTCGGAACCAACGGTATTGGTAAGAGTACCGCGCTGAAGATTCTCAGCGGAAAGCTCAAGCCTAACTTGGGCCGCCACGACAACCCCCCTGACTGGGAGGATGTCATCAAGTACTTCCGTGGTTCCGAACTCCAGAGTAAGTAGATGAGATCCCACCCAGGATAAGCTTCATTACCCAAGCCGTATTTTTAACATCAACTCAGACTACTTCACCAAGCTTCTGGAGGACGACCTCAAGGCTGTTGTCAAGCCCCAGTATGTTGACCAAATCCCCAAGGCTGTCCGCGGCCCTGAGAAGAGCGTTCGAGCTCTTCTGCAGAGCCGCTCCTCGCTCGGCAACATGGACCAAGTGACCAGCGTCCTCGAGCTGGACCACATCATGGACCGTGACATCACCCTGCTCTCTGGTGGTGAGCTTCAGCGTTTCGCCATTGGTACTGTCTGCGTCCAGAAGGCCGATGTCTACATGTTTGACGAGCCCTCTTCGTATCTCGATGTCAAGCAGCGTCTGAGTGCTGCCAAGATTATCCGTTCGCTGCTCCGTGATGATGACTACGTCATTGTCGTCGAGCACGATCTGTCTGTTCTTGACTACCTCTCCGATTACGTCTGCGTTCTCTACGGAAAGCCCGCCATCTATGGTGTCGTCACCATGCCTCACTCCGTTCGTGAAGGTATCAACATCTTCTTGGATGGTCACATCCCCACGGAGAACTTGCGATTCCGTGACGAGTCTCTTCAGTTCCGTCTCGCCGAGGCTACCGATGACTTTGCCATTGACAAGTCCCGTGCCTTCAACTACCCCAAGATGGAAAAGACGCTCGGTAACTTCAAGCTCAGCATCGATGCGGGAGAGTTCACTGATTCTGAGATCATCGTCATGATGGGAGAGAACGGAACTGGCAAGACCACTTTCTGTCGTCTTCTTGCTGGTGCCCTCAAGCCTGATGGCAGGAGCTCTGTTCCTGACATGAAGATCAGCATGAAGCCCCAGACCATTACTCCCAAGTTCGAGGGTACTGTTCGCCAGCTGTTCTTCAAGAAAATCAAGCAGGCCTTCCTGTCTCCTCAGTTCCAGACTGACGTCGTCAAGCCTCTCAAGCTCGATGATTTCATTGATCAGGAAGTCAAGAACCTGTCCGGTGGTGAATTGCAGCGTGTTGCTATTGTTCTTTCCCTGGGCATGCCTGCTGATATCTACCTCATTGATGAGCCCTCTGCCTATCTTGACTCCGAGCAGCGTATTATCGCCTCTCGAGTCATCAAGCGTTTCATCATGCACTCCAAGAAGACTGCCTTTATCGTCGAGCACGATTTCATCATGGCCACCTATCTCGCCGATCGTGTCATTGTCTTCGACGGTAAGCCCGGTATTGACTCTCACGCCAACAGACCCGAGTCTCTTCTCACTGGCTGCAACACCTTCTTGAAGAACCTGGATGTCACTTTCCGTCGTGACCCAAGCAACTTCCGTCCTCGTATCAACAAGCTTGGCTCTCAGCTGGACCAGGAACAAAAGATGAGCGGCAACTTCGTAAGTGACATGGATCTAACTTTGTGTGTTTCTAACGCTCCGATGCTAATGTTTCCATTTTACAGTTCTTCTTGGAGGAGAAGCCCGAGGAAAGTGCCTGAAAAGGGCAGCCACGATCAGAACCAACGTGATGCATTTCCAGACATTTGTGGTATCCATTCTTGTACTCCGCTTGTAATTCGCAGAGATGGTGGAGACGGCCATGAGGTTGGACTACAGATTGACGGCGTCGGCGAGGATGACGACCCAGATGAATGACAATGGCGACGGCAGCCTATCCCCTGTTGTCTGGTCCTGCGGAAATGCTTGATGGCGGTACGCTACACGTGTGTACCGTCGACCCAGAGCGCATCCGCAGATAGAGGGACAATGGATCAAGCAGGATGACTGTCGTCAAGTTTCCTACCTCGCGGGAAACTCTTCATAGCTACCTGTCAAGTTACAGAATAAAAGAAATTGATTTGGATCGTTACAAAACTAGATTATTAACGTAGCACAATGGGGGCGTGTGAAGATGAGAGAAAGGAGAGAATCACAGTAAGCACTTTCTTTTTTCAACTACATGAATTAAGCGAAGCAATTCTCGTAAACAAGCCTGTCCTGACTACGACGTTCAGATCTAGTCATATGTGTAAAAAAGCTACATAATTTTCTTACATTCCGGAGAAGGGGGGCAAAAAAAAAAAACGGTGGCGGAAACAGCCGGCAACAAGAGCAAAAGCTTACTGGCCAGACAAGAGCAGAGTGTGAGAGCAATCGGGCTTGAGGACTCGATTATTCTTCAATCTCACCCTCTTCACTGCCGCTTCGAACATCCTTGGCTGGTTCTGGGGACCTGTTGCGTTGACGTCCATCACGAGGGGGGGTGCGCTCACGTGATCGATCTCTCCTGAGTCTCTGTGTGAAGTGTGAGAATGATGGGGCTTTAATTTGAATGTGGATGAGGGTGATTGTACACGTACCTTTGAATCCCTGGAATCCCGACGGGCGTAATCGTCTTCCTCTTCTTGTCGACGGCGTCGAGGGGCTGCTGGGCGTTCATCTCCATAGGGGAGCTCATCATACGAACCTCGATCAGCGCGACGGCGGTAGAGACGCTCTCTCTCGTCTTCCCGGTCTCTACGCTCGCGGTCATAGAAAGCGTCGTCATCGCGCCTTGGACGAGCGGGACGGTCAAGGTCTCGATCTCGGTCGCGTTCACGATCGCGCTCACGGCGTGATGGCGGCGGCGATAGACGACCACGGTCAGTTGATAAGAGGTTCTCTGCCATGGTCGACTTGCGATGGTTTCGCTCACGCTCAGCAATTGCCTTTCGCCGGTCCGCCTCGTATGCGTCGGGCTCCGGACTACGGCTGCGCCGACCACCACGCCCGCCACCGCGATGTGAACGTTCGCCACGAGATCGGTCTCTTTCACGTCTCGAAACCTCTCTTTCCATAGAGGGTCGTTCGTGACGTCGGTAGGCACGATCGGCTTCATCCTTCTCGCGTAACCTGCGGAGATGTTTTTCAAAGGCACTTCGTCGGAATTCTTCCGAAGTGACGGCCTGGAATTCGTCTGATTTCAGTAGTCTAGGTCGTACCTTTTCATATGTATCGCTCAGCGTGACTGGCGGCTCCAGACGCTTAATATGCGCACGAAGATCATCAATGGCCCGACGTTGCTGTCGATCCGGCTGTCTATCATCTTCGCGCTTCGAGGCGCGCTTCTCACGCAGCTGATTGGGAAAGCACGTTAGCATGGTCTAAGAACCCAGAGAGCGGATGGCTTACGCGATTGAAAATAAGTTTGAGCGTGTCACGATCAATGTTAGCCGTACGGTGATCATCTTTCATGATGGACAGAAACTCCTCAAGATCACTAGTTGGGGTGAGTTCAAACCGCTTATCCTATCCAACGAGTCAGTATGTGTCATATCAAAAAGGCTGAGCCAAACAACTTACTTCGAGGACATCGAGTACTTCATTACGAGGGCCGCGAAGCGACCGCTCTTCCTCTTCCACCACATCCCAAAATAGCTCTTGAGGGGTAGATCCGACCTGACCAACCATGTTGAGGTAGCGTTCGTCGCTCTCGATAAGAGGAACAATCTGACTCCATTTGGTGCCGGCGTTGATCTTGCCCTCTTTGCGGAGGGAATCTAGTAGAGATTTGAAAGCATCTCTGGCCTTGCGTTCCTTGCGGAATCTTCGACTCTTCTCCTCCTGTTTAGACTCAATGAAGGCTCGCTCCAAACCTTTCATGTGATTTTGGAAAGCAGTCAATATGTCAAATTGACTGAGGGTTCTATACTTTTCATTTTCTTGGAGAGTCGGGGTGGCAGAGATGATATCTCTAGCATCCGCCCAGCGAGTGTAAGGCTCGAGATTGAGCTTGGGGAGCAAGTCGATCAGGCCGTCCATGGCACTCTTCTTCTGGCTAGCCTGCTGTTCTTTGTGAGCCTTCTTAAGTCCGATGATATACTCCTCAAAGAGCTGTCGGCGCTCGTCCTCATCATTGGTGGAACGGAAAATGGTCTCTCCTTCGATCATGGGTCGAGCCGTCTTCCATCGAGTGTAGTGGGTGATTTCGGGGTGCCGCTTCAGCATCGTCTCGAAGTCACCACGCAATTTGGTCAGCCTCTCTTTGGCACGCTCTTTGTCTTGGAGGATGACATCCTGGCAGTACTTCTCGAAGGCTTCTTTTCTGTCTTTTGGGTCCCTGATAGCCCGAAACTGCGGATCCCGAGCAATGGCACGAATGGTCTGCTCCCAAGTCCAGTCCGGCTGGACGCCGCTTCGTTTCAGCAGTTTAACAAAGGCTGCCTCGGCCTCTTCGAGAGTGGCATATTCTGGGTCATTCGTGGCGGGGACGAAGGCTTGCTGTGACTTGGATTCATTTCCATACGTCAACTGGCGAGATTCGGGGAAGGGTTCTCGAGCGTCACGGGCATCGCGAGAATCGCGCGAATCGCGTTGATAGTCGTGTCCTGTAGCTGGATAACCGCCGCCCTGCGTGTATGGAGTAGTCTGGGGAACGGGGTTGCTCGGCCCACCAGTCGAACCTAGAGCCTTTTTGTATGCTTCAGGCATTTCCCAAGAGCTCTGCTGCGTCTCGGTATTGTACCAATACTTGCGACCCCCTTCTGCGGTATACTCTTTCCATGGTTGGGACTGCAGAGCGCGCTGTGGGAAAACGAAACAACTTTAGCACCGTTTGGACTCGAGTTGAGTAACCAGCGGTTTGAAGACACTGGAGAAAGAAAGCCACAACTCACCTCTGCCGGGCTCATCATCTCCTCCGGTTTGGTCCATTGCGTCACCTTGGTAACATTGTTGTAATAGTAGGCTCGGCCTTCAGGCGTCTTGTGCTCTTGCCAGGCCGAAGCCGGCTGGGGGAAAGGAGGCGCGAAGCCGTTCATCCTGCAGGCGCTGGAAATTGTGCCCTGAAGCGTCGCAGAGGAAATGATGCTCGCGATCAAGGTCTTGGGCGCGTCTCAATGAGCGCAGGCGACGTTGATGGCGAAAGCGATGCTGGCCTGAAGCTGCGTTGTACCAAAATTTTGAGCGAAGCTTGGGTGCAGCAATTGCGCGAGACACGCATCGTTCCAGCGCACGGACCACCTCGGGGAGTTCGTATGCAACTAACCGGGTTCCGCACAACCGGGGGGCTGCAGCTGGAGCGAGTCTGTCAACGCTGGAGCTTACTGTAGTGGAATCTAAGTGAGCTGGTCATTTCATTATTAGTACCTACTGCCTGTTATTACTATTGTATTATTCTTATAATTCATGGTATTATTATTATATTTATGAGAGTACAACTACCTAATCTCCTGTTTTTCCTTTTTTTATTCCGTCATGTCAGATCGCAATCCCTCCACGCCTGGACAGCTGCCTCCTGTTCAACTAACCATATCCACCACCAATGCGGCAACTGACCTCATCAACAACTCTTACCTGACATATCTCGTACCGGCTGAGACCAACATTGATTTGGAAAAAGCTCTTGAAGGCTTTGACGGCTCCAAGACTATATCCGAATTGATAGAGCAGAGAGACACGTTATTTTTCGGTACGGAACTACTGCCAGCGCATACCTCACCGCTCATGAAGTTTGGTCACTAACATGGACTCACATGAAGATGAAACTGTCGATGTCTTGCTGGTTCTCAAGACACCATGGCTCCCGCGGAAAGAGTTGGACTACCATCTTAGCAGAATAAGTATATCGTTAGAAGCCCAGGTGGCCAATGGCGCTCTCCCTGGCCGCGACTCCCCCAACTCTTCGGAGAGCATCTTCAGCGGGAGGTTGAAGGAGACAAAGAAGCCGTTCATCATCGAAGACAAGAGGGAAGACGGGAGCGATGTCGAGGATGAGGAGGAGGAGGAAGAGCCGCCGCGGTATGTGTATGCCATGTGGAAGCTACCCGTGCTCCTCGTAAGGCCCCGGATGCGCCTTCACAGCCCTGCGGTCGTCTTCTCAGCATCCGCGAGCCTCGACCCGGATCTCTGGACCGAGCCCGTTGCCCCGGACGTCGGCTATCTCACAAGCGGGATGCCGTCGGGCTTCAACCTGCTTGAGTCTTTTAACAACGATTTTGCCCTGAACGGCGTCAAGCCGCGGCTGTCGGCGCTGCGAGTATCGAGAGTGGCCCCCGTCACCCGGCAGCAGGACTTCATGACGCGCCTCCGGACGCTGCCGCAACTGAGCATCAAGGTCTTCCCGGTTCTGCACACGAGAATACGCTTCTCTCGCCCTAACACGATACCCCTGAGCCGAAGCATCGTCGCCCTCCTAGAAATCGACTTCACTTCCCACTTCGAATGCGAGGCTCTCCTGAACAGCATCCGGCTTTCATCCCCTAACGGCACTGTTGAGAATCTGAATGACGAAGCCGGTCTCAGCCTTCCCCTCAGCTGTGTCTCGCACGACCATATCACGCTTCTCTATCATATCAAGCCCCAGCAAACCGAGACCACCCTCCCCAGAGACACCTCGGGAAGCCTTGAAATCTCCATCGCCGCCTCCGTTCTCGTCGTGCCGGGTGTCTGCACCCCCAGCCTTACCATGAGCTGGACCACTGCCCTCGACTTCTCCCTGCCCGTCAACCCTAGCTTCGGCACGGCGTCGGAATCCGGCATCCAGCGCGCCCACCGTCCGACGCAGCTCTCCATCGGCAGTGTGGCCCAGGTCATCACACACCTAAAATCCCCCTCAGCCATCCGTCCAGACTCCCTGCCCACGCTCGAAGCGTCCACCAACCGCACCGAGGCCTCCATACCCGACCTCGGCATCACCATGTCCTTCACCGCGCCCTCAACCCCCGTCCACCCAGGCGACATCTTCTCCTGGACCGTCTACGTCGTCAACCGCTCTTCCGACAAGGCCAATAGCCGCCCACCGCGCAAACTCGCCCTCGTCGCCGTGCCCAAGCGCCGACGCAACGAAGTGCGGCCAATCCGTCCCCCGTCCAGCAGCGGCCGACGCCGCGGAGACAAGGAAATCGCAGACGCAGTGCTGGACGAGAACGTGATCCACGCATTGCAGAAGAGCGCCACGCTCGAAACAACGGAGCTTATCTGTCTCAGTGCCGATACACGCGTTGGCCCTGTGGCGCCAGGCGCATGCCACGTCGTGGAGCTGCAGTTTCTGGCATTAGGAGAGGGCGTCGTTGGTCTTGAAGCCATACGGGTTGTCGACTTGGGATCACAGGAGCACGTCGACATTGGAGATTTACCAACCATGATAGTAGAGCCCTTGGCAGCCGCCGCTTGAATTTAGCTACACATCTTTTCACATTTTCTCCTTCTTTTCCAACCTCACGCCCCATCTTGCTCCCACCATGCTAATAATGATGTACACAAAATAATGCCTACATGGGCATGGTGCCCATGTGTAATAAATACTTGTTTCCATGTTATTGTACCATCATGCTTAATAACGCCGTTGCCACACGCCCTGCGTTTTCTTTCCCACTGAAAACCAAAAGTCATCAACATTCCATACAGTAACACCCCAGGGATATAATAGTATAATGCACGTAATCACTAGGCTCGCCAGAATGCATAAGAAATTTCCCATCTCATAAATCATCAAAGTCGTCATCCCATCCAAGTCTCTCAAAAATAGACACGCTCTTCCCCTTTGACTCCTGCGACTTCGTCTGAGGGGTCGCATATAAATCAAGCCGCTGCTGCGTAGTTTTCTTGATAGGCGTCTCCATCAAGTCGGGAGCATCATATATGGTTCTCGCAGGTTTAACCACGCTATCCGTTATAACGAAATCTCCAGGCGCCCGCGTTCTCTGTACGGCGGGGGAGGAAGGGGGATATGCTGGCTGTTCATTCACAGGTCGGCGTATGAAGCTGGGCTTGGCCGAAGTCTTTGTCGGTGTATCGCCTATTGCATCTGTCACGGGAGATGGGCTGCGCTTATACAGCTCCCTGAGAGTAGGCCGTTTCCCTGTAGATGGAACAAAGGCCGTCACGCTGGAAGGGGGGATTAATTCATCAAAGCTCTCTGAGAATTTTTGACCCTCTGCCAGCTTGGCAGGCATCATGTTCTTGAACCGATTGTTTGCTGGTGTGGCCTTGACCTGAATAGCTGAAGCTGGGTTGCTCCTCGGGGGTGCCCTTTTCAGTTCTAAAAGTATCTCGTTAGCATTTTCATGCTGCACACCTCTCAAGTTGGGGGAGGCTTGAATTACTCTTGGTGGCTAAACTGGCCGACGTTCTACGCTCATCTGCCTCGGCCATTGCCTTGCTTACAACCTCGCGGTTAGGCTTCCTCAGGGCTGAAATGGCCTCTCTAAGCTCAGCGTCTACCTCGGCCTTTTTACTGGCTCTGGCATCAAACAGATTATTCATGCTGCTGCTTCGAGACAGAGAATGGTTCCTTCTGTGAGAGTCGGGAAGCAATGACATGGGCCCTGATAGATCCAAGCTCTCCCGCTTAATGGTCGGAAGGGTAGTGGAGGTGGCTGATCGCAAAAGAGCAATGGCATTACTGGGACCCCTTGAAATACTTCTTCGGTTCTGCTGTTCCGTGGAGAGGGCCCGCTGCAATGTCTTCCGGGCATTCGGGGGTTGAGGCCGCTTAGCTGCAGCACCAGGTCTCTGGTCTCGCATGCCGGAAGGTTTCTTCATAGACCTAGACTTCGCCGGGGCTATGATCACAGGACCTCCCAACTTGCGGTTAATTGAGTCGCAAAGATCAGGCAAGCGTGCAGAAAAGCTAAACCAGGGTCAGTGTCCAATTATTTCGAGGATTCGATATCAAGTCTTACAAAGGCATAATAACATCGACGCAAAAGTCTCTCAGAGGTTCAGACGATGCTTTCTTTTCTAGGCCGCCATCCAGTGGTGTTTGCAAAGATGGGGCGTCTTCAAGCAGCAGCTGCTCGTCGCTCGCCGTTGATTGCCAGATAGTTAGCCGATCGGCGTGGACATCAAGCAGCACCGGAAGATTGTGCTTGTTCCTCTTCTTTGGCTGAGGATGCAGGGCATTCTCCAGCAGGTCTCCAGAATCGGCAGCCCCAGGTAAAGTGGGCAGACTTGCCTCGCCGCTTTCACCAGCAGCCTTGAGGGGTTCCAAGGCAAGGATCTCCATGATGAGTATCATTTGCAGCTTGGTCTCCCTCGTTCGTAAGATAGAAACATGAGACTTGACTTGTGACGAGACGATGGCAGCTTCATCGTTCGGTTCCGGCTTGTTCGCTGCCCACCACCGCATGACGCTCTCATCTTCCAGCGGATACAATCCACTTTTACCAAGCTTCATCCTCTTGGGCTTGCGCTTGCGCTTGCGGCCTTCATCGGAACTCTCAACACGGTCCTTGAGCTTGGTAATAATTTCGGGGATTGTTTCGCGATACTTTTTGTCGATCTGAACGGTTGTGAGGATTAGACTCTTTAAGAATTCAATCAGATCGGCCATGTCCAAGTTAGATTCCAGGTCCAAGTGGAAAGTCGATCGAGCTCGTGATAGTGGTCCTTTGGCAAAGTACGCAAGAGATCCCTGCGTCTGTGTGAGCAACCGTCAACAGCACTAGAGGTCCGTACGTATAGGCAACATACCATGGACTTGTACAGCGCATCGAAATAATGAGTTCTGATGCTATCAAAAATATCATCTGCGCCCTGAATTATGGGAGCGGGATTGGTTTGGTCCTCAGATCCCGGCAGCGGAACCTGTTCCAAGCTCATGTCTGGTGATGGCAGCTGCGACAATAAGGATTCGGGTTCCAGCGATTCTTCCTCTTTGGTCAAATTTCCAACAGTCGAAACAGACTGTGATCTCACACGCTTCCTCATTTGAGACTGGATAGCTTCGATGGCAGCCCTCTTCTTCTTCTGCTCGACATGCAGCTGAGGGGTTGTAAGCGCTTCGATATCGGGGCGCTCGACTCGCTCCGCCTTCAAGGGAGAAAGGCGCTCATATCTAACAGCGGTAGCCTTTTGCGCCAGACTCTCCAAGTCTGCCCATGACGCCAGCTTGCAAAGCACGTACAGCCCATTGGACTGTCGCTCCAAGGCATAGGTGGTGCCCCTCAATTCATTGCGCGCAATGAGCACAATGGGCGCAGGCCCCAGTCGACTTTCGAGATCGAGGATGTGGATGTAGGATTCGTAAAACCGAGACTGCGGGAAATCGCCGTTGGAAGCTGCAAAGTCTATATACGCCAGCGGCAGGTGTTCGCGAGGCAGAAGCATCAACGGATGCAGAACGCGGGGCGGAACATGTAAATTAGGCGGATGCGGCTATGGAAAGTGAAAAACAAGTCAGCAAACCCGGCAATATCAGACCTGGGAGCCTGATTCACCTTTACAGCAATCGACGGCTTGAGCAGCTGCTCCATGGTGACGACCACCCCCGATTTCCTCGCATCGCGGCGCGGCGAAGAAGCTTCATGGCGGTTCAAGCTACCTTCGGAAGTGGGCGTCAAGATGCCGGACCGCGCACGCGACGCGTCTTCCAAGGCGTCGAGGAACGCGGACGAGGACATGGAGAGCTGGCGATCATTCACGAGCTGGCATTATTGAGGGAAGAGGGAAGTTATAAGGGAGTAGAGAAAGGAAATAAATCAAAGAGGCTGCCAGAAACACGCAAAAGGGAGCCTCGAACGCTTCTCAGACGCCGTATTGAAGGGATGTTGTTCTGCCCTTTCTTCAATGGGAAGAGGTGGGGCTGCTGCAGAACGCGTTTGCGTGCTCTTCGCTAAACAAAAGCTAAGCATAAGGCTGTGACGTCGTTGGACTGCCGCTTTATTTTTCCTTTCTTTTTCCCCCTTCCTTTTTCTGCACCCATGTATTAACCCTGACCCTGGAAGTTGTAGTCTACAATCATGTGAATTCGTACCTTTTCTTTTTTCCTACCTATGTACCTAAATTTTGTTGGAAAATGTACTAAATTCGATGCATACCAACTCTGCCTAGTAATACCCATAGTAATTAAAAACTTGATTTGATGAGATTGTTCAGCTGTTCCTAGTGGCGCAAACCTTTTATAAGTTGTTCAACTTATAGTCAGCTCCTAATGGCTAACAACTTGGAAGTCATTGATTGGCTGTGTATTCGATTGACTTTCAGACCGCGGCATCAGCCGACCTACCTGTGTACCTTAGTACTAGGTACCTACCTAGTAGAGTACATCATAAATACAAAGGCCAACATGAAAAACCTCGCGGGTGACTGCCGCATATCTACGAGTACATGCATCTATATCTACCTGCCTGTTCCAAGCTAACCGCCGAGTTCACGTTGAGAATACTCGTATTTAGTCCGTAAGCGCCGAAATCGGGACTTGCAAATCAAAGGCAGCATATCCACACAAAGGAGCAAGGTTATTCTGAAATTGGTATAGATACTTCATATTTTGCTATTATTTAACTGCAAAAGGTCACATAGTATGCGTAGTTATCTCGTCGCACTTCCAATCACTTCTAACCCCGGGGTATTTCAGTCCCAATCCCACGCCAGAGCGCCAAACATGGACAGAGGTGTCTCCAATGGAGGCACTAATCATGCAGGATCCAACAGCACCGGAGTCATAACAAAGGAAAAACCAGGTCCCCCAGAAAAAAAAGCTGCTTCCATAGCTCAAAACTAGAAACCAAAATGCCGCTCCTCATACAGTCCAATGCTAATGTATATGCTAACCGCTAGCCCAAGCCTTACAAAGGAAAGAATAAACAAAGGAAAAATGACAGCCACGGCCGTTTATAGTATACATAATTGCAGACACAACTCTCAAACGAGGGAGTGTGCAATATGGCAGTTAGCCAGATATAAAAGAAAACTGAGACGTGCCTTGCGCATCTAGTTCTTGGTAGTGTTGTGCTTGCTTATCCAAAAATTTAAAGCATGCTCATAGATGAGTTATAGGGCATGCCAAACTCTGGAGCTGACTCGCCGCTGTTTGGTGAAAAGGACCAATTGTAGTCAGAGTTGTCTGCGTAGCCAGAGAAATAACCAGCACCCATTTGGTAAGGAAACATGGGGGTTGTAGGCTGACTAGAGCAAGCCTTGATACTAGCATCATAGTCTGCTGCCGTTCCGTGAATTGACGCATCAAGATCGTCGGAATATGACCTCGCGCCAAAGTTGCCCATCGCGTAGGAGGCACCGTTGTTATGGAACACAAAGTTCTCCAAGAAGGCCGGTGTCGTCGGTGGCGTGCGCAAGGTAGGATCTTGAATCAGAGCCGACGACGAGTACTTGGTAGTGAGAGGGAACAGGCCACCGTTGGCATTTTGTGGCTCTGTGACGACGGGGGTGTTTGGCGTGGGCGGTGCCGCTGAGCCAGGGGCCATTGGTGAGCGATTTCTTTGAAAAAAGGGGCTGCGTGGCGTGGCAGCAGAGGCAGACGACTTGCGAACTCTCCCTGTTCCTGAAGTAGAGACAACTCGACGCATAGAAGCAACTTGCTCGGGGCGTCTAGCCGCATCAATTCCAGTTCTAGGGCCGCCCGAGTAGCTTCGCGGGCCGTTGAATGATAGCTGAGGGGTCTGGCGGTTACGGCGAGAGGCAATGTCTGCAGGGCAGGGTGACTTGAGCTGTCTGCCTGGGCTGCTTGGGATGCCGGTCTGGTCCAAGAAGGCCGTTATCCGCTCAAGGTCCATCTCCTGGTATTCGTTGGCATACTCGTCGGAAGTGTTTTCAATAGACAGCATCGTGTCCAAGGCTGACACATTGGCGAAAGACACGTCGGTCACTGCCGCCGGAGCATATTCATGCACGCCTTCTGCGGGAGACTCAACCTTGATAACATTTTCTTCGGTGTCCGCACGGCGGAAGACGAGAGAAGACGTTGAGCCGAGATGGGGAGTAACTGGCGGTGTTGTTCCATAAGCATCGGTGGAGCTCTCAGATGCCGTTGAGAGCTGCGAGGGGGCGTCCGGGGACTGTTCTTTGGCTTGCGAAGCCTGTCGCGGCTCGGGGAAGGGAGCAGAAGAAGCAACCAGGTCACGCTTGCGATCAGAGCCTTGGAGACCCATCTCTCCGCCTGTCCTTTCTTTTTCAGCTCGCTGTCTAGCCTCGTATTCTCGAATATTATTTTCCTTCTTTTCTCGAGCCCTCCTGTTTTGAAACCAGTTCTAGCAAATCGTTAGTAAAGTGCAATGTACATGTATACACACATATTCATATATGCATAATTGCCAATGGGGGGAGCGGATTCAATTACATTGATTCGTGCATGGTCAACTCTCATGCTCTCGGCCAGGGCCTTCTTCGTACTGCTGTTTGGCTTGTGGTTTTTCTGGAACTCGGCCTCAAGAACCTCCACCTCTTCCTTTGAAAGTCGTGGCTTTGATTCTGTTGTTCGCGACATCTGCTGGTGGTGGACAAGATGGTTATGTTGTGCCTGGTAAGCCTTCATGGATTCCGCAAGAAACGGATACTCTGGTATCTGGGCATATTGTGTAAAATCGTCAGTGGCAGCGACGGAATAAGTCCATGCCGGCCACTCCGATTGAGAATGGTGAACCATGATTTCTGTTGGAGGGCCACACGAGGCGCGGTAAATTTGATGACGGTTATTATACCCCGGCTGGAGACTTGCGTAGTCTAGTTACCGCCGACGGTGGTTTTGCGCAATAAATGTGGCAGAATGCCCAAGTGCCGACCCTGATTGGAATCGAGGAATGTCAAGTTGTGGTTGCTTGGTTTATATAAATGTAAATGCTGCCGGCGGCGAGGGGTGGAGGAGCAAGGTTCTCGGGAGAGAAATGGTATCAATGACGATGACGACGAAGAGGAAGATGAAGAGGAAGGAGGAGAAGGGGTTATTGAGACAAGGGCTTTTCCTGAACTTTGTCTCCAGGTTAATCTGTTCGGCCTTGTTAAGGGGATTCGTCGTTGGAGAAAGCGGGCAGAAACATTGAGGGACAAGATCCGGGAACAGATTCGGAGGGGCGGAGGTAGATACAAGTACTCGCTAGAGGCAGAGGCCCTTGATACGCATCTCTAAACTCGGTAGTGGTGTTGTCGACCCGCCCGCGCATCTGTGGCGGATTTTGGTGTCTCCATGGCTGGCTCCGTACTCGGTACGGTACTGTTACTGCGAGTGAGGGCATCATCCTGGTCCGAGGCCAGGGTGCGCAAGGCAGGGATCAGGGCACAGCACCGATACCCCTGGCACCGAGCCCTGCCACTCCAGGGCAGCAGCACGCAGCGACGGGGGGTGCATCAGAGCCATCAGCTGCGCGTTGGGTGGGCCGGGACTCGCGCTGTGCAGACTTTGGCGCCCAGAGCGCTCGCAGCCTCTAGGCTAGAGGCTTCGAGGCTAGAGCCACAGCCCAGAGGTCCGGGTCCAGAACCCAAGACAGAGCCCAGCTGGGCATGGCTAGCGTAGCAGTCGCTGTGCGTTCCGACGACCGCCAAAATGGCTTCCAGGTTGCCCGTGGACGCAGAGGCTCGCAGCCGCCACCGCGCCAATGTGTGTCGTCGTGTCTGATGCAAGTCTGCGAGTCGCTCTCGGTCTGTGCGGCGGGCCTGGGGAAGAAACAGACGGAGACTGGCAGGGCCCTGGGAGGCGTGCGCGAGCATTTGACCATGAGATTTGATGAGCTCGAGCTCGAGCTCAAGAAAAGCGGACGTGCGCTTGCATGGCCGGCTCTGGTCTGGTGGGATCGCGGCGGGATGCCGCGTGCCTTTCGCGGTAGCCAAGGAAGACGACGAGGGTGCAAACGCGGTCCGTGATGACATGACAATCTCACCCGGTGCAAAACCCTTCGAGGCTAGGGAGGACGACAAAACAGGCTTCTAATTTACCTAGTTAGCACTCGTACTTGGAGATAGGAGGTGCCACAGGGACTGACCTTGATGCTGGCACTGGTATGTACAAGCAGTTATCGGTACCCCTACCATGACCGGAATTACGTCCTTGGGCCGCGTGTGCAAGCGGTACTTCGTCCATGTCTCTCCTCTGCAGTACTCGTAATACTTCTCAGGTACCGACCTGGAATTATCTCGTGGATGTACAAGATGCCGCCATCGTGGAAAGCTTCAGCGGAAGCCTCCTCATCAAGCACCTCACAGGGGCGGACAGGCGGAGGTGCGTAGCTTTCGCCAACTGGAAACATGCGACGGTGTGCCCACACTGAGAATCTGGGCCTTCCAAGTCCAAACTCTGGTGCCAAACTGGTGTCAGATCCACCGGCAGCACCGCCAGCTTCCCACCATATGCCCCTAAAGGTTCTCAAGCACAGCAGCTCGCGTGCTGTGGTGCAGCAAGCCATGTCCTTGTCCATCCTGACCGTCGGTAGGTCCCAGGGCGTCGCTCGCTATAATTGGACACCGCAGGCGGCTGGCTGCAAAGCGTTCGCCTCTAGGACGCAAAGGGACAGGACTGATGGGATGAACCACCCATCAGGTCGAGGAACTAAGCTGGAGATGGCGTTGCAACAGGTGCGAATCTTGTGCCGCGGGTGCTTTTACGAGTGCAGCATCTGCGCGCTTGTGCAAAGACGAGGTTTTGTCACAGTAGCCGGGCCAGAGGCTCGGCACTCTGTCAAGCAGCCTGCTCCTTCCTGGTGCAGCTCCTGCCTACCCGGGTACTTGCCAAAATAACACGAACCTCCATGACTGAGGTCAACTATCTAAGATACGGAAGGTACTACGGAGAAGAGAAAAAATTAATCCCTCTTCGTTGTATCATTAACCGGCTATCAGTCTCTTGCTTTATCTCTTTCATCTTCCACGCTCATCCTCGCCTCGTGTTGATTCCATTCACCTCACGCAGCGGCTCGCCGTAGTTTTGCGTTGCTTCATTTCAAGCTAATTTTGCCCACCAAGAACCCGGCTGTCGTTGGCCCGTAGCACCCGGACGCACCCGGTTGGCCCATCTGGACTACCTTTTTTGTCCTCATCCTCGTCTTCCTCTACCCATTTTGCCCGCTATTTGCCCGTCTTCTTTGCCCACTCCCCGGGTTGCGCATGCGAGTACCATGTACAGCACTGTACTCACAAAGCTCGGCAATACAAGGCAGTACTGTCAAGTGTGCTGCGTACCTCTCCCGAGCCAAGCTCGCCACGCGCCAGAGAAGCGCCGGTGACTGGACATGAATCCCGACTCTACCTACCACAGCGCTACACCCCCGGCCACTTTGACTTTAGCCACCAAGATACAGAGCCTAAAAGGAGTCGGGCGGATGGCGAGCACAGGTAGCCAGTGCTCTGGTAATGATTAGGGATACAAGAGAGAAAGAGGCCAAGGAGCGGCACGAATTGGCATCATATCGCCCCAGCCGTCCCGAGCTGAGGTATCGTGTTCTACTACTGAGCCGCTTTTTCCCTGCTAACGAGGTGCTCAGATTATAGATGACGACCTTTTGATGCCACCACGGTTACACAGAAGTCAGCCTCGCCTGCCATGTATTAGTATTAGTACTACGTACATCCTTGGCCAGGAGCTCTCACGATGCCCACCGATTGGAGTGGACACACACCAAGATGCGGAATTTTCACCTCGTGGCACATCCACGCTCCCTATCTCGGCCACCCACCACTCTGTTCTGGCAGCCATCGCCTTTCCCCAAAGCAGTTGGATCGGGCTCTCGGAGCCACATACCCCACCGTTCCGAGGCTCCGTCCGTCGCGGAGCTTTGCCTGTTTCGGGACCATCACACACCTCATGAGCAGCCTGTCAGTCCAGGTCTACCCAGTTGCAGACTCGCGAGCCCGTCTAAACCCAAGCTGGGCGCTGTGGCTTTCATCAACCCATTTCGCTTATTTCGGCGCGCTGATTTGCCATGTTGATTCGTTGTTCTGGTCCAGCTTCACAACCACATTTGTCTCAGAGCTACAGGTAAGCAACATATTTGGCAAAGCGCTTAGCTCCATCAGATTTTTCTCTCCCACCTCACCAGAGACGAGACTGTTTCTTTTTGGCTGCCAACTTGACCACAACTATACATGTACAGTAAAACGCCAGACGGTGGAAGACGCCACGAAGCCTAGCGCCGCGGCATTGAAAATCCCATTTCGGTCCCGTCGGCGTCAGAACCTGGCAGAGAAACCAGTCAGAGGCAGTTGAAAGCCCTGGTGCCTGGTCCATACTCGTATAACGTCCCAGCACGAATTCGCCTCGTTGTTATGGCATTGTCTCCCCCAAGGACCACTAATCAATTATAACAAACATCATTACGGTCAATTGCGCATGCAGGCATTGGCATGGATTGTAACAAGGCGGTACAATCCCACGGGATACGGTTAAGCGATAGCCTCACCGTCATCTACAATTGACAAATTGTTCGCAACTGGTTATACTGTACGGGCTAAGACTCGTACCACACTAATACTCCGCATTGTCCTACGGCATCCTCATTGGCGGTGTGTCTAACACCAAAATCAACTAACTTGAAGCGGTAAGCTGCCTTTTTCGTTTCTCTCAGCATTGGCGTTTTCAGCTGAGGAAAAACAGCCCGTCAACTACGATGAAGCGCCACCTCTAACTAATTCCAATCTAGCGGCCGAATGTGGTTTCCTCTCGGTACGCCCCAGGCTCCATTGGAGCTTAGATGATGCGCATCAAATCGCTTGCACAACGTGACGCGGCGCTCAGACCAGGTGCGAGAAGAGTCTGGTCTTGCAACCCTTACCACCCCAATTCAGCTCTGGATCGCTATCATCCGTATCCTGGTACAAAAAGAGTTCTACGGAGCAGAGCTCCGGAAGACATGTCTCACTCACGTGTAGCGTTTTCCGAGATTTGTTTCGGCGCTGGCTTACATCCAGGCCCACCTGCAAATCTTCTGAGCGAAGTGCATCCCGACACCACATTCATGTCTCGTTTATCCTTTCAGCAGACGGCAGGGCTATGCACGATCAGCATCCTAGTCTTTGGGGCTGAACTGCATGTCGCACCCAAGCGGACATTGCTGCTTTTTACGAACGACTCCCATAGATAGCATTATAGCTTCGGAAGGGATCGCATCCAGGCTGCGCAAGAGTCTCACAAGCGTGGGCCCGCTGGATGAGCGCTACTTCGTCCTCATATCTTGCAATCTCTTCAATATTGCCAAGTTCGCAGGCTGCTCTGGATCGACAAAGCACGCTATATTGGTCGGAGGCGCTTTAGGTTGCCTCCAAACGGCTCTCCCTCAAACACATGGCCATAGTATTGTTATACCCGTCTGTTCAAAATAGAAGAACGGACCCTTCCCTTCCAAATTTGGCTCCTCATCAGAGTGAGACAGAATGAGGCCATCAGCCTTACAAGTGCACTGATTCCCGAGTGCTTGGAAGTGATGGGGCGCTAATCGCCACGTCTCCTCAGCCGCTGTTACACTGCGAGCCGAACATAGGCAGGGAGAAAGTGCTTAAAAAAAGAAAATATGGCGCGGCAGCGGCGGCGGTGCCGAACAGAGCGGTCTCGACCCAGAGATCTGGATGTGCTCTTTGCTCTGATCAAGAAGGGTAATTGGAGTGCCGATCAGCCAAGCCTGCCTTACCTTGAGCGCAAGCAATCCTGGATGGTGCAGTCGGTAGCCGAATATCCCTATCTACACTCCCCCTGGGTTGCGGCAGCAGCACGTCGAGTGAGACATGCTGCCAGAGAGCTTGTCCTTTTTTTTTCAGGTCGCCTCGTTCGTCTTCTTTCGTACAGCTAATCTGCTGCGGCGCCTGGAATATGCGCAAAGGATTCCGAACAAGTACAGCATTGCGTGTGCTATTAGCGTCCACCGCAAAATATCAGGCCACCAATTCAGCCGCCGCCTTAGACAACAGCCCAAGTTGATAGTGGCGGGCCTCCGGTGAGTGTTGGCGTCTAATGACACCTCAGGAGAAAGAACTGGTCTCCGAGGACGAGATATCTACACGTACAAGTATCAACATTGTCAATACCAAAGGCAAGGAAAAGAGAGCTATCTAGCAATGGATCGACGTAGAGTTCAATGCGTCATTCACGTCTTTGACGAAATGCCACGGTTACAAAGGGACTGTTGAGCAAAGGCCAGACCTTTGGCTCCTTGGCGGAATGTGGGGGATCCATTCAGAAGCTCGGGTTGTTGGGGCGCCTCATCCCACCAGAGGGAGAAAAAAAAAGGAAAAAAAAAAAAAAAGACTGACGGCCTGGGGCAGTGCCGGCAGGCAAGTTGGACCTGTGTCGCAGCCTAGGCTTAAGCTGCATTTGTGCCCCATATCGCCTTCCAACTCATCGCTTTTGACGAGGTCAGGCCCAGCGCTCTGGAACGTTGGTCCATCTCAAAAGCTAGCAGCAGCTATAATATGTGCTATGTACAGGCATGGAGTGGTATACGCTAACTGCCTGGTACCTGGCATGTTAAGAGACGAGGCCTCGAGCATGGTTGTTTATACGCCTAAGCACGCCGGGGCGGCCACAGAGCATCGGAGATATCCGTACTAAGGATTCTTTTCGCACCCCCTTGCAGAATGCTTCTTTTTACTTGAAAAAAGAAAGAAAAAAGAAAAAGAAAAGAAAGGCAAGGAAAAGAAGGCAGGAAAGACGTGAGATGAGACCGATATGAAATTAACTTGATCGACATGTTCTACTGAAGCACACGTTGAGTTGTCCTGGAACAGATCAGGTAGGCAGCTACCATCCAAATAGACATAGATCACACATCGCTCTTCCTGTCAGATCGAGCATGACAAGATTGATTTGAAAAGAGGCTGGCCGATGGGTTGCTCGCTTTCTCCTCTGCTCAGATGGTGTGCACTCATATCAATGGCGCTGAGGTGTTGGCTGTGGGAAAGGGGGGGAAAAGCTCGCCAAGCCTGAAATGGTGTCTTTTTGCGTTGCTGTGTGTGACGCGACACACACACCCCGACGCATCTCTAAGTGCCTAAAATGCTGTCGAATTTCCCAAAGCAAAAGCCACACACACGCCCAACTAATCCGACTACCGGACGTCGATCTATTGGACAGCTGTACGGGGAAGGGATGCATTACAAGGAAGAGGGGAGCCAAAATCCGCGGGGCCGACGCATGATTCAACTGTAGGCCATTCGGGTCTTATCCAAGGGTTCGGAAGCTTAGCCCCGCAGACATTTATCGGTCTCGATCACTGGCCTTCGGTAGGAGTTACAGGACCGACTGAGTATTGGGGAGAGGGGGGGGGGGAAACAAGCTTCACAGATCTGCTCGCTAGGCCTAACACTAGCACTTTTCACCAGCTGAACATCCTAGCTCCTCGGCCTGGTCCATCCCCTGCCGCAAAGATCTGGATCACTACTGGTAGTACAACAAGGGAGACCCTTTTTTCGGTCATATGGTGACCAGTCGATGCTGACCTGATATCTGCCCAACGTCGGCTTACACGGCCACCCATTTAACCAATGGTGGCGCTTTTTGCCCTTTTCCCCCTTTCAGATTGCCAACGACTCGGCAAAGAAGAAAAATTAGTAACAAGAAAGCAAAGAGAGGGAAAAGTGAACGAGCACAGTCCCCAAGGCGAGACAGCGGCGTGTTTGAGAAGATGTAGCTAAGGTTTTGAAAGAACTCCCGTGGCAGCGCTGTGGATCTGATGTGGTCGCTGCTCACGGGAGGCTTGCCTAGCTATCTAGATTCCGCTGGGTGGCGAGATGGCTTGAAATAGAAGCCGAAAAGCGGCTGAGTTTTTCATCGACCAGTCGATTCTCGGACAGATCCATTGACTCAGCGCAAAGAAAGGAAGCAAACCGGAGAGAGGAGAGGCGAGGCGACATCTACCCCTCGCATCCCCTCGCATGAGAGTCATAGCAAACAGGGATACTGAGGCGCCATGAGATTTGGTGTGTCGACGTTGTCATGTGAGCAGAGGTAGAGCTGCGAATTGAACATGGAACTCGAATGTGCTCGTGTCCGTTCCACATCTGCATGATACTGTCGGAGGAACTAGACATATGCAGGTTGAATGGGGCAGCGTACGAGTAAGTGCAACCGCAGAATGGGCTGGGCTCTTCTGGCGAAGATGGGCGGGGAGAGTGATGAACAACCGTGCAAGTAGCATCCCCCGCCAGCACGACGTGGCGTGAGGACGCAGATGGGCCGAAACGGACAGGGCAATCGGACCCCACGGAAATACCACGGAGTCCTTTGGAAATTCATCTCAGCACGAAGCGCTGCCAAGTAATTGCAAATCATATCATCCCAACATACGGTACAGCGAACGAGGCATCTCAACGCGCACTCTCCCACTCTCACGGCGCGTGGGTGGGAGGAAGATGCGGGGCAGCAGAGCGACAGGGCCACACAACAAGCAGCTCCTCGTATGTACACAAGAACAAGGAACAAGACCAGATCGGACACGAATATCGTGCAAGTCGCTCGGGCTCCCTCCCCGCTGCCGAATCGGGAAACCCAGGGCCGTTGCGGCGTGCAGGTTCTAGCCTTTCCTTTGCTCAAGGATAGCAAATTTTTGCTGCGTTATCGTATCTGATTTTTCCCATCTACGAGCACACTACGAGGATGGACCCCGTGCGGAGGCACCGCAGAGGTTCTAGAGTTCACCAGTTCACCAAACGGGCGGGGGAGCCATTGGCAAGGGGGTGTGTCGTTTGCGGACTTCAAAGGGTGTGGGAAGACGAAGGCCAACTCAAGTCCCCGCGCCAGGGACGGGGAGATTAGTGTAGCCTGGGTGGTCCGGGCAGCCACGTGCGATGGAACCGCAATCCCTGTCTGATGAGGGCTCGATCGAGACTTGCGGCCGTCGCTCATTGCCCTGTTGAGGAACCACAGGCCAGCAGACGCTGCCATTTCCAACCGCATGGCTTGAGCACTAGGAGCCAGCTCTGTCAGACTGACAAGCCTCGCGGCGGCACGACCCTCGTACTTGTTCGTTTCTGTCTCTGTCTCTCTGGCTTTGGAGACCTAGCAAAAACTCCGTGATTGCTCATCTAGTATTTGCGCGGTGTTCCGGCGAATGCCGCTCGGAGATGACAAGCGCTTGTGAGGAGCGGTTAAGCCATTACCACATACGAGTACTAAGGCATGTACGAGGATTACGGAGTACTCCGCACGCTGTCCTCCCCTAAGATGAACCACCGTCGCAAAAGCAAACATAAAAAATTCTACTATCGAAACCAAGGGCCAAATCATCACCATGGCCTCAACAGGAATGCATCCCGTATCTGCATCTTGGGTCCCAAATCTGCTTTCAGCTGCGAGTTGCAAGCCTCCCCGGAGATTTATGCTGGTGCAAGCACCAATGATATGCTACAATTGCCTAGCTATTCCAAAGCCGTCCAGGGGTTCAATGCTGCGAGTGGGCGGTGGCGCAAACGCTTCAGTCGATTTGCTTCAAGACTTTCAAGATATGTATGCTTCTGGACAAAGATACATACTAATCTACCAGCGTAGAGCATGGGGGATGCCGTCGAAATCGGTTAGCCGAGGATATACAGTCTCGCATCTTGGCCAGTCAAATCGCTTCCCGAGAACTTTTTTAGGCTCCCACATGGCAAAAGACCATAGCGCGATTGATGGCGCAAGGAGACAAGACAAAAAGAAAAAAAAAAAAAAATGCTCTGCATACTATGTAGTTCTAGCCCGCGCCGAATCTCGGAACCATGTCTTGTTTCGATCTCAGCTGCGTCTCTTTTAGGGAGTTCAAATTGCACCCGCAGGGTAGTGGGCATGTGCACACTCTATTTGGCTGTATGGTTGGATTTATACACATGATCCCCGCTGCGGGAGGCCATTGGGTTGCAATGCAAACCGCATAATGGCAATCAAACGGCAGTTATTTCGTATAGGGGGGACAAAGTCTGCGAGTTTGGCGAAATACGCTGAAGCGGCTGTGCCCGCCCAACCGCTTTAGCCTGGGGTCGACGCACACGGTTCCATTGGTTCACGCCTAGGAGCGCACATCCCACGTGTACTTTATATTGCCCTGAGCCTCTTCTGGCTTGGCTGGTTCCCCGATGCTGGCCAAGCACAACAAAACCCCTGTCCGCCAAAGTAGGCCCGGGATCTCCTGAATGTAGGGATATTACCACGCAAGCACTTGCTTCGTACGAGTCCTCGTACGGTGGCACCAGAGCCAGCTTGACTCGCCGACTCTAGTTGGACGCCGGACACACGCGAATTGACCGATTGACCGTCCTACCGGAGCAGTCTTCTCCTCAACAAGTAAGGGCGTGCATTGATGCAATCGGATTGCCAGCCTCACGACAAGACCCCCCTCCCCCTTTTTTGCGCCTTCCTTTGCTTTTGGCACTCTGCAGTAGCATGGCGAAGCATTCCCGAGAAGTCAGGATACCCTCTGTACTTGGGAGGGGCGGGGGAAAGCCCCCGAAGACTGTCGGACGGCCATCTGCGGCCAGGAAAACCGTGTCACGCTTTCGGAATCCGACCTCAGCTACAGGCAGTGCTCGTGCAGACGTGTAGTGGTGCTCGATGGAGGGGTCAAAGGCATATCACAGTGGTTCTTCGCCCTCTACAAGTGGGCTCCGGCGAAGCGTCGCGATGCAAGCGCGGGCAACGAGAGCCAACCACCGCACGGGCGGCAACCGCACGAACCTTGAGCGTAAGCTGGAGAATGATACGTGACCCAGAAGCGAGGGCGAGTTACTGCAACCTGCTGCCCCATGTGGGATATCAAGTGAAGTGCGTCAAGCACGGCATTTTCGGCACAAATTTGCTCCCAGGATATCCGAGGGGTCAAGTTTTCTGAAGTGCAGGGTAGGTAAGGCACAATATCAGAATCTGCGTTTGTCTCGCCTCGCACGGGACCTTGCATGAAATATCAAGACAATCCAGGTGCGCTCCGTAATACATCGTACGGCCCAGAAATCGAGATCTACATGCGTATCACTGGAGATTCATGGGTCTTGCGGAACTAGTGGTTGTGCTTCTTTGGCTGTCCTCCCCCCCCAGCAACTGGAGAGACTATACTTGCAACAACAGAGCGAGTATCACTATTTGCCCGATCGCCAGGCATCGAAAATCGCACCGTCACATTGATTTGCATTGCTGCACGAGGAGTAACACAAACCAACCTCGCCTTACATTCAAGTCTTGAGTCTGGCGTTGCCTGTCCCACTTGTGCAGTCAGCTTGGCATCCGAAGCTTGGGTCGTGTGTTCCCCCCCCCTTTTCTCACGCAACCTGAGCTTCCTGTGTTCCACAGAATGATCGGTCCGCAAGAAAATAACATACCGGGGGGGAGAGGGGCACAATGTTGTTACAACTCCTGTTTTTATCCTATGACTCCTACCTGTATTACCCCGTATCTTCTGAAAAGGCATGCGAGATCATGTTGAGCCGGGGATCTTCATAAGGATGCCACCTGAAAAGACGCAAAAGAGAGTGACTCCTGAGACATACATGAAGAGAGGGGCACGCATGACATGACACGCATGACAACCGGGCGCCCGAGACCCGGCTGAACAGCTGCACGGAGTTGTCGTATGTACGATCACATGCTGCGGGCGTATTACTTCAAGTTGAGCAGGGCCTTTCTACCTATGGAGACTTGCGAATTTGCCGGCTTATCCCACCTGTTGCTCACTCGCAGTCTTCTGCTTCGATTGGCCAAGTGGTTACCCTCCCTCAACTGCCTGAATCTCAACACCCAAGCATGTAGCCAAAGGTAAGTCGCTCCAAGTTACATCACCCTGTTTCACTGACTCGCGGGGCGAACACGGCGCGGTTGTACGAGTTCATCGTGTCGTTACGCAGCGTGTTGGAGGATTACGGTGAAATAGTGGCACCCGCGCGCCTTATACATAGCCAGTGTTCCTTAGAAAAAGGGCTCAGTTGTGAAAGACAGCTCGTCCGCCCCCTTTCCTTCCGACTTCACAGGTTGTTCCACGTCAGGGAGCACTACTTTGTAATCTTTCAAGAATAAGAACCGAGGATTCTCGACAATGTCGAAAGCCACAAGACCGCGAAGGAGGGAAACGGAAAAAGAGAGGGATGTATTCTAAGACATTGCCGATCGAATTGTGGACCTGGAGGGTTAGGGAGAGTCAAGCCCGCTCAGGCACAAAAATGTGAGACCTGTTCATCTCCACGCCCGCGGGATCGACATGGTACATTTTTCAGCTACCAAAAGGGCTGATCTGAACACGCGCAACGTGCCTGCCGAGACCCATTCTTGTTCCCCTCACAAAGGGCTTTGTTTCCCCGGAATGCTAGAGTGTCTATAATGTTAATTAAAAATATGGAATATCTGACTTGAAGTTGCCCTCTAGAATATCTTCCCTCTTCACCCTGACGTGTGCCTCGCTCGCCAAGTTTTCTAATCAAAGCGCAGCGCGTTGGAGAGTTCAAGCGTCATCTTGCCGTCCTCTTGTCTCACCACCCTCACGCTCTCGAGATCCTTCACCACCCAGTCGGGCTCGGCCGCCACAACCTGTTCCACAGTGTGGCTTGTTACCAATCCAAGGACTTTGCACCCCGCCGCCTTGCCGGCCTTGATGCCTGCTGGGCTGTCTTCGAGGACCAGGACCTCCCCGGCCTTATCTTGTAGCCCGAGCTTCTCAAGGCCAATGCGGTAGCATGTCGGGTCGGGTTTACCGTTCTCGACGGACTCGGCAGAGACAAGATGCTCAGGAGTACCGAGGGACAGCCGCTTGAGCCAGCCTCTGACTAGGGGCTGGGTACCGGATGTTACGATGGCCCAAGGAAAGGAATAAGAAATGATGGATTCGAGCAGAGATCGGGCGCCGGGGATCTCCACGACGTCATCGGCGTACAGCTTGGGCAGCTCGCCTTCCATTTTTGTCACGTCTATAGGAACACAAATTAGTTTCGCCTCACTTTGCCGTAACACTCATTAAATGTGATGGCAAAAGAACTCTATACGAGTGTAGCCCCGGCGATAGGATTGGAGGCGCCGGGCATAGGGACGGGAAAATACGCCACGTTGCCCCCCCTGCGGTAATATCATTCGCGAAGAAGATGTAAACGGACAAACGGGCAAGCGAGCAAATACAACTTACATTCCCAATTGGCCTTCTCAGGGGCAAGGATCCTCAGGATATCTATACTGCGGCGGCCATGAGAAGTCTCCAAGATGACCTCAGGAGCAACGCCGATTTCCTCACCGACACTTTTTGTTTTCTCCGTTAGCAAAACTCTACCTTCTGCGCAAGATGGCTTGATGGGGAAGATGGAGGGAGATCATTACGTATGCCAGTGCTTGACCACGGCCGGGGTAGAGTCGATAATGGTTCCATCCATGTCGAACAAGAAGCCCGAAAAGGAGATCTCCTGCGTTGGCAGGCTGTAATCTGGCTGAGAACCCATCCTGCCGCTATTCCCGGAAGCAACGTTGGTGTCGAATGATTAAAGATAAGAATTATGTTTCACAAAGGCCTCGTATGTCAAAATGACGAAGTGCTGATAGACAAAGCGTCTTTGACCAAGTCTGAATAACGATGAGTTCTTATATATGTATCGCTTGTGAAGCGGGATCTTTAAAGGTTCGAAGTTAGATCCAAGATTACAACCCCCACGTGGCAATTCCGCACTGGCGGGGCTTCCTCAGCCGGTTAGACCAATCGTCAAAATAATGTCCCGCAGAGAGTATAATCCACAAGGCTATTACGGCCAAATTCTTCTCAAGGTTTCAAGATATGACCGTAGTCGTAACTTCGTCGGAGTTGCCATCTGTGGCTTGAATGAATGGATACAGTGAAACTATATGATGGAGGGATTCAACTTTCATATCCACATCCATGGCCACATCACTCGAGAATGGCTTTAATATGGCCTTGTAGCCTCGAACATGTGCTCTGCAGTCGAGGACTTGTAATATTCTTCGATAGACCCAACGGCATCATAGTTATAGCACCAATCCCTTGTTCCCCTATCAATGATGCCGCCTGGACCAAGCCTTTGACCCGATCGTTTACTTTTCCGAATGAATTCGCTTCTCATGACGTCGCCTTCCAACGGCCAGACTTCCTCATCTTGAGAATGGACAAGGGCCTCGTGGATAACATTGCGCTCTGCGTCGTGCGATGTATGTGATGAATCACCCGCATGTAAGCTGGCTTCTTGCACAGCCTCAACTCTGGGCTTCCGCACGCTTTCAAATACATGCAGTGCATGCTTCAAGCTAGGTTCAGCCGCCGCCCTTTGTTTGTCGGAGTGGTTTGAGTTCGTGCCAGAAGGACAAGCCAAGTCTAATGCTGTTGCAAGTGCAGCTGCGTCTTCGACAGCGATACTAACGCCCATGGACATGAAAAAAGCCATTGCATGGGCGGCGTCGCCTATGAGAATGAACCGACCGGATTCGTGAGCCCAGGAGGGCAACGGCGGCACAGCGTACACAGGATAGTTAGCAATTTTTGATGTAGAAAGATCTAATATACGCTGAACGCTACAGGCTATGTCAGAAACAAACTTGGGAAATATTGGATCAGGGCTGAACGATGTACTCACCGAGGCTCAAAGTCCTTGAACATGTTCCGAACTGTCATGTTATATTCCTCCGGAGTGAATTCTTTGGTGTTGATATCGTCTCGGTGAGCTAGTACTATATTGAGCAGAGTTGCATCTTTTATCAAATATGTCATGCACGATATGTGTGGAGCAATCCACCAATTGGAGCTGCCAGATTGAAGATCTATAAGATTTGAAGTTACAGAATCCGCCTTGAGTTTGGAGACCTCGGCCGTCATACGAAAGGCGGCCCATCCAGTCGGCAAGCTTCCAGGGTCTTTGGAACCCAATAGCTGGGATCGAGCAAAGGAATTAATGCCTGAAAGGAGGGAGTAGTTAATGTAGTGCGCATATTGATGTATTGTGAAGTTGCTTCTATATGCCTTGGTCATACGTACCATCAGCAGCAACCACTAGATCGGCTGTTAGCCTTGTGCCATTCCGCAGCAGGACCGCTCCGCTGGCAAACTCATATTCAACGACATCACTGCTTAGCAGTAGTTGCGCCCCGGCTCGGATAGCGTGGCGATGCAATATGGTATGCAAAACGGCCCGATGAACGACAATGTACGGGGCACCATACTGAGCCTCCATATCCTTGATTCGGACACTCCCCAGCATATTGCCACCTGGTCCATCCCACACATGCAAGTTCTCGGGAATAATCGACTCGGCGAGCAGGTCATCCTTGAGACCCCACTTGAAGAGGTATCTGATTGCTTGTGGTGTCATCTGAACGCCCGCACCCAACTCGGTAAGCTCAGGAGCAGCATCGAGAACTGTGATTTGGTGACGAGACTGGCCAAGGGCAATGGCAAGCGAAAGGCCCGCAATGCCAGCTCCCACAATGATAACATGCATGTTAAACGGCCCGGTTATCCGAAGATGACGGTGTTAGAGCTTGTATTATACACGCGGATGGGTATGTCAGTGTTCCTTTACACGCTGGAGGGTCGCTTGGGTTCGAAATTGAGGGCGTGTGAGAGGCGTTCCTTTCATTGGTCTTCAAGCCGTCGGATCGAGACTCAGCGTTTTCCGCCCTTTCGAGTCTGTACTTGTCGGAAGACAGACGAAACAAGAGATAAGCATCCGAGAGATGAATGTAGAATCCGCTTGGTCAGCGCATCATCGGTTCAGTTTGTTGGTCGGCGATGCAGTTACAGTGCAGTGCAGGTTTGGATCCTGATAGTGATTGGGTGGTGCGTATATTGTACGGAAATTGTAGTGGGTATGAAGGAGAAGTGAGGCATGGGAGAGGCATGGGAGAGGAACTGGGATGCTGTCTCTGCTACCTTTCCATAGGTAGGTAGATGTTGATTCGCTCACGTGAGGCCAGGATATGCACATCAATCCCATTTGGAAAGCTATCGCGGGAGTGTGCCTTCCAGCTTCCGAGAGCTTACCTACCTGTACCTTAGTACTTGGTAGTACGAGTACTGCTGAGATATCTCGTGCTTATGGCAAGAACCACACGTCATCAAAGGTGATAACTGCACGAACTTGCGTGTTCTGTAGGTACTTCGTACCGTGTGCCCAGCACCTTGAAGGTAGGTACATGACATCTCGGCCACTCAAAGCGACAGAACAAGTACTGTGCATGCCAGACGAGATGCGAATGCGGAACTTACCCCGCGAACCCCGCTGCTGTTGAGTAAAGTACAGTACATGGACGAGGATTGAAGCTTACCAGCGCCTGTGTAAAGTACCTACTGAGGTAGGTTCGGATACAAGGATTGCAGCTCCTTCGGTGCACGGCTATTCCCACTTGTCGATCGATCAAGGGCATTAATCCTACTTGCCTACCTACCTTTGTATTAACTACTGTAATGCCAATGCATGAGGCATGGTGATTAAATGAAGCTGCTAGCTCAACTCGGCAAGGCCCTGTTTCCCTTCTGGCCCTGGTGTGAAATCCAGAGGCTGAATTGAATTCCCCCGCACCCGTTGGAAGGATTCGGCTTGACAAGGTACAACAGAGCGGCTACTTTTTGTTTGCTGCTGGGGTTTCCACCAACCATCTCGCATGTCTTTAAATGATGCGTGACATTGCCATTTGTTTGTCCTAGGTAAGTACCCGATATTGTACGGCAGCCACTGCTGGCCACGTAGCTTTTTGTGTTCCTCGATACCGGGTATAAAGTTACCTTGGTGCGCCTCTAGTGCTGGCGTGGCTTGTCTGCTAGAGATATCCAGGTATGTACTTGTACTCCCTCCAACGTGACATATCTCACCTGCTTACCTCGACCATTGCCTGATCTTCCCAGAGCTTGGGCACCAGAGCTCTTACTTGTACATCGCCAATTCCAACATATTTTCGTAACCAGATTGTACTATTTTGGATATATTATCTGGCTCCATGGGTTCCCAGGTCCAAGAAGAGCTGACAGTGCTTGTCACTGGATTTCAGGTTCGTCTCGTGCCGCCGCATCTCCCCATATATGCCATCGCAGGAAATACTAATCATACCTCCAGCCTTTCCGGTCAGAATATCCGATCAACCCGTCGTGGGAAATCGCCAGAAGCCTCCCAGAATACCTCCCGCCGCTAAGAGTCAAGGACCCAAACTCCCGATATGCGGTCAACATCCCGCCTGTGCGCATCCTGGTGCACCCCGAGCCCATCCGAGTTAACTATAAGGTGGTGAGGGAGCTGGTGCCGACCTTGTGGGAGGAGACGTACTTGGGCCGCAAGATTGACGTTGTCATTCACATTGGCATGGCTGGGCCGCGGCTTATGTATCAGATCGAGAGTCGAGGGCATCGTACGGGATACAAGTCTCTCGATGTCGACGGGAGTCACCTTGATGAGCTAGATGGAAACCGGGATGAAAATTGGATCTGGCACAACTTGCCGGATGTGCTGAAGACGGACTTGAATGTACAGAATATCTGGGAGAGATGGCAGCAACACAGCTCGGTAAGGATATTGATGCCCAACACTTTGAACGTTGCCATTACTAACATCATATTACGCAGAATGATATGGATCTTCGGATCTCTGATGATGCTGGCCGTTATCTCTGCGACTTCATCTACTACTCGAGCTTGGCAACCTGCTACAAGCAGGGCAAGGAGAGGAAAGTCATCTTCTTTCACGTGCCGGCAGATAGCTCTGAAGCCGTGATCAAACAAGGGCAAGAAGTGGCCGTTAATCTCATCCGATCTATCGTGGAGAGCGAGGTGGCCAAGAAGCAGAAGGTGACGGAGGCTGCTTCCTGATGTCCGACCAGCCGTGCGAGCGTAAGATGAGCATTTCGTGGTGTTGGTGTTGGTATTGATATTGGTACGCAGGCGTCGGGGACTTGTTGCAACGGAGAATACGAATACTTTTGGCTGGAATTTCGGTGTTCCGGGATAATTGAAAGAGAAGAAAGAGATGAAGCTTGGATCGCAGCGATATCAGAGACTACCTGTAATTGGACCGGAAGGGATTATCTTGAGAATGATAAGCAGCCAGGGTAATTGGGAGGGGACTGAACAACTGTTGTTAATCATGAATTGAACTTGCCACCTCACGTACCCTCTCAGAGACCCTGCGTACAGTACGAAGAAGCCGGACACAGAAGGAAGACGGCGACATGAGCAGAAATGGTCGCCGTTCTTGCTTACCAAATGTTTGTACCTTGTATCTTGCCCGGGCGGGGCTCGCCGATTTGGTCACCTTTCCGGCCGGCGATCCGTTCAGCCACCGCGGGCTTTTTTGCCGCCATCCATCGACTCGTGTGCGTTTATTTAGGCCGCTCTTCCTTTTTCATAAACCAGGCAGAATCTCAACTTGCATTTCTCTAAACTACAAAGGTGTAACGTTTCGAAAGCATATACGCCCATATCTCTCATCTTTTTTCAGCATCATATCAGTAATAAAAGGACATACATAGCCCTTTTGCCACCATGTGTCGAAAGGCCACTTGCAACACCTGCCGTAAGCATCACTGCCCCTCTCAGCCTGCCTTACAACTGAGATGCTGCATCATGGCCTGCATCTTTTAGACGAGTAAAAGTGGGAGAAGGGAATTGATAGGGGTTCGTGCTGACGTATGTGAACTTTAGACAAGGTAACCTGGTGGGGTTGTGGTAGCCATATCCCAAGTGTCCTGGACTCAGTCCCCGAGAATGACTGGTGTACTTGTGAGCCCAAGGTCGAGCGAGACGGGAAGCAGTATCCTCCCATGGCCAAATCACCCAACTGACTAGTTGAATGGATCGCGGGGATGGTGCTATGGGTGAGAGGGAAGAGGCCGGCGTGGTCTGCAGAGGGGGTTGTTGAGGCGGATCTACATGGAGATGGGGAAGGGAAAGAGTGAGGGCGTTGGTGGTGATGGTGGCGAGATTATTCTAGGTTCTTTCGAGGGGGCGTTGTTGGTTGGTGTAAATAGACATGGTCGAGGCTCGACAGGAGTTAGTGATATATGGTAGGAAAGAAGATATCCAAGCTGAAATAGCCCAACACGCTACATACATACACTAGCCTTGATCAAAGCCAAATCAATCGCCAAATGCTGTAACCCAAAGGCTGGCTGTCCTCCCTCACCTCCTCCTTGCGCCCCCAGCAGCACCGCCGTCTCCCCTCTCCGCCAGACTGACCACCTCCTGAATGCCCGCCGCCTCCTGCTCCTCCTCCAGCGCCGTGATTTCCTCGCGGCAGTCCCACCACTTCTCCTCACTGAGTTCAAATGCCTTGGCCTTGATCTCCTTGATGGCGAGCGTCTCCGGCTGGATGTTCTTCCACCGGAGGTTGGTCATGAGGATCTCCTGCCACTCTGCGGAGGTGCGGACGAAGAATTCGCGGCGAGATTCGAAAGGCTAGAGTTGATTTAAATTGTCAGAGTCTAGGTGATCACAAAGAAAAAAAGAAATACAGATTTGGAAGAGGCGCTGCAGTGAAAATAGACTTACTCTTGGATGCGGCAGGCCATCGTCAACCGATGTGGCAGCTGTTTCGGTTTCTTCCTCTTCCGACGTAATTGATGGCGTAGGTGCTTCGGAAGATACCTCTGATACTTCGTCTTGCTTCTTCTTGCGTTTGCTCTCCGAGCGGATCTGCTGTTCAGGTTCCTCCTGATCATCTTCATCCTCTTCATCCTCCTCTTCATCTTCATAGTCCTCATCCTCGTCCTCATCATCCTCATCTTCAGACTCCTGGATTATATTGGTTAGCTTATGGTTTGTACGCGCAAAAGGCACAACACTCACGATCCAGTCTTCGACAGGCTTGTTAAAGATTTCCTTGTATCCATCCAGTTTCACCAAATCGATTGCATAAAGATCGTCAAACGTAAACTCCCGATCCCCTTTTTCATAAGTACCGCCGTAAATGAAGAGCACGTCGCTCTGAACTGTCAGCTGGGCATTGAAGCGCATGTGCGGTGGCTCCATAGACACCGGCATTTCTCTTGCTGGCTTTTCCTCATCCTCCGGCTCACCGAGCATCTTATCCAGCTCGATATCATCAATGTCCTCCAACGAAGTTCCAGCTTGTAGTGCTGCCAGTTGTCGCAGGAGCTCCTCCTCATTCGCCTGGGCACGACCTCGTCTGCCAACCCGCTGCTCGGGTGCGTTCTTCTTCTGTTGGCGTGGCTTACGTGAAACGAGGGGCATGAATCTATTTCTCTCGATATTCCACGCGAAGAGTTGATTGAAAAATTCGCTGTCCATCCCCTCTTCGCTTTGCTCAACGTCGTGTACACCACCAAAAAGGATGCCACGGCCCTTGTGATATGCCATGGTAGCACCAGCGCGGACGGGGGCAGGGGAGTTTGCCGGCTTCTTTCGCTTCTCCCATCTAACAGCGGGCGGAGTATTCGAATTCGCTTCAGTCGGCGGGAGAGACATCCTAAGGAAAAAGCAATCTTCATGAACCTTGGGTATGAGGACGTTCTTCTGCCCCTGGGGCTGATTTCCCTTCTTCTGTTTCTTCAACTGCACCGTGGCCTTGACTCTCGAGTAGCCTCCAAAAAGGGAAGCTCCTTGCTCAGAAGGCAGGAAGGTAAATGAAGAACGAGCATCAGGCTTGAGCTGAGCAGGCGGGAGAACGGGGCTGTGCCAGACGTAGTTGACGGTATCAAATATCCACAAGTCGGCTAGATACTTGGTCTGGTTCGATGTGTCCTGGAAGCCTCCAAACAGGATGATGTACTGCTTCCAGTAAGTCATCCGGTGACCACTTCGCGCCGGCGGGCTCTTATCCTTGCCCTTGACCTCGATCTTGGTCCATTCTCTTGTCGCAGGTTCCAGTCTCCAGAAATCAGAGTAATGGTGGAAAGTGCCCTGCTTTGGAGATGAGAATTCTCCTCCAAACAGGTACACATAGTTCGGGTTCGAGGCTCTGGTCCAGGCGTGGCCAGATCGTGGCAGCGGCGCATTGGGGGAAGTTACACAGCGCCACTCATCACGGTTGATGTTGTATATGTGCAGATCATTGTAGAATTGCGCAATCGACCCGTTGAAGTACTCTCCTCCAAACAAGAGCAGGCTGTTGCTCTCATGAGGAGAGGCCAGAATGGTAGATGCCGATCGAGGCTTCGGAGGGCCGTCGACAACCGTCTCCGTGATCTTCAGAAACTGCTCCTGCTGGCGGCGATACTCTTCCAGCACCTCATCCAGGTCGACATCCTCGGCGTCACTGCCCTCTAGCTTGGCAGTCTTGTTCTTGACCTTTTTCTCACCCTTGCTTGCCTGCTTGGCTGCCTTCTCGGCCTACATAAGCGGTTCAGTTAATACTTATAGATTTTCTTTGGTGATTTTGGAGGGGTAATTCTGAGTCCAGATTTTCCAACTCGTGATTTTCCCACTCACCTTTTTCGCCTTCTTGGCGTCAGTGTTTTTCTTCTTATCCTTGGCCATGTTGAAAATATTCTTTTCTTTATAAAACGAAGATGGGCGGTATAACCCCACGCGCAGAAAGGAAGTGAATACAATCCTCACTTGAGCGGGTCACGCCGCCTGGAAGAGAAGTGGAAAACCCTATCGCATACAGTGCGTAAGCGCATTTATATAGACTGTGTGTCATTCTTGAATGATCTGCACCACCAGCACCTTGCTACCTGGATTTATCCGCATAGAAATGTATAGTTCTCTCATATGAAATATCTTTAGACAATTTGAATCATTATAAGAATTCTTAATAAATCTAACAAACATTATAAATGCTCTGTGATCTGGAAAACACAAGTCGCGAATGAGCCCACTACAGCATGATGCTGCACACCAACTCATACACAGGGTATAGATTGCAAGTCTCCCGGCTCATATGCTGATAAAACACTCATTAATCATGCAAAAAGAAACAAATGATAGATCACTCGTTAGACGCTGGCGACTTCTCCGCTGGAATGTAGGCGCCCATGGCCTTGCTGGCCCCTTCTATGCAGTATTGGATAACCTCCAGCTTTTCCCCCTTGGGTGCGAGTTTCGCAATCTGACGAATGTCGCTTGTCCTTGGAAGGAATAGCAAATGGTCCATTTTCTTGTAAGCTTCGTGTAGTTGACTTAGGCTGTATGGCTGCATAGTACTCAGGTCAAAAATCTCGTCGGTTCTGTACCCAGGCCCTCCCCAAGGGGGGCTGGCGAACACCATTGTTGACTGTATATCAACTTTAAGATCTGGATGTAGCTTTTCTGGGTTATTGACCAGCTGATCAAGATACTCAAAGCTGTCACCCAGGATCCAAGTTACTGCGCTTGGGTTAACACCGTAGAGCTCGGCATTGTGCTGGGCACACGCAAGTGTTGCAGGGTCGCATTCAATAGCAATTATGCGGCTCCATCGTTCTGACAGGGCAAAGGCTATGGTGTTGCCCCCGGCACCGCTAAAAGCATCGATAAGAATGGTCTTCTTTGGGTCATAATGGTCCTCAGATAGCTCGTATGCGATTTGGCTGGTAGGGTGTCAGTCACTGTAAAGAAGAGTAGGATGAAAAGAACTCACTTAGCTACCGGCTCAGGTGTTACACCAAACCAAGCATCATCAGTCATATGAACTCCATCATCATAGTATGAGAAGATGGAGTACCGTTGGCTGAAATACCTGCAAATTCGATTAGTACTCTGAGAAAATAGAGCTGCGCAGTGGGGAACCAACTTTTGAATGTCCCAGGGAACCTCGTGCTTGCCTGTATAGTGGTGGCATTGATCTGTCAACGGAAGCCTTTCTGCAGGCTTCAGTGAAAAGTCGGAGGGCTCCGCGGCTGTATTGGCATCGAGGCCATCCGTATTGATGCCATTGGTCGCCTGGCCCTCACCCGCTAATAATTTGGTCAGGCAGCTCACATCATCTCTTGCTTGCGGATTCTGATCCAGAACGTTTCTAATAACCTGCCACGCGGCCGGGGGAATTTGTTTAGCCTGCGGCAAGAGAAGTTGGGCGGATGGTGCATCGACATGAGGACCCAGCATATCTCGCGCAATTTGTTGCTCTATTGCGTCCACTGGCACATTTTCATCTGCAGACATTTTGGAACGATGGCGTTTTGATAAAGCCTTATATGATGAATGGGCTTTTGAAGCAGAGGTGCTGCTTCGTTCACGCCGATGACAAGGCGTTGTTGATGAAGCGTTTGTAATGCGAGTGAACAAAACTGGTTACTTCAAAGGGTCGCAGATCTGATAAACTGCGCTAGCCTTGGATGCGATTCGAAAGGCTTTTTGGTTGAAAATTATAAAAGTCAGCAAGTTGTCGGTCGATTTCTGGATGTTGATGATAGGAGAAGAATATCCCATGCAGGGTTGCTGATGAATTTCAGGACAAGGCTGAGAATTTAGTTGCTATCAGCTCCACTCTTATTCCGCGTTCAACCCTTTAGCGCCTTGGCACTTATGCAAGGCTGTCATCCCAAGGGACAGCTTGCGGCAAGCTCTCTTGAGTGAGGCCAGACGTCACTCTCATATCAACAACTATCTTCGCAGCATCAACTCTCAAAGCGTCGCCATCCCTCCGATAATACCACCATATAGCTTCGTAACGCTAAAACGCCTAGATATCAGCCTCGCACAGGAGCGGGGCAATAATCCCAGTGACCATGTTCAACGCGCTCAACCGGTTTATGTCCCGCCTAGATGGCGATGCCCCGCAACGTCAACATGACCGCGACTCGTTTGGCTTCCAGGTGCTGCGGAACACGAACCTCGAGCTACCAATTGAGCCCTGGTTTGATTACATTGTTGGAATTAATGGAAGGCCAATCGTATATGCCAATGCTCTGTGCGATTAATAGGCGATCTGGTGCTAAGAATAGTGCAGGATAACCCCGACCCGAGCCTGTTCGCGCAGGAGGTTCAGAATTGTGCTGGCGGAACTGTGACGTTTGGATTATGGAGTGCAAAGGTGATGATCATTTACCACTGTATGGAGGAGAAGAAGGCGAAATCTGACATTGCATAGGGTCAACGAACAAGAGAAATGCACATTCCCGTGCCCGTGGATACCGCAGCGCTGGGGCTTTCTCTTCAGTTCGCGCCCATCTCTCTTGCAGCCAATATCTGGCATGTTCTTGATGTCCCGGCCAATTCACCAGCCGATGTTGCCGGGCTGCTACCTTACAGCGACTACATCCTCGGCAGCCCAGAAGGCGCCCTACATGGTGAAAGCGCCCTCGGTGAGCTCGTGGAAGACTTCATCGGGCGACCTCTACGGTTATACGTCTACAACAACGAGTACGACGTTTCGCGCGAAGTCACAATACAGCCTAGTCGAAACTGGGGTGGAGATGGGGCTCTGGGGTGTACTTTGGGCTACGGAGCGCTGCACCGGCTGCCAGCTCCATTGAGCGAACCCGTCAACGCTCCTGGAGAGACAATGTTCGATGGCGAATTCAACGAGAAGAGCGGAGGAGAGTTCATCTCGACGGAGGCTAGCCCTCCTCCGCCACCAACAGGCGACTTTTTGGTGCCCGCGCAGATAGTCAGTGCGCCTCCACGGGGTGGGACACCGCGGGGTGGAAAGAAGAAGGAACGCCACGCGCCTAACAATTTCATGGATGACTATCTCAAGGAAGAAGAACAGAAGAGCTTGGCGTTGGATAATGCACCTAAAGGCAAGGGTACAGGTCTACCACCGCCTCCCAAAGGCGCCAGCGGTCCACCAAAAGCAGGGCCCAAAGAGGATGCAGCGGATGACGGCGGAGCATGATACGAATCAGATTTTGTCTTGATATAGCTCTGGTAATGAAAAGATTCCCTATTTGTTTGGCTAGGACCAAATTGCTTTTCCCTTATAAGCCCCCCTTCCTCCATGAATAGGTATGATCGAGGAAGCCACCATGTATTATACGACTCATGCCCCGTGTTTTTATCGAAGCCGTCATTCCACCGCGCATTCTCTGCGTTGTCGCTGTTTAGTTGATGAAGTTGACGCAGAAGAAATGTAGAATCAGACTGCAAACAACATAGTCGGCAAATGCTCTGCAGCCGCCAGTTAGCACAATGATATTGATACCCGTATAGACACATGTTCACGTATATGTTCAGCTCGGATGGTTGTGGGAATCGTACCGTTCAGGAGATACCTCCGGGAAGTCACTCTTGTTCGCGGCAGCTGTCTGTATACGCAGGGAGACTAAGCTCTGGTTAGAACCTTGTAATCGACGTAGAGAAACAACAGAGTACGAACTCGTCAAAACAAATTGGCCAACAGTTGCTCCGAAACCTGAAAGGAAGGCATTGAATGGCTGCGACGTTGATTAGCATTCTACCCAGCGGTCGCCAAGCTCCGCGATTCGCTGGAGGCACGCACGTAGTTTCCGGCCAGAATGCAGTAGAGGAATTGCAGTGCGCCCACAACGGCGATGAAGACGAGGAAGACGTCGATGAGCTTGGTCCGCTGCGGCGTTTCGTTCATGTAATACTGGTAGATGTTCTGCAGCACCTTGTCCCAGTTGGCCGGGGCGCTCTTCGCTGCTGGCGCGGAAACAGGCGTCGACACTGGCGCTGGCACTGGCGCCGCTGCTGCTGGGACAGAGCCCGCGGCTGTGGTGCTGGATTGGGTGGTCGCAGCAGCTGAAGGGACCGGCTCGCGGGCTGCGTTCTTCTTGGCGGGCATGGCGGGCGATTTCCGGTGTCGTCTGGAGAGAAAACGAGGTTGGTGATGATATCGATATTCAATTGCTTGGAAGCACTTAGTCGTGCCTGTTAGGTACTTTGGTACAATTGCGGCCACGAAAGCTCCAAGCAGGTCGGCGAGCTGTGATTGGCTCGCAAATCTGGGGGCCCTGCCGACCCACTTCCCATCATTCGTCAATCACGTCAGTCGATTTGCGGCCTCACTCGACTCCGAGCCCCGATTGGACTCGGGACTTAAAAGGTGCCAGCTCCTCCATCAGATGCATATATAAGCCTGTATTGCGAGGCTCGAAACTCAGCGAAAATACACTCCGTAGCTCTTCATACACGACAAAATCCATCATGGTACGCCAATCATGCTCAATGCGCATCGCGGATCTAGCAAGCTGACATCACTCGCTGACGCCAGTCTAAGTCTTCATCTTCCGCGCTGTCAAATGCGTCCTTTGTCCTTGCGGCTCTCACAGCCGGCGGTGGTGCCATTGGCTATGCCAAGACAGGCTCCGTTCCCTCAATCGCCGCCGGCGGCCTCGTTGGCCTCTTGTGTACGTAGTCTATCATTTCCAGCGCCAAACCCAGTACCGGCGTGTTAACGTGTCCTCTTAGACGGTCTCGGCGGATATCGCATCGCCAACGGCCAGCCTTACGGTGTGGAGCTGAGCCTTCTCGCCTCGGTTGTCCTGGGAGCTTCAGCCTTTCCTCGAGCTATCCGCCTGAGGAAGCCTGTGCCTATTTTCCTTAGCATCCTATCCGCCTATGGTCTCTACACCTTTGGCACTGCCGTGCGCAGAGCTTAATTGGACGGAGGGCATTTCTGCGTAGTAGTGTATTGGTGTATTGGTGTATTGGTGTATTGGTGGATATGTAGCTGGTGAAAGCCTCAGTCTTTTGACAATCCAAAATCAAAGCCTTGTTTTCTCTAAGCTTCCTGGTTCATCAACTCTCCTCGTTTGTGCTCCATGAGAATATATATGTACATTGACAAGACGTAGCGCCTATCCTCCGGCTACCTGTATTATTCCCCAACGCCGGTCATGATTGATACTAGATGGTAATATTGTACAAGAGAGAAGGTATTGGGATGTAGAAATGAGTTGAGAATGTTGCGGGATGGAGAAAGCAATGGTGCGTACATGCATGGCTCTTAGAGGCCAAGCGCTCGCTGCTCTTCCTTGATCCTATCCCGCTTTGCCCTCGCGGCGGCCCTGTTATCGTCTTGAACTTTGGAGCGTTGCTGTCGCAGACACTTGTCTACCAGGTCTTTGGCATCGTTGCAGGCGCCTGCAGCTTTGTGCATGAAGCCCTTTGCATGGCATTCTTCGAGAGCGGCAATGACGTCCTGGCATGCTGGACATCTCAGTTAGACCAATGGAAAAGAAATGATGATCTGAGAGACATTGGCCATACCCATAGCATTTTGCGTGTGCAGATGAGGATGCATTTTCGTGTGTGCGGAGAGCAAGACGGTGGAATTGCAGATTTCGCTTCGACGGAGAGATCGATTATTTCATCAACAGATGTTGCCTCCAGAAAAAGCTTGGCCCATAATACAGGCCTGGAATAATTAGGCGTTGCCTCTAGCGGGGGGCTTCCCACTAATAGCTAATAGCTGCCGCCCACAGTGCCGGGAATCAACCGATGCTCAGATTGATAGCAATGGCCTGCAGCCACAGAATCTCTGCCTCGACATCTCGCATAGTGAATCACAGGGATAGCTGGCCTTTCACTTACAACCTCCCTGTCTACTTATTTCACAGCGGCAATCATGGCATCATCACAACAGCTTCCTGCGAAGAAGCAGCAGGGTAAGTGTTCATTATACGGGCGTTCTTCTCTCGCCTTGCTGTCATCCCCTCCTCCTGCTGACCATATTCATAGATCTTCAAACAACTTACTCCAACTACAAGAACACACTGCAGCAGATTGCTTCAAAAATCGGTGATATTGAGCAGGAGGCAGAGGAGCACAAGTTCGTTCTTTCTTCTCCCTTTTCCCCTCTCCCTCCTTTACTATTTTTGATGTTTCTCGCACTGGGACTTCTACCCCCACGCTTTCAAGCCATGTCTCACATCTTCCCTGTCTACGCCGCACACTCTCAGCCTCAGCGGAACCCAGCGTATCACACCGCTAATTCAGCGACTATTCTAGGCTTGTGCTTGAAACTTTGGAGCCGCTTTCGGGGGATCGAAAGTGTTTCCGTTTGATCAACGGCGTGCTCGTGGAGAGAACGGTCAAGGATGTCGTGCCAGCACTGAAGACAAACCAAGAGGGACTGAAGAAAGTCCTTGATGATTTGGTGAAGCAGTACAAGAACAAGCAGGATGAACTGGATAAATGGAAGGTTCGTATATTCCATTCGTCTGGAAACAACACTCCTTTTTCGTGGTCTAACTGAAAGCTAACCCTCTCTTTGCCAATCAACAGAAGAAGAACAATGTTCAGGTAGTACAGCAGTGAGGCACACGACGAAGTATGCCACCTAATAGAAAAAAAAATGAAAAAAATCTAGTGGTCAAGCAACAGCCCAACCAGTTGATGAACTGGCCGAATATGTGGATTCTGCCATCCATCCTGAGCTGTTAATGCACCTGCATCAGTTTCACATTGTTTTCCTCGTCAGCATGCATGCGTTCTATACCACATAGTCCAGCTCTACGTGGCCGTGCCCCTGGACGACGCAGAAACCAGTCCTTGGCATTCAAATGATCCTTCATGCCCGGCTGTTCAACCGCTCGGAATTCATCCTTCTGCGGATGCCGCCTCAGTGCCCAACCGCATGCAGCCTCCACCTTGCAGTATCCGCACATTGGGACACGCGCAGCGTGTGAGAATTAACTACAGCGACGCAAACAGGGGTTTATCCGTGTGATTTGGTGTGCCTTTCGATATGTGGCATATGTGTCCATTCGTTGGATTCCCAACATTCAGGGTATCAAGGCTTGGTCTAGATGCGTACAAATCACTTTACATTGCCGCAGCCCAATCGGAACGCCACACAAGCTCAGCCGCACTATATAACATCTCACATCAGAGAGTGCGCTCATCACCGAATCCGAGGTTGCATAAGTTACCTGAGCGAGCATTCGCCTACGCATGTACCGTCCCTCCCGGAGATCTCGTCACCAATGCATATGCCGTGCCGCTCTTGAGATGTAACTTCGCATTGCCAAGTGGCAAGCCATCATGACAACACTTCATCCAACGGATTCCAGGGTCGTAGCCCCCCTAACAACATCGATGTCTGAGATATCACACAACGTATTCAAATGAGAATATCTAAAGGACATACATGGAGACCCATCTGCAGGGTGTCAAGCCGGCTTAATGCAGGAGTGGGGTGCTCACCACATTTTATCCCCCTCCTCGTGGCTCGTATGTTCGCTCGTGACACCACTTCTAAAGCAGTCCTGTTCACGAAAGAAGCGTAGAATCGTTTCTGGAATGTTACGCTGGCCAGACCGGGGCGGGACGAAGAGGCCTAGAAACAAAAAAAGAGGGGGGAATAAGCCGGCTAGGCATGCATTCATTGGGTCATTGGGAATTACTTACAACTCATGTGCCTTGAACGCTCATGAGAGGCTACTAATAGCTAGTAGCGGCTACTAACATGAAGCGATTCCTGCGAACTGCAAACTGTGGATGCCCCAGGTAGCTTACTTTGTACGAGCGTTGCAGCCCATCTCAGTAACACGACAACACTTACCGCCATTATGCATTGCTCGCATCTATCATGCAGGCCGCCAGCGACTTTGACGAATAGAGGAATATGGTACCGAGGGGTGTTTACCAACTCTCTGCTTTCTCACACGCACAAACTGTTAGGTAGGCAGAGAGCGAACCGATCAAGGACGACAAACACCACACATACTCGTATGTGAGCAAGAAAGCTACTATTTATTAAATGGGCTTAGCTTGCCTGCAGCCCCCAATCCCAACAAGTACAGGCACACGGGTTATAATTGAACTTGGACGCATCGAGGAAACGGATGTTTATGCGCATGCTCGTGCTTCATGCCCAAGCTGGGTGCGGCTGGGCTTCAAGCCAACTCAGCACCCATCCATCCATCAAGCAAGCCCGCCATCCTTCCGTCTAGCCATGCGCAGGGACAAGGGCAGAAGGGAGGACGAGGGACGTTTGGCCTCGCTACCCAATCAATCTGCGCATCACCGGCAGCATAGGGGCACTGTTTCGGAGTGCTTAGACAGAGCGAAATGTCGTCTTTTCAGAGGATACCACGGAATGCATGTAGCCGTCTCGGGCGGAGCTGTGCCTGAGCAAAAAAAGAACAAGAGAACCAACAGATGGACCGTTTGGCACCGGCAGCGTCACCATTGGCCCAAACAATGGCCCAATACCCGAGTGGTTGTCGAGAGCCAGGCCGTGGTTTGTTCCCGCTCGGCGTCGGTCACCAGCCAACCACTGGGCAGACTTGAAATGCGGCCCAATGACTTGACAACTGGTTTTTTGGGGGCGGGTTCCTGAGGAGAGGCTTGCCTTAGCGGCCTCTGATTACGGGCTGCGATCCATTGTCGAATGAGCAACTGCAGTAGCCCACCATCCCGGTACCGTCTTCGTGGGCTGGCGTGCAGTCTCGTTTGCGACGACGACGTCACAACCACGAGGCTGGCCATGCTTGTATCACGGAATACCGCAGGCCAGGGTAGCTGGTACAAGGGCGCCGGCCTCTTTTCGCGTTGCCAGGGCAGGGGTGAGGGCTCTCGCTGACTGGCAGACTTTGGTCAAGCTCCCATTGATGTCTTTTTGCTTTCTCCCGATATTAGAGGCCACCCATCCGAAGCGTCTTCCAGCTGATGACACCAAGAGGGCACCGCGGATAGCTGCTGTAACACACCGCCTCTGATGCCTTGGTGCAACCATCCGGCCCCCCCTTGGACTTTTAGCCCAGCAGAAGACGCACTTGGGACGAGGATTATCAATCGTAGGATGATGTTGGTTGTGATCAAAGGCTCACATGAGGCATTCTAAACCTGAATCCCATCATCATGTCAAGCCGGGGTGTGCGGATTGAGTGGTCTGGTGATTTGAGCGCATACATATGTGGTGGGCCTTTTTTTGGTTCTTTTTAATAGGATTTTCTCGTAATGGAGAATGCTGCTCCAAATGCCAACCCAGTTAGTATATTCGTACGGATGCTGCCACGCTTACTCCGTACAAGAGGTGCTAACTGCCTATAGCACCGTAGCTGTAGATAGAGTTAGTAGTACGGTAGCTCTCAGTGATGGTAGCATTAGTACTATTCGAGTACCCATGTAGTCTTGCAGCAGCTGATGCTATCACCACTTCTCGGGTAGCAGGTATCATATACAGGTAGTACTAAGCCGGTATTAGATCGTGTTGCATTTCCCAAGAGCCACCAGGTACCTCTGCTCGATAAGTGGTCGACATCAAAATGTTGAATGGCTCCTGACATATTAAACGATAGATACCGAGCAGGCAAGTAACCCAGTACTGTCAGCTCAGCTCCAGATACCCGCCCTGCTAGTGCAGATCGAGCTGCCTAAAGGTAGCTTTGCTGCTGGGCAACAACCGCCCACTCGCTGGTGGTACCTCAGTACGCATCGCAGTATGAAGCAGTACCTTCAGCCTTTGTTTTCCCCCTCTATCGATAAAGCTGCAAAAGGCTGTCACTGCAGCGCTGCCCATCCAAAACACTGCCTTAGTACCGGTCTAGTTGCGCAAAGTACCGCGCTACCTGCCCGCCAGGTTCCCGCTGTTATTTCGGCCGACAACACCACGCTGCTGTCCACCACTAGCCTCGTCCTCTCTTTTTCCTCTTTGCACTCCACATCCACATTCACACTTATGCACCCACGCCAGCCGCAGAGCAAACAGCGCAATACACCCTCGTGAGACGCTTTCCAGACTCCCCCCCGCGAGCCTCCTGTTCTGACCTCGAACCAGTCGCCCTACGACCCGGAACCCTGCGCGACCGTGTAACTTGGCCGCGCCACCAAATCCGTCCCAGAGCCGTTTGCACGCGAAGACGTCGTCTGTTGTCTAAGGCGCACCCCCGTCGACCTTGTCGCTGTCTGTTGTCCAGGCCGTGAATCCTCGAATCTGCCTGGCATTGCCATAGCCAGCGCCAGAGAGACTGTCAGCAGCTGAGAAGCAGTGCTTGTGCTTGATTCGCTCACGCCCTTGTGGCAGCGCTGTGCTCTGCTCTGCTTGGACAGAGCTGTTGTTTTGCTCCCCAATCGTATCGACTGGAAGCTCTTTGCGACTGCGGACCCTATTTTTTTTTTTCCAAGGCCACCCCTCCCCCTCCGGCCTTTCCCCTCCAACCAGGGATATTCTCTCCCAACCGGCTTGCCAGCCCATACATACATACGCCAAGCGGGCGTCATAGGTCCTGCGTCGTCCAGCCAGGGCAGACCCAGCCTGCCGCGACCTAGATCCCTCGCGTTTTGTCACGATTGACGCATCTTTTTGCATTGTGCACACCCCTCTCGACGTATCGGGCAAGCCCTACTACCTCTGCGACGTGGCCAGGGGGACACATCATCGCGAAACATACCGAAGCTGTGCCAACCCGAAGATTTTACAAAAGACGCTAGCAGCCGCTGCAGGTAGCCAAATATGTCCGACTCCCCTCAATCTCCTCCAAAGGATGTCGACCAAGGTGCACAGTCACCCGACGAGGAAGGACAAATGAATGATAACCAGGAACCCCACTCGGCCGGAGGGACTGGCTACGAGTTTGAAGGTGTCAAGGAGCAAGACCGGTGGTTGCCTATAGCCAATGGTATGTTCTCGTCGTCCCCCATCAGCGTCATTCTCGAATCGTGATTGCTTGCCGCATGCGTGTGAGCTGCTCGCCCTTCTCAGCCTCGCATATTTTCCTATGTCTCACCATTTGTTCCCCAATGTGCAGGAGACGCCGCGCGCCTCCAAGGCCGACAAATCTGATGAGCTTGATGCTAACATTCGCAACTTTGCTCCAGTCGCCCGCATCATGAAGAATGCTTTGCCTGACAACGCCAAGATTGCGAAGGAGGCCAAAGAATGCATGCAGGAGTGTGTAAGCGAGTTCATCTCTTTCATCACTAGCGAAGGTATGTCTGTGTTTTGGGCTTTGTCACATAGAGCGAACGCCTTTGCGTATACTGACATGTCTTACTACTAGCCTCGGAAAAGTGCCAACAGGAGAAACGCAAAACAGTCAATGGAGAGGACATTTTGTTCGCCATGACTTCCCTGGGTTTCGAGAACTATGCAGAGGCTCTCAAAGTCTATCTCTCAAAGTACCGCGAGGTAAGAAAGTGTCCACGCCATCACTTCTTCTCGCAATTGAACATGAATTTTTAACAAGACGGTGGGGAAATAGCAACAAAATCAATCGAACCGTGATCGCGTCCTAGAGAACAACACCTGGGCAGGCGGCATGATCCCGGGTGCTGAAAAGACCGAGCCAGGCACAACCAGTGCCGAGTATGCACCCACCGAAGGGGCGAATCCTGCCGAAGGTGGTGCCGATCCGAACTACATGTACACCTCCCATGCAGGTCACAACGGAGCTGGTGCTGGAGATAGCTATTAGGGGTGATAACCAGCTGATAGCCTTCGCGGACTGCAGATGGCAACATCTGGTACCTCGACCGTTGTTGGCCAGCCCGGTAGAAGGGGATTATCGGCCCCTTCCTGGAACTCTCCTGACTTCCGGGCCATGGCTCTCAGCTCTCAATTCGACATGTAAAAGTATCAGTACAAATACTTGGTTATTTGACTTGGGTTAACAGCATTACCGGTATACATGAAGTTGGAAAAGACGGGGCAAGAATGAGGAGAGAGGGGAGTTGAAAGGATTCAATCTCCATTGGGTGAATGCGTGGGCTTTGTTTTGTTTTGTTTCTTTAGTTCTTGGGCTTCAGTTACAGATGGTTGGTCAGACAGGTAGATTCCCCATTGGAGCTTCACCTGTCGACTCAGGAGCGGTCCTGGGATACGACACACATCTCGGCAGCAGGGAATTCAGGACTTTCCCAAGCAGGATAACGGAATATGCATGGGGTCCAGACTGTGGGTTACGGAGTTGGAATATTCGATACGAGTCTACTACATACTAGTGCTACCAAGAGGTTAGTACTACTACTAGGTATATCCATTTTTATATCAAACGTCTTTTGTCACTTTCTGTAACCCAAGTTGCGGATTGAGGCCGTGGCAATCACTTGTGATCACAGTCACAACGCAGCTCATGCAGCCACTTGCGGCGTCTTTGCATGAGGAATGAATGGCTCTTGCATAGTCAAGTGGTACTGCATTGTGGCGGCGTCAGGGAGATTCCATTGAATGCATGGCCGAAGATGCTCCTGATTTATTACATGTGTTACAGCTATCACATCCACTTCGTCATCAAGCTAGGTAAATAGTCGTCATTGTCTAACAAAAGCTCTTCGCAAAGGCAAAAGAATATTCCGAAGCGCGCACGGACCACTCTTGCTGCCTAAGCCGACTTGGTTGCGAGGCACGTGCGGGGTCCCCACTCGATTGAAAATCTTCCCTGACGCATATTAATGTGCAGGAAAAAAATAATCCATGTCCAGCATTGACGCTGTCACTCTCTCAGCATCATTCACCCGCATCCGAGTTGACGGTTATTTCGCATTTCTACACCTTGAGCCCAAGCCATGTGCTTGCGCTTGTTCGAGAGATTAATTGTATTTTTTTAAGTGCTCCGTAGCTTGAGTATGAAGGGATTTGGCGACTGCAGAAAACAGCCTTTATCTTCCATTGCTGCATTCCCGTAACGGACGCCGCGACAATCGCCATCAATCCTGCCAGCATCTTCTCTTTTCGCCTTTCATTATCATCAGCTACCGACATCGCCATCCATGCGACCGTTCATTTCAACCCCCCGAAGCCTCCCTGGTACTCTTCCTAGGAGCACACCTCCGGTCAAGTCCATACTCAAGCCTGCTTCGATTCTGGGCCGAAGGAAAGACCAAGACGATCAGCCCAGCGAGGGCTCCGAGGCCCAAGATCCGACCAGCAAGCGCCGCAAAGTGTTCTTCGACGATATAAAGAATGTGACGTACGAAGTCGGCCGGCGGACAATGGATGAAATCAAGCTGGAAGTGCGCATGGCGCTCGAGGCCCACCTCCGAGGAGATGACGGCCAGTACGACGGGTTGAAGGAGATGTTCGCCAACGACAAAAAGAGATACCTACCGCCGGTCGTGGGAGAAGAGGAGGACACGCTGAAGCCGCACGAGCTGCAAGTTTACCTCATGGCTCTGACTGGCTGCATCCCTATTCTGAAGAGCAAGGACTGCAACGGCCTGGTCAAGGTCATTCTCAACTGCTCCTGGCTGGGACGAGATGCTGCATTTGTCAAAGTGTTTACGCATTTCCTCGCCGCACTGGTCAGCGCTCAAGGATCCTACCTCAACCAAGTCTTGACCATGATCGTGGACAAGTTTCACGACACTCGCCCATCCGCGTGGCGAGTCCCCGATTTCCCCGAGATCAGCCGCCACACGATGCGAGAGAGGCTGCACTCGACTCTACAATACCTTCTCAAAATGTTCCCGTCTGCCATTGCAGTTTTAGAAAACCTGCTGAGAAGCAAGTTCCCGTTCCTCGACGATTCGATGAGAGTCCACATGGCCTACATCCACAATCTCCTCCAAGTCAAAGAATACGTGCCCGACTTGCAAGAAGACGTTTTCGACATGATACTAGATCGCGTTGTTAAAATTGACTCACAGATGCAGTTGGATTTGGAAGACACGGATGATGACATCACGGCCGCCGTCATGTACGCGCTGCGCGAGAACCGCCAGGAAGAGGCAGGAAGCTGGGAAGACGAGGCAGATGACGACAGCGATACCGAATCCGTCGATAGCGACGACGTAGATTATGACCAAGAGGCCGTTCGAATCAAGACTCTTAAGGACAGCGTGGAGAAGATGGACTCGATGCTTGATACCCTGTTCGACGTTTACACACCGCATTTCACAAACCCTGGGTCAGACAAGGCGTTTGACATGTTCATCACTATCCTGCGCGAGTTTGATCAAATGGTCTTGCCAACATACAAATCACGACATACACAATTCCTCATCTTTCATTTCGCTCAGCAGCACGAGCGGCTTACAGACGCGTTTTGCGGTCAGCTCATTGCTAGCGCCTTCCAGAGCAACACGCCAAATATTTTGAAGCAGGCTGCTGCCGCGTATCTGGCAAGCTTTGTTGCCCGAGGAGCCCTCGTGCCGCGCAGCCTGGTGCGCACGATTTTTATGCTCTTGATCCATCACCTGGACCAGTACCGCAGGAAATATGAGCCCCTTTGCCGCGGTCCGGATCTAAAGCGCTTTCACCCTTACTACAGCCTGTTGCAGGCCACCCTTTACATATTTTGCTTCCGCTGGCAGGACTTGGTTGTGTCTGCCCCCGAGTTTGTCGACCCTGAAGACCCGGCATCATATATTGGCCAGGACCTTGAGTGGATTGGTACGACGAGGAAAGATCTCTCGACGCACGTCTTTGGCAAACTCAACCCACTCAAGGTTTGTGCGCCGGTCATCGTCGATGAGTTTGCTAAGCTGGCGCACCGGCTCAATTTCATGTATGCGTATCCGCTGATTGAGAGCAACAAACGCATCCGCTTGACACAGTTCTTGTCATCAACTTACTCCACTGGAGGAGCCCTCCGAGACTCTGGTTTCGATACCCAAGAAGAGAGCTTTCACCAACTGGACCCATATTTCCCGTTTGATCCATACCAGCTACCAGTGAGCAAACGCTGGCTGGCGGAAGACTACGTACACTGGAAATCAATCCCGGGTTTGAATGCAGAGGACGAAGAGGAAGATAGTGACGATTTTGATGAGGATGAGGATGATGAAGAGCTTGAAGAGGGCACCGCAACCGATAGCGACGGCGGTGAATCCGAGTAAGACGGCGACGATTAGATAACGAAGACGGATACACCAAAACGCTGCTTGATGGACAAGACTTGTTATTTGGAATTCCTCTCACATATCACGCTTTGATCTGCTCATTTTTGGAACGACCAGGGGGGTAAGGAGGCCGGGATGGTGCTTTGGTGCTTATGTGCAAAAGTGCATTTGGACTTGGCGTTGGGTGCTTTCATTTTTTTTCTCGTTCGTTTATTAGCGAGGAGTTGGCAAAAGGAACAAGTGCTTTTATCTGCTTTGATTTGATAGCTATATGATGTATACTGCAGCTATATGTAGTATTTGGAGCGGGTCGTTGAATTTAAAGCTCCTTGTCCCGTCAAACCTGTGCCGATTGCCGTGTTGTGATTTCAAGTTGGTACACTCGCAAGACTTGTATTCACCTCATGTAGTACCAAGTACTAGGTAATGCCCTGTTGTGGAAGTATTTGGATGCTTTGCGATAGCATGGGGATTACGGGTATAAAAGGGATAGGAGAATTTGAAATAATCTAATACGAGTATTTGAAATACTTTGGATGCAGGCGACCTGGGGCGTCTGCCCAGAGGGGAGGGTTACAGATACCACTCCCCCTTTGTTTATTTCAAATCATGAGAGTGCCATTCTCTTGTGCACTAATGTCTGCTTGATCCCTCATGCAGGCGCCATCTGCAGCTAATGCCGCTGGCCTGGAGTGGGAGAAATCCTGTGCGGTTCGGCAATTTATTTTTGGGAGCGATTCCAACTGCTCGCTCGTGGGGTTTTGTGTTTGTGCCGATCGGGTTGTTTGTTTGTGTATTTATACTCGGAATCTTATTGACGGGATTTTTGGGGTCTGTCGGCATTTAGCGCCTCTGCTCTCCGCTTACCGGATGGTACCAGGTACTTCTTGACGGGAAATGGACGATATTCTTACGGGAGCTTATCCGTAGAGAGGAGATACATAATCCGTTTCTTTTCATGGCAAGATGTAGGATTGATGGCAATAGCTTGAATCTACCTTACCTATCACTGCCTAGCACAAAGGCACAGGTAAGGTTGTTTCTGAGATGCCATTCAAATCGGATCTGTACATGTACTTTTGCTAGTCGAACGGCACTGGAATTCTTCAGCAGCCTCAGCTGTGTAGCCCACCCTTCTCTACGCTCGCCAAGGTCGCCTACAGCGCGGCTAGAGCTATCGGCACAGCATGTTTGGGGGGCTCTCTTGTACAGGTACCTGCTCAGCCGGGTCCGGTAATTGGCTGACGACTTCCGCCCGGAAGCAAAAAAATAGGCCCAAGTAACTTGGTAACTCCGTATCGCTAAAGGCGAATCGACAGCCTGGCGCCTTTTGATGGCCTGCTTTTTTTGAACCTACACCGTACAGGTACTGCGACAAGCTTGTCAAGGGCAAACACTCTTGCGGCTGTTCGATATTCTTCCATCGCCAGACTCAAAACGGAATATCCGGGGTTGCTGATTGAGGATTGACTCGCGCCTTAGCAGCTGACATCTTTCCGCCCGCCTCAGCTCATTGCTGCTCGCTCGCTACCTTGCTTTGCTTACAGTGAACAAGCGCAATCACACGAACTTTTCCGAGACCTATCCGTGACGGCCAAGGGCGAGACTGGGAGGCTGCTCATCTCTTCTCTCTTTGAAACCAAGCTTCCTAGCGTCCTGCTGTTTTTTTTAGAGGATTTCCTCGTCGAGCTCAATTGCTGTTTGTTGCTCGGTGACGTAGCGTTGACCAAACCAAACAAGCTGCGTCGTGATTGATTCACGCTCGCATTTACTACAATGGCGGATGCGGAAAGTGCAGAGGGTGACCGGCCCTCGTTCACCAGCTTCTGGAAGCGAGTGAAGCAAAAGGAGAAGGGCGAAGGCGGCGACCAGCAGAAGAAGAAGGGGAAGAAGTCGGCCAGCCCATCCTCGACTGCGGAGCTGCAGCTGGACGAAGGCGGCGAGCAAGATCAAGATCCTGGTGAGTTCCAGATGACGCGTTTCCTGTTTTGTCGCCCCTCCACCTGCAGGCTATGATTTATGCTTGAGTTGCTCTTTTAAATCTCTGAATGATTCCATCTATTTATCCCGAGGCGGGCTTGGTTGTGGGAGACGCGCGCTAGAGGGCGAGAGGGGACCTGGGCCGTCGAAACGACGTGGATTGGCCAAACCCTCAGCACGACATCCGGAATCCGGGGTGATTCCAATGAACCAATGATTACAGGGCAACGGGTGTTCCAAAAGTAGCAGTTCTGCTTGCCAAGGAGCTGCCTACTAATGCAATCTGCGTCTCGTCGCTGGCTGTCAGATTCCCGAGCAAGTGCTTCGTGATTTGGAATTGTTTGGATACGGGAGTGGTCATGGGCTAGCGTCCAATCCTTTTCTCCGCACTACCACCCTCTATCGGTGTGATACATCTTTATCTTCATAAGACGAGCCAGTCGCTCCATCAAAAGTGTGAAAACACTTCTTCATCTGCCGTTTGATTTATTCGTTTAGTTCGTGGCGTTGCTGCCTCTTGTCTTTGATTCCATTCATGACGACGAGTCCCACTTAAAAGTTTGGAATCTTATACTCGGTTGGCGCTGCTCCTATATCACACTACTGCCCACGCTATGCCTTTCCTTACTCGTGTTGCATCGTCTCGAGAGCTTAGACGGACTCGGTCTAGGGAATATCACAAGAAGAAGATGGAGGCTGAACATAGACTTCGAACTACAGATGAAAACACGGGTGAAGCCGGCGAGGAGGCCGGAGCCAAAGACAAGGCTCAGCTTCGACGAGCTCAGGTTAGGAAGGCCCAGATTCAACACCGACAAAGAAAGGCAAACTATGTCAAGCAACTGGAGCTGGACGTGTCTCAGCTGCGAGACCTTATCACCCAGGCCCAGCAAGAGACGTCTCAGATCCGCAAGGAAAATGACAGCATCCGAGACATCATAAGAAGAACCGAGCCTAGCCAGTTCACATATCCACAGGCCGACTCGACTTATTTCTCAAATGCAGATTCTCCCAGCACCCGCTTGGGTGGCATGTCCGAGCTAGATACCCAGGAATGGCTCTCCGGCGGGCAGTTGTCAGATCTCGACCTGAATCAACACCCCTTGATGCCTTCAACCTCGAACGATGCCGAAATGTTTGGCCACATCAACGTCGATGATATCACTGTGTCACTGGGCATCCATGACCTCCTAGGAACGCCTTGCTTCACCATCAACAACTCTTCCACTGGCAGCAGCGTGCAAGGCTATGCTAGCCCGCCAAGCTTCGAAAACGCTCCTTTGACGCCTCCCTTAACTCCCCAACAAGAGCAGACCGTCATCAATTGGGTACTAGCGTAAGTTTTATCATCTCATGCCTATTAATTACATCCGTGTCTGGAAGCGCGACTAACATGGCTCCCTTTCTTTGTCGAACAGTCTCGAAAACATCTGCTGGAACCACTTCCACTCCAATGATTTCCACGACCACATCCCCGGCGAGACCGAGGGAGGCAACAACCATATTCTCACTGCAACCTCCCTCTTCATGAATGCCGCACCCACATCCATATTCAACGACCGCCAGGTCTTCGCTGGCATTGACCCCACGACTACACAGGCTCCCACCTTCCAGTGGCAGGCCACTGGTATTTCCATCAGTTCTCTCTGGGCCCTGGCTCAGTTCGAGATTGATCCGACCGAGATCTCCCCCGTGCAGATCTGGTTCGACTTGGCGTCCAAGTATTCCTACGAACTGCTCTTTGCTGATGGAGTGTTGACGGCCTTGTTGATTGAGCTGAGGCCCTTCATCAGGTGTATAGAGTTTGGTGCAGCCGTCAATAGGCAGTTTTACGAGGATGTCGTTGAGAGAATGATTGGACTGCCGCCCGTAGTATGATTCTTTGGATGGCTTTCAGTGCAAAAAATTGAAAACCATATGGTGGCGTATTGGAAAAAAATCTTCTTGTTTCTTTCTTGATGACATCTCTTCTTTCTATTTTCTTAGGGAGTTCTCGTGATGGCTGGCGGGTTTACCAACGAAGAATATCCAAGTTGTGCTGTCTATGAATGATGGCATCGGGAATTGCCAATGGGAGTTGCGAAATAATAGCAGGAGTGTATATTTAAGGGGGACATACACTTGAACAACAAGGTATACCAAATGTTCATAATTATATATAAATATATAAAATGTTACTTCAACTCCCAAGCCTATCTGCGCCTCTATCTGTTCCCATCTATCTCATACCAATCTCCATCCCCCGATAGAATTTCTCCTTCATCCGATTTACAGAGCCTTCACCATACTGCGATCATCAAAAATATCCTTCAACAGCGCCTCCACACAGGCCTCCCTATCAAGCGCTCCCATGGCATACGTCGACTCAAAGGCAAAGATGCTAAGCTGGCCAAAGAACGGCCTAAGAACCTTTGCCACCAACTCATCCTTCCTCTCAAAGCTGACGTCGTCACCGATGCCGCCGATGCCCAGAAGTGGAAGACGGCGCGAGCCATTGTTGCTCGTCGCCATCTGAGCCGCCGTCATGGCATCGTCGTGGCTAGTAACGGCGGTCAGCTGGGCAGACGTCGCACCCAGCTCTTCCGATATTTCATCTACAAGGGCGACGGGCTGATACGTCGCCGACCTATACACGGCCTCGATGGTATCCGTGACGAAGAGCCACTCATGGAGCTGGAAGTCATCCGGAGCAACGCAGATGAGCAGGTCAAGCAGCTTGCAGGCCTGCAATATGGCCGAGCATACGTAGATTTCGGCCGCCGTGCTGTGATCAGGAGCCACGATGGAAGAAATGGCGGAGTGAATCTCGGCGTTGACCACGGGCCACAGCCTGGCGAGGTGGATTGGGCTAACCTTCAGCACCAGCGCCCTGATGACCATGTAGACCTCGGCTCGTGTTGTGGATGATGGAGATGACGTCGAAGTAGCTCCAAATAGCTCGACTACCTTGTCGAAAATGACGGGAATATCCGTGACAAAGGCATCGTCCGCAGAGGCAAGAATCAGCGTGGCGATCCTCCGCAAGTTCAGCTGCGTCTTTCGATCGGCCTCGAGACGGGCAGAGGTGGCGCCCACTCCGAATACTATTCCTGCAGTGGTGGGTGCGCTGATGCGGCCAACTATCTCCGGTATCCTCTCCTTGTCCGTCACGGTCCACTGCCGCAGCAATGGCAGCCAGTCATTCTGAACTAAAGCCAGGTTCATTGCGAAGAATTTGCTATCGTTGAAGGCGTCGCCAACGTCCTTCTTCCACGTTTTTTGGTTGTTCTGCAGCCTTGACAGCTCATGCAGGAGCTTCAAGGTGCTCGAAGAGACAGAATCCGGAAATGTTTTAGAGCGGAATGTTGGACCAATAACATTGGTTGATATTGTTCCTGCGGCGGATAGCACTCGGTCGGGTTCAAGAAGAATTTTGGGCAAGTTTGGAACAACTGATGCGAGAATGGCCATGACATCGTCAGATCTCTCGATAGCGCCAGGAAACGTGCCACGACGTTCCAGCTCGCCTTTAACGAGCTTCGTCCCCGACGTGCCATTAGAAGTTGTTGGTTCAGCAAACGTTGGTCTCGTTGTGAAGAGAGCAGTAAGAAGCCTTAGGAAGAGGTCCTGTAGAAATAAACAGTTAGTCATGGTATATATTCAAGTAATCACAATCAATAGACTTACTCCTAGTTCCCTACGCATCTTTCGCTGCTCGCCAAAATTGGTGTTGTCAACTTTCTCGCCCAAGATGGCAGCAAATTCTAAAAGACTGGGAAGCGTCTGCCGGTGGGGGAAAGGATTGTTCAGAAGGTCCTTGAGGAAAGTAATGCAGTCTTGCCATATCTCATCCATGGCATCGTCATCAAGCGACCTAGCGTACTCGACCAAAAAGACGACCAAATCGGCGTCCTGAAGCGAGATTGTCATTGTTGATTTCCTGGAAGGCTCCAACGCAGCCGGGTTTGTGCGGCTATATATCGAATTAAAAAGCGCTGGCATCGAATGTCTTGGCCTTGCAGCGTCCAAAGCTGCCAAGAAGTTAAACACGGTGGCATGGTCTGCGGCGCTTGTTGAATTCCTCCAAACGTCAATCACAGTCTCCAGACTTTCGAGCGTCTCGGCCGTAAAAAGATGCTCAAGGAGCCTTCTTGCCCGATTCCTCATCCTCAGAGACGTGTAGTTGAAGGAGGCAGACGAGTTTATGTCCTGTGTAGTAGCATCATCTCCCTGTCCCCAAGTCCAGATAGAGAAGCACATGCGCACAGCATCTTGGAAGGCCAGGTGAACAGTCAGGCGGTCGTTGGCTGTAGCACTTCGAGATTGAGGGGCATCCGATTGGAAGACACCCGACACCATGCTCCCAAATATTGACTGAGGCTGGTCGGGACCCTTCAGGGCCAGCGCTTGGGCTTCTTCAGCTAGTAATTGATCATGCGCCTTCGCCAAGACTTGCTCCAAGGCATTCAGGAGATAGATTAAAGTGGATTCCGGTGTTCCAGTCTCACTCTTAACTTCATATGTTTCGTCTTCAAACATGGTTTTCAAGTGCGAGAACGTAACGCCAATTTGCTTGCATAGAGTCTCAACGAGGGGTATCAAAATCTGGAAGATAGACTGAGAATAAAAGGGTAAGCATCTGCTTAGAAATGAGACCCAGTTATCTAGGACAAACTGGCTGCTTGTCGAGCTCAGGCCTGCCTGCAGGCACTTGAGTAGCTGAGGTGGCATTATCATGGGAGGTGGTCTTGTGTCGCCCGCAGAGATGGATAATCGCACCGCATGTAGAGGATCCGCGCTTGAGCGCCGCTTTTCAGCCGTCGATTGCATCGAAAGCTCCGCTGCCACGATTTCTTGTAGCTTGAGAGCGTCGAAGACGACTTCAAGCAAAAGGACTTGTACATAGGGGTCTGAACTTCCAATAGATTTCATCAATCTGTCAATTAGGACGTGGTCGAGATGAAGATCGTATAGAGGGGCGGCGTGGTGGCTTATGAGGAAGTGATGGAGAACAGTGAGTGCGTAACGATGCAGCTGGGAGACCCTGTGGTTGAGGTCATCGCTAGCAGATGCAGAAGCGTCACCAGTGATACAAGCCAAACACACTCTGACAAAATAATCTTGCAGCGTGATATCGTCCTCATCTCCGCCAGCTGGGAAAACGCAAATTAGTAAGAGACAATAAAAGATCTATCAGACCAAGCGTGAAGTACATACTAGATATTTGCACCTGGCCCATAGTATTAAACGAGAGATGCTTGGACACTAGCACTGCTCTTGAAGTTTCTCCGGAGCATTCCAAAACGTGATGGAGGGTCCTCAGGTAATACAAGCAAAGGTCGATATCGTCATCCTCGGTGAAAATGGGGGCTTCGGGCTGAGGCTTTTCGGCTTCAACATTCTTTCCGACATCTCGAAGACAGGGGATCTCTGCGAACTTGACAACAAAGAGTAGAAAAAGCCTATATATAACTCTTAGCAAACCCGACACAGACACAGGGGAGGATCGCAAAATACCTATCAATGCCAACCATGCTGTTGAGCCACGACTTGACAGTCATATACATCTGGGTTCTGTCGTCTAGTAATCCGTCTAGCACGAGGAATAGAGGCCGCGTCAACATGACCTCATAATGGTCAGTCGCACTCAGCTTTTGACCCAGCTTTGCTTCAATTGTAGGGATCTTAGGTCCTCGACGATCGGATGGTGTGTCCTGAAGAGTCTGTGACCAAAGAACACCGAAAGCGCGCCCAATATCTGCACAGCCGCCAGCACTCTGGTCGACCAGGATGCTCGCGAGCGAAGCTTCGACATCGCGGCGAGATAACGAAAGGGCAGCCTGAAGCTGCCACAGACATCGGACCGTTTCCACGTGATACTTAGGCTCGGAGGCAGAGAGATATGACCATGCATGCTGAACCAGTGGATGCACTAGCTCCGAGAGTTCTGAGGTTGAGACTCGCTCGACGTAATGGAGCTGCGCAATCAGGTGCAAGATGGAAGAAAAGTCTGAAAATCTCAGGCGCCGCTTTTGCATCAATTTTGCTTTTAGAGAAGACACCAGGGTTATCTCGTCGAACCGGTAGGTTTTGGGCACTTTTAGTAAGATAAGAAGCAGGACTCTGATATGTAGGCTCAAGGCACACGATGACTCTTGGTCAACCGAGTCATCAACAATGTACCTAATTGCCTTATCCATAATCAGCTCGCCGGTTTCAACTTGAGAGAAAGGCGTTGGTGAAGCGTCCAGATTTCCTTGCCCGTGGATATAAAAATCTTGAATTTCCTTGAGCAAGCCCGTGGTCGACAGAGAGGAAATCCTGTCAGACTCTCCCTTTTCGCCGGCGTTGCCTGCGGTGGATTCAACGAATGCTCGGTCTGGAACCAACTCCAGAAGTGAAACAACGATGCCGAGGATTTGTTCGTTCAACGACGAGTTGCCGCCACGTTGCGAATTGCGTGCCTCTTCTAATAGGGCCAAAGCAGCGAGGCAGGTCAAGGGGGCATGAATTGTAACCATCTCCTCTTCGCGCACGTTGAAATGAGTGATGATGAAAGTGACCAACGACAGCTTATCACTTCGCTCTTCGCTACTCAAGTTTCCTGGTCTAATAGCTTGACCCAAGAGTTCAACAAGCTCACCATAGATGAGACCACTTTCAATGCCATCGAAAAACACGCTTGCGCTCCGCAGCACCTCCGTGAATTCTGCCTTGGCCGGACTCTGTTTTTGAAATTGCCGTACACTTTCTACTACAGGAAGAAAGATGTCCGGAATCACAAGTCCACCAACCTCCCATCTGTCCATTAAAGAGAGACATATTCGATATGGGCGAGTTCGTTCGGCGACTCCCCTGTGAGTCGTATCCTTGATCATTTCGAGAAGAGATTTTGTAAGCGACTGCAGCCCAAAGTGTTCGAAGTAGCTTGTCCGAGAGGAGAGCAAAGCTTGTTGGCCGTCTGCCGCGCTGCTGTGCAACTCTGGATTTTGTTCTCCTTCGTTACCCGTCAGCTCGGGACCAAGAAGCCATGCCCATAGTCGACGGTTCAAGCTCATGTCTCGTCGGGTGACTACTCCAACCGCCGCTTTCAGGAGAAGTTCCAGATCACCAGGCTTAACAAGAGACTGCAGCACTTTAGAATTAAGGGGAAGATGAGACACAAGCAAATCGAGAAAGCCACGCTGGATTAACAGCTGTTCATCAGAGAGTCCACTGGCAAAACATCTCACAAGCAAACCAGGCTCTGGGGTGGTAACGATGGCAGCAATGTCACTATTGAAGCTGCTCTCCGCATTGTTTTGGCCGTTCTTCTCACTAGACGTGCCAGCAGGGGCATCAGAACCCAACACGGGCAGATTGCGTATCAAGTAAGCAAGAGCACCAGCACGGCGGCTGTGGCTTGTAACGGAGGCCAAGAAGAAGCATTGCCAAAAGAAGTCGTCGCCTGAGGCATGTTGCTCGGTAAGGGCGACGCTGTCTGCTGGACGAATGGCTTCCTTGAAGCTCCCAACCAGCCGGAGCGTTCGATCGAAGTCTTCGCTGGTCTCGTCTTCTAGCCCTGGTAGCAATGCCAGTATGATAGATTTCATAGCTGGTCTCAAGGACCTAGAGTCAACACCTGTGAAGTGACGCTCCAGGATGTCGAGATATGGCGAGCGAACAGAGAGGGACGCAAAAGAGAGGGTAGGCGCCAAGCCTGGAAGATATAAGGGGAGATCTCGGGACAGTCCATCTTTTCCAATTGTTTCAAATACGTAATTATACACTTCGAGAGCTTTTTGGTGTACACCTGACGGTAGAGACGGGTTTAAGCATTGCGACAGACGTTTCGCGACGGTAATCTTGGCGGGGATGACGGAGACGGCAGGCGGCCGGGCTTGCAAGCTCTATATCAGACATGTCAGTGTATTGTGTCGCGAATCAAGATGGTTGCCTAATGGCTGACCTTGAGCAGTCTGTTGAGGAAGGATATATAGTCGGCCCATTCCTCCAACGCCGTCTCGAACAGCAATAACGCCTTATCGACTCCGGCAGCATATCTGCGGTACGCCTTGTCCTTTATAGGGGCGTCCTCTAGACTACCAAGTCAGTGACACGGTCGACAAAAGCTTCCCACAAGGCTTCCTACCCACCTCCGCCGAGCTGGTTCCTCCATTGCCGTGGAATGGGCGAGTCTCGCCCCGAGCTCTCTGGCGACCCGGATCGCACACCAGGACCCAGTTCAAGCGCCATTATGACAGGCTAATTGGTTCATGGGTGAGATGAATAACAGCAGCAATTGGAAGCCAAGAAGCGAGGCGCATAGCTGCAAGGAACAGCTGTGGATACAATGTAGTTCGCAAGATGGCTTCAGTCTATTCGCCAGATGAAGCCGTCCAGAAGGCTACGTTTCAGTGCTTGCGCCCAAAGCTAAGGTTCCAGGTACAAGGGACATGTGCCGACATACGTAGCCAACCCCACTATAGGTGCTTGATTGGAGCGCTGGCTGACGCAAGGCTGCCAACTGGTTCAGTGTTAGGAGGTACCTGTAGAGACGCGCTGCACAGGGCCTGGTCGCCAAGTACCCGCTACGCACGGCAGCCAGGTCAGGCAACGGCATCATTAAAAGGGCTCCGATACGGCCCTGGGTGCTTCGCTTCTGCCTCCTGCATTCCCTCGATACTTGATGCTCCCGCCATTGTCGCCGCTCCCAGCACGCAATGGCATGATGGATAGAACCGCTGTGCCGCTAGCATCAGGATCGCGCAACACTCCAGCCCTTGGGTGATCGCCTGCTTCAGCCTTCCTTGAGATGCAACAGGGCTGCGAGTCAAGATGGGACAGGAGAACGATTCCTCCCACGAGGAGCAACCCCCTCCGCTCCCGCCTCGGCCGGCCGCAAGCAGCTCAGTCGACCCGAAAGCCCTCCAGGCCCAGGCGACAACTGCCATAACTCCACTAGACATTCAGACATTGTCCTTCCCCGACGGAACTCGAGGAACATTCTCCACGCCAACCACTCGGTCCGCATCGACTCCGACAGGTAGCGGTTACACGTCTCCCAATCGCCGGCCAAGCAGCTCGGGCATCGACGGAGATGATGCCGCCAGCATCATGAGCTTTGCGCCAACGATGCGCCCAGCTGGAGACATTGCTAGCTTGCTGACGTCGTCCCTCAGCAAGAAGAGCGCCGCCTGGAACCTGCTCAAGTCGCAGGCTGCAAACGTCCAGCCGTTTGAGAAGCATCAGCGAGGCGCACAAGATCGACTTGCCGACTTTGAAAAGGAGTTTGCCGCGCTCCCCGACGAATCAAACGAGTTCTTCAAAGACGACGAGAGGCTAGCCATTTGGCGGTCGAAACTGAAACAGTACATGATCCTGTCGTCCGCTGGCAAACCCATTTGGAGCCGACATGGAGACCTCAATCTCATAAACTCCTCGATCGGAGTCGTGCAAACCATCATCTCCTTCTATGAAGGATCCAAGAACCCACTGCAAGGCTTCACGGCTGGCAACACCCGATTCGTGGTGTTGACCCAAGGACCGCTATACTTCGTGGCCATCAGCAAGCTTGGAGAGAGCGATTCGCAACTACGAGTGCAACTTGAAGCCTTGTACATGCAGATTCTATCAACATTAACTCTACCTTCCCTGACCAACATATTCGCGAATCGACCGTCCACCGATTTGCGCAAACCTTTGCAAGGGACCGAGGCTTTGCTATCATCACTAGCGGATAGCTTCACGAAAGGTTCGCCTTCGGCATTGCTAAGCTCGTTGGAGTGCTTGAAGCTGCGAAAGTCTCAGCGGCACACGATCAACAATACGTTTCTAAAGTCAAGGGCTGACAAGCTGCTATATGGGCTCATCGTGGCGGGGGGCAAGCTTGTCAGCGTTATTCGGCCACGGCGCCATTCCCTCCACCCTAGCGACCTCCAGCTCATCTTCAACATGCTCTTCGAGTCGGAGGGCATCAAGGCCGGGGGCGGCGAAAATTGGATCCCGTTGTGTCTCCCGGCCTTCAACAACAAGGGCTATCTATACATGTATGTCAGCTTCTTTGAAGGGGTGTCGGGCGAGCAAGCGACGGCACCGGCCGCGGCCGTGGGGCAGCCGGTTGATGAGGAGATTGCTATGATCCTTATCAGCGCAGATAGAGAGGCCTTTTTCAGTCTCAAACAAATGCGAGACGACGTTGCGCAGCAGCTGGCGAAGAATGGCAGTCTCGCCATCATTAGAGACGCCGCTCGTGCCGGTCGCCCCAGCATGGGACAAATCGCGCCGGGAAGCCCAATATGCCATTTCTTGTTTAAGTCGCGAGCGAATGTGCAATTTTGCATGTCGGCGCTAGAGCCTGCCTTTGGACATTTAGTAAAGAGAAGACGGCTTATGACGGTGTATCACGAGCTACATGCCTCGACCCACGCAAAGAATGCGCACCTTAAGATTTTGCAATGTGTGAGCGACGACGCAACATCGCTGGCTTGGCTCACTCCAACTTTTGAACTCTACTGCATTGGCGGACCCAATCTATCAAGGGCAGCAATGGCGCAGGGTGCCAATAAGATTATGCAATGGATAAAGAGAGAGGAGCAACGATTGTTCATCATTGGTGGCGGTGTATTTTGATGTCTTTTTAAAATTCATAAATCATTATCATACAGATTGCTTTTTTAGCAAGCCCAAATGCAGTCCCCGCTGCCTTAGATTCCTGTCGGTGGTAAATATCAGTGAAGATTGTAACTTCTTATTCTTTTTTTTCTCCATTTGTTTTCTTTTGATCCATTTCCCGAAGCTGTATACATTTTGTTGTCGATGTGTGCCACTAATTGAGTTTTTTTCATTCTTCTTCTTTCATTCCGGTTTCCCTTTCACACTGGTTTGGGGATTTCGGCCACGGTGATGATGGTAGGGGGTTGAATGTGAGTATTGCGCTTGCCGAAGGTTGTCTCTACCGGCATGCTACTAATTCTCCTAGAGCTCCTCGATGAAGGTGCTCGCGCATCGGCGAAGCCATCACCCAGGCGAGGTGGGCGCTGTCGTTTGATGGTCAGGGATCGCTTGGCCCACTGCAGAACTTTGTCGTTGACGCTTGGTCGTCGCTTGGGCGGCACCCAACTATCGTCGTAGCTCCGTTGAGGCGGCGGTGCAATCTTGTTTTTGCTCTCGTCATAATAGGACGTCTTTGGGGGTGGTAGCGGATCCAGGAAAGACTCGGAGAACGGGGCGTCGAAATCCTCGCGGAAACGAGGGCTTCGCATAGGACTGCGCGTCTGGTATTGGATGTCCGACTGGCTCATGGAAGGCATCTGAAGGTGGAAGTCTGGTTTGCGGAGAGCCATGATGGTGGTATATAGGATAGGTACGAAGTATAATAAGACTGGTTGGTTGTATCAAAGGAATGTGTGTTGCAAGAGTGCGTGTCAAAAGAGTGTGTGGATGATGAGAGGTTTGAAAATTGCGGGAAATAAAATCAGGTCATTGATGTAGACGGCATATATAAGAGAGCTGCAGCAGGTATGTTGTTGGCCACTGCAAGCAGAGAGGGCTCATGGATTTAATATTGATGGATTGATTGACGACGAGCTCTCTCTGAAGCTAATCTCCCCAGAAACGTGTTTACCGCCGGCAATTTGGAATGAAAGTAAAAAATCGACGGTTGACGAAATGAAGAAACTCTCTTTTGTGTCTTTCGGAAGAGCGGAAGAAAAGGGAAAAGCAGGGCGAATGAGATTTAAAAATAAAACAAAGAAAATAATAAAAAAGTGCACGCTGCAGGTGCTCCGTACAGTACCTGTACGAGTACCTACATGCATGACTCCCTCCGCCAGTGTCCCAACGCGTAGCCGAGAGCTACCAGCAGAGGATCAATGGGACACGCAGAGCATTGCCGCATGTCATTATCCACAAATTGCCCACAATGCCCCTGACTAGAGCATGTCGCCCTGGCAGAGTTGCGGGGATCCAGCCAGTCAAGATCCGGAGACGGGCTCTGTGGCCCCTCATCAGGGGCTTTTGGGGCGCTAGGGTTCAGACCCGGCAGCGGCCGGCAGGCTGTCTGGCGCAGGGCATCTGATCGCTAACTGGATGCTGTGGCTGCTGGATGTTACAGACTTGTGATGCCGAGGGAAAGTCTAATAGATGCTGTGCAGCACGTAGTTGGAGCTAATACGGTTGATCATCCATCACGCGGGTCTTTTTGCTATTGATAGGTCGGGTATTGTTGATTGTATTGCCACTGATTGCCCTTATCAATGAGATCATGGTCGACAAGCAGCATCTTGCTTTCTCCCCATCGGTACTTGTGCTATCATTTCCAGGTAATCTCCGATCGTATTCTAGAACAGCTGTCTCGGGCCAGTGCCGCCGCTCTAGAGAGGAAGAGACACTATTACTCCGTCCTCTAGTCCAAGAATTGCTCCTTCGTACTCGTACTACGCGTATGGACGGGTGAAAGATCGGGGGAGCCTTGACAGCGGGGGCACGTGAGCCGTCTGCGATGGGAAATCATTTCGCCAAAGTGCCCCCATAAACGACAAAACAGAATCACCTGTCATACGTATGATTAAAATGCACGTCCAGGTGCAGTGCAGCCGGGGTCTTTTGGGATGGAAGCGGTAGGAAGCCAACCGAAGAGGCCCGGTCATTTCCAGCAGACAGAGTTCAGCTACGTCTCAAATGAATGCAGGGCGAGCCTGGCAATTGGCCGAGATGGCCTCTCCGACGTCACCTCTGGCTGGCTTTCCTGCCGGGTTCCTGGATCCGCGGTTGCGGACATGCTAGTGCAGGTGATATCGTGAAAGCGATATGATGCAGCTCGTCGAGAGGGCTACACGTGCTTGCTTGGTGGTGTCCAGTTAGTTGCGCTGTTGGGCTAGCATGATTAGAGTTTACACGGGCCAAACTGTGAGGCATCCATGGGTGATGAAATCCATGCCTTATCAAGCTTACTGGCCCGCGATGTGGCGTGTTGAGTCGCTGGAGGGTTGCACGATAAGAGCAAAGTTTGGCGGCCCTGTTCTCCAAGACATGCAGTGCTGATCTTGGAGGCTTGGAGGCATTCTCCTGGGGCAACGCCAGCACCTTTCTGCTCCATGGTGGCCTTTGTGGAAATGGCACGAGCTGATGGAGGTCACACCTGCGATTTGGGAATAAAGCCGTCAAGCATCTTTTCAGAGTTGATTGTGGACATTTGAATAATATGCAGGCAACTTACATGCAGGTGAACAATCAGGTGGATGTACTCCGTACCGCGCCTGGAATCTCAGGTAGGGTGTGCCCAGGGCCTTTTTCTTGTCGCAGCTCACTTTCTTCAAAGAAAACACTGTTCTTCCACATTTCGATAAAAAAACTGAAAAGGCATCATCATCTTAGGATCTCCTATCTTTGTCTCTACAGCTCTCCCTATACCTTCAATAGCATCTGGGCCAATGCCAATAGCTACCTAGGTAGTACCTCCTTACCTACCAAAGTAGTAGTGTCTGTAGCTGAATTTAAAGTCTCCAAGGCATCACCTACCTCTCGTGGCTCCATCTGCTACAGGTACTACTACCAGGTAATCTACCAGTAACGGTGCCAAACTGTATTATCGATAGGTACATGTGCCTTAGTAGGTATCCTACCCAACAGGCAGTTCAGTCGCCGTTAGCCATACACATCGCGACTTCCTCTTCTGCTCCCATCCAGAATCGCTTAATGCCTCCATCCACAGACGAACCTTCCATTCTTCATCATGCCTTTTTCGCTAAAATCCCGAAGGCTGCGTACCTCTCGTCTCCTCCTCTTTCGCCACGCTTCATCTCTCAGGATGATGCCTGTGCCAAGCTGCCGGCCGTCTGCGATTTCTTGGAGTTGGTTTATGGTCCTCGAGCTCTGAATGTTTTTGATCCTCCGGTGTCGATCCGCCGTCTTTGGTTTTTCCGTTTCTTGATCTGAATCCTGAGCCCTTTCCTGGTATTTTAATCTGTATGATATCTCCCTTGTTCACCTAGCTCTGGCCAGGAATTGATGCGTTTCCATGGACGCTGCTCGGCTACGCCAGAGATCTGCCAGTCATAGCTCGCTGCGCAGCCAGTATCGATATCAAAGCAGAATGATCAACTACACCAATCCGCGTCCACCAGCTCAGAGACACCCGCTGCGCAGTGTCAACGAAAATGTCGCTCTTCTACGCTCCCCGGATCCCCTGGAGAGCATGCTAAAGACCACAACCGAAACCGGTGATATCGGTATCTTTTCCATCGGGCCACACTCTTCATCAGCATCGTTTGCTCGTCCCAAGAGATCCAGGTCACATCCAAGGGAAACAATTCTACCGCTCCCGGCACGCTCCTCTGCATATGATGAAGGCTATTACTGCCACCCAGATGGCCATAAGAGGCTGCGGTCATATCGCGATACTACATCTGAAATCATCTCCCTCTATGGCTCCGAAAGCCAGAAAACGTTAGTATCGTCGGTCTCCCCGACGAGCATTGACGATGATCCTAGGTCATACTCCATGACCACAACAACCAGCTCAAAACAAATTCCATCTCAAAAGTCTACTGGTACATTACAGAGCCAGTCGAGCGGAAGTGGCTTCCAGCGCCCGAGATCTCCCTTTCCGTATCCAACTCGACTGAAGCGTCCAGGGGTTCGTCCAGCCTCTCCGGCTCTCAGGGAGAATGGGGATATCGACTACAGTAGAATGGTTGAGCTTGATCGGTTTTCCCAAGTATGTGTTCAAATTTAAATCTCTGCTCAAGCCATCTCATTACTGACTTATTCATAGAGAACTATTCACGGGTCGTACAAGCCTACTTATGCACATGGGCCTCGACGGCCCCTCCCAATGGCTTTTCGTCCCGATGTAAATAGGTCAACATCTTCTCTACCATCGAGAACAGCGCCCTCGCCGTATCTTTACGCACCAGTGCCTTGCCAAGTCAGAGGTCCCAATTCTTCCGTGCCTTGGGGGATGTCCAGGCAGCCGAATCGACACCAGCGAGGCTCCACTGACCAGAGTACTCGCTCGGCCAGTCTAACTTCCATTGTCGAAATGTATGATAGGCCAATGACTTCAAATTCGAATTGTGCGCCTCCCCTCCAATCACCTGGCTCTTTCTACTACGACTACAGTGAACAATTTGAGGACCAGTCACCTTGGGACATGGATATGGACATACCGCTACATCCCATTCCGCAAAGGGTTGAGAATATTCGCCGCTCACTGCTGCTAATGGACAATATCCAAGGCAGCTTTGAAGCGGACGGTAACTATCCAGACTCAATAAAATCCAATGCGAAAGAGGATGGAAAGGCTTATATAGAGGCTTTCCAGTTGTCAGATGCCGTAAATGGCAACTCTGAAGGCACTGGATCCAAGCAGTCAACTTCTGATGACGAAGATGGTGCCATGGAAAGGCAATCTACTGCCGAGCCAGGTCCAAAGGAGACCCCTTTGATAACCATTTCCGATGAAGAACAGGACCCGCCTCCAATTCTCTCGAATCGAGTGTCAACGGATATAGAGGCAGATGCAATTGATATGCTTTCAATGACGAGCGGTTCGACTTCTTTGGGGCCAAACTCCCCTTTAGAAACTCCTTCAAAAATATTGGAAACCAACTTTAATGTAGCGAGTGAATGTCGGAGTCGACGGTCATCTCAAGTTAGCCTTTCGAAGCTGAGATATTCGTTAGACCCTGCACTGTCCGAATTTGCCTCAGTTTTGTCATCCTTTGACCGTTTGGTAAGGATTCCGGCCACAAAAGACTGCGAGGTACAGTCCATCAGCGGAGGGCGTCATGATACCTATGCGTACCAGCAAGAAGACGTACACCCGGTTAACCTGAAATGCTTGAATCGGCGGCCATCGCCACCATCGTCAGACCCGGTTGGCGAAGGAGATGGCGAATATCTAAAATGTCATCGCAGGAATGTCGCGGCCATGCGAATAAGCATAACTGGTATCGTCCCAGACGAGGTATTGAATCATACACCCGAGCGTCACAACAACTTCTCGATTCTCTCACCAGAACCCATCTCACCTGTACGTGAGCTGAGAGTCAAGGAAAGCATACCACAGTTGATGAAAGCCTTGCCCCCGCTACCAAGAGAAGCTGAGAAGCTTTCGGGCTATGGTACCGCGGGTATACCAACGATAAATGTTTATCAGGGGCATGGCCCCTTGATTTCGGGCAAAGATTGTCCTTCAGGAATGAGGCGGCCGTTGGAACCAAAACAAACTTCTTCATCGCCCGCAATATCACGACATTCACAGGATTTTCAGCCAAAGTTCAAACTTAGAGCTCGGGCACCATCATCATCACCCGGAAAGTCGGGTGATGTGGCGTGCAAGGTTGCAACTCACAGGCCGACGTATAACGGCATCTACGATTACGAGTATATTCAAGCAGTGCGGCCAAAGCTCAAGCTCAAATTACCGCGCAACCAAGTTCGACCTGGCCAGACTGGGCTTTCCCCATACAACAATCGGCTGAAGCAATGCAACTCGCTTGCAGAGTTGACACCTCGTCTTCAGAATGATACGGCGGATGAACATATTGGAGTTGACATGGGCGGCAAGAAACAAGTATCGAGCTTCGATTCACTGAATGGGAACACGGCGGCAATAGAGGAAAATTCTATTCGTTTTGAGCCGTCACCCCAGCCGTCTGATCAGTTTAATATCCCTTATCCACCATCACCGCCCAAGGTGGAGGCACAATCAAGCCCTACCGCTGCATCCATAAAGGGAGAAGAATTGGTTGAGATACGTGGCAGTTGTGTTGATAATAATCCAAACAGGCCTCGTGGGTTGCGAGGCAAGTTTTCGGTACTTCGGTTGAGATTTACTAGCCCGCAAAGATATACTAGCACATCAAAGGAGACCTTGGCCGTGCCTTGTACGGATGAAAAAGCCTTGTGCGTTCCGATCACAGCAGCTAATAAACACACAGATGACTCTCGGGGGGTAGGAGTCAGCAGTACAAATCAGTCATCTCCTGTTGAAGCAGAGAAGGTGGGATGGCGTGTCAAGCGGTGGGCACGAGATGCCAAAAAGGCTGTTCGACTGTATGTGAAGAGAACTTTGGAGCGGTCCCCCAAAGTGAGTGTGAGCGCCTGATTCACAGAGTATTGGTTGGTTTGCAATTTGGCTTGAGTTCTGGATGAGGAGCCTCATAACGACAACTGTCGTGTTTTGAACATGGCGAGCAGCATCATATTATAAGTGTTTTGATGGGGATAACGGATGCATCCTAAAGAAGAGAAGCTATGTGGCATAATGAGAGGGCTTTGTGGAATATACACTAGTGTGTAGAATGCTTAAACCAAGTATGCCTGAGACGTTTAAGTCAATGACACATCTCTTTATCTAACTTGATCGCTGTGCGTCCCCGAGGCCTTTTGCTCCCACTTTTTAATTACATGCCTATTCATGTGACAGTAAGTGTTAGCCTTTCATTTGCTTAAAATCGGCGGGCTTTCGTACTGTGGTTGAGACGGAGGCGCAACTCCGTCCCCATCACGGGTGGGTATATAAGCTAAGTATGGGATCTACCTACTAACGTAGATAGCCAGCATTTTGGGGGAGAATAGCTGCCAATATTTGAATGGAAGATATACGTGACGAGTTATAGTATTTGTAGATGGGTATGTATGTATATGTATCATCTGCACTCCTTCCTTCTGTTGGAGTTGCGAGAATCTTCTTACAATATCCGTACAATATTCATAACGATGAACGCCTCTATCGTAACTGGGCAACAGGCCCGACAGGCTTCACGAAATAACAAGACACACTCGGCATCGACTTCAGGTTTAGCACCTGGGTATTTACAGGCCAATCTCATCATTCTGCCATCACGCTATGCGAATGACTTCCGTAACCTTTGTGCGCGGAATCCGGTCCCGTGTCCTCTGATTGCCGAGTCTGCAAACAAGGGATGCGACAACGCCGTAGTTTCCCATATCGACAATCTCCGAGGCGATGAGATTCTCGGAGAATGGTGCGATCTAAGGCGAGATGCGCCCCATTACATGGTATACAAGGACTCGAAGCTTGAAAAGAGCCACTGCGACGATGTCGTGGCTGAGTGGACGGACGACCACGTTGCGTTTCTGATTGGTTGCTCGTATTCTTTTGAAACAGCACTGGCAACTGCAGGACTCCCACCGAGACAGCTTTTGCTAGGGAGAAATGTGCCGATGTACAGGACGAAGTTGCGGTTGTGTCCGTCAGGGGTGTTTCAGGGCGGGACGTATGTGGTGTCGATGAGGCCATACAAGAGGCGGGATGTCGATAAGGTTAGGGATATCACGAGGAGGTTTGGGGCTACGCACGGGGAGCCGTTGGATTGGGGATGGGAGGCAGTGGAGAGGCTTGGGATTAAGGATATTGATAGGCCGGAATGGGGGGATGCGCCTTTGGATGGAGATGGGAAGAAGGCGTTTGGGGAGATGAGGGGGCAGATCAAATCCAGAGATGAAGATGGTGAATTTAAAGAAGATGAAGACGAAGGAGATGAGGAGATTCCAGTGTTTTGGGGATGCGGAGTGACGCCTCAGGAGGCGGTGATGAGGGCTGGGCTGGAGGGAGTGGTGATGGCACATGCGCCGGGACACATGCTGGTGCTGGATGCACGAGACGAAGATCTCGCAAGGTGATTTGATATAGCAAGGTGTCTATGATTAATGTTTGGATCTTGATTGAGTCAGCTTTTCTGTTGTCTTCAGCTTGATGGCGTGAATGCTGATGATATTAGGGGAAGATGAATGGCCTCTTTATCAGCTGCATTGCGTATAGAATGAATTTAATGTTAATATTTGAGAATCACAACTGCATAAAAAGAATGATGATGAATATATTTTGTTGTCTTAATGGAACATGACTGGAGAGGGCAACCCGAGTTGGGCACATGAGGCGATTCCCCGGCTTTTAGGCGGCGTAGCATCGGAGGCGCCGACCAACTGGAACCCGTTCCGGTCTGCCTCCGGGCTGCTTTTATACTGCAAGATTAGCTGCGAAGCCTCATCTCCGCAGTCACCATGCTTCCAACTTTCCGCATCTCAACTCATAACGCCACATCTAATCCAATTGACCCGACGATATTAAACTCTTCACATTCCCCCGTAATTGTGTGGCAGGCTCAGAGCAGCGATGGAGGAGCCCCTCTTGGGAGACTCCATCAGGACATCGTAAGTTGCCTCACCTGATGATGCTGAGCTTCTGCTAATGAGACTACGCTTTCAGCTGTGAACGATGTCGTCGTCGCAAGGTTCGCCGTGGGCTTATTCTCTGAAACCACGTACTCTGGCTCGTGCTGAGGCTGACGTTCATAATCCCGCATCCGTAGATCAAATGCGATCGGAAGCGCCCGTGCTCCAAATGTGCCAAGGCGGGTACTGAGTGTGTCCTCCAAGGCCTCGGAGAAAAGCAGCGGTAAGGCGGAGATTTCGCAGAGGGCTGACCTGACTCTATTGGCTGACGACAACACCGAGCAGGCCGGTCTCAAAGAGCTATGTCCAGGCTCTAGAGGGCCAGATAGCCGCGCTGGAGAGAGTCATTCACAAGCTTGCCCTGGCAGATGACGAGGAGCGGGCTCAGATCATCTCGGAGATGTCGCTGACCTCGGGGGCTCCCGATGGAGCTTTGGCGGAAGGCGGGCAAGCAGACGTCAAGACGGACCCGAGCGTTGCTGCTGCTCGAGTCAAGTCCGGTCAGCTCAGGCGACTGAGAGGAGGCAACGCGGCACAGTTCTTTGGAGGAACAAGCTTGCTCCAGATACACTTTTCCCAGAAGTCTTCGTCTCCAGGCCCGGTGAATGCCATAGGAATGGAGTCCCTGGCCATTTCATCAGATTCTCAACCTTACAACAACAACAACAATAACGCCAATCTGGACCTGGGTGACCTGTATGGCGACTTGGACGACTTCAGTCCCATGAATGCATCCTTTCAGTACGAGCCTCACCATGAGACTTCGCAGAAGATGATGTCGACATTTTTCCAAGAGGTCTACCCGTACAACATGGTTGTGTATCGCGAGTATTTCCTGAGAGACTATGATGTTGGGTCGGGAAAATATTACTCAGACGTGTTGCTTTATGCCATCTGTGCTCTGGGAGCGCTGCAATACGACGACATGCTCAACCTCTCCGACATCTTCTCAGGCCAGGCCCAGAACATGCTTTACCCTACCCTTGATAGCCCTGACCTCACCACCCTTCAAGCTCTCGTTCTACTTGGATACCGTGAGATTGCCGTGGGACGGGCATCCAAGGGCTGGCTGTTTTGTGGCATGGCTTTTCGCCTCGCGCACGAAATGGGCCTTCATCTTGATCCCACCAACTGGGATGGATCTACGTCCGAGACAAGTGGTGATAGGGAAATCCAGCGCAGAGTCTACTGGGCAGTATTTACAGCTGATAAGCAGCTCAGCCTCTATTTCGGGAGACCTCCGGCTCTGTACCCCGGCGAGTCGGATGTGCGGAATACCATCCGGCTCCAATATCCCCCGGGTTGGCAAGGCCTTCTAGAGACATACATTTGCAAAGGAGCATCTGCAAACGAATGGGACAATGGTGTAGCGCTCGTGGGCTCGTTCATCTACCGGGCTGAACTGGCCAAGATCATCCACCTCATCATCACTGACTTGTTCGAGAACCGAAGAGGAGGCGCAGATCCCACCATTATTGCAACTAAGACGCGAAGGATCCATGTGCTGTTGACCAAGTGGCTTGCATGTCTCCCCAGTTCCCTACACTGGAACCAGTGGACGGTTGGCCAGGTGCCTCCGTATGTTTTACATCTGCAGTGAGTTGAACCCGTTGATTACAGACCCCCCCCCCCCCCCCCCTTTCCCATCCGTTGCACATCTCCAGTATATGCATGTATAGTACGTTCATTAATGGCTGATTTACGAACATCAATAGCATGATGTTTCATACCATCATGATCATCCTCCACCGCCCGCCGTCGCACGTATTCGAGAACCCAGGGGTTGCCGAGGGTGAAGACGTGGAAATTTGCTACGAATCTCTGCAGGCGATTCTACGTCTAATGCGAAGCTACTCTCGCTATTACCGCTACCGGTCACTGCCCCTGGACTTTGTGCACACGCTCTCTACAGCCGCAAGCACGGTCATGATGAAGCGCTTCCTCCAAAAGGCGTCGTGGAGCGATCCGGACATTGAACGTGCGCTGTCACTCATCATGCAGGCCATGGACGAGATTCAGAACACCTGGCCTTGCGTGCGGGAGATTCGGGATGTGCTCCTCCAGGCGCAGCAGACGCAGACGGCGATGCCACCTGAAGATCCTCTCAATGCGCCAGACCTGATGAATGGGCTGCAGGTGAACAACGATAATTTCCTGGCGAATTTAGGAGACGACATCGGCACACTTATTACGGACGAGTTCTTGAGTGCCCAGCTGCCCATCATGGGACCTGGACTTGAGCCGTTTGATTTCAATCAGATGCCGGGGCCCTCTTGAACGAGCCTGCGCCACGCTATTTCCAGTTCCCAGTTCCCAGTTGCCATCGCGATGCCGCTTCGAGTGAAGTGCCGAGGGTGTAACAGTAATCTTCTTAGCATACCAATGGTATGATTTGTGGGAAGAGCTGTTCCGAAGCAGGGAGCTTATCTCTTTGCTTTACCTCCATCGGATACTTTTAGGTAATGCCGACTAAGCCGGTGAAGGGACTGGAGGGATCAGATTAAGGATGATGGCCAGAGCGTTGGCTGCCGGATGGACACCAGGATGCTACGATGCGGAGCCTTGTACTCCGTAGATCTGAGGGATGATTCACCGCCACGTCTGCTAGATCAGAATGAGGGCGAGAGTGGAATTGGGCCGTCAAAATCCTTTGGGGCCCAGACATAATCCATCCGAAGCACAGATGGAGATGGCCGGCGTTTGCGCAGCTCGTTCCCCCAGGGCCGTGCGGAATGGAAATGCGCTGGGTGGCTTGCTTCAGGCGTTTTCAGATGCTGCAGGGGTGGCCTTGGACATGGAATACTGTACACGAATGAATAGGAATAGGAATAAACAGCCCATCCAAGATGAGATGCGGAGTACATCCTCCATGTCCCCCCTTCTCCATACCTCCATACTCACCTGCAGTTGTGCCCGTGCTCTGTCATAATATCGCTTTTATCGCTTTTTACAGTATCCGCCCATCGAATCGAAGGTGGTGTGAAAAGCAGCCTCACGTGATGCAATTGGGAAAAGGAGCGCCGATTGATTTCTGTGCCTTGGGCTAAAAAAAGAAACAGCTCGACGGGAAGGGGAAGGGCGCCAAGGCTTGATTACTAGCTGGATAGCCTATCTGTCTCTATGGGAAATTAGGTTGCTGCTATTGATAGAGTGCGATTTCATGCGGCAGCCATCGACGATGTGCCCAGATTAGGGGGGAGCATAAACGAGAAGGGAAAGAGACTAGAAAGAAAGAAGAGAAGGGAGAATACAATACGAAAAAGAAAAGCGGCTACCAGTTTTTTGCGAGTGGGCGGGCGCATTTGAAATCAGCAGCTAAGCGTCAGACTGTAAGACTACTGCAGACAAACAGAGTGGTCGATTCCATGCTATCAACGTCCCCCTGTCCATCGGTCAGAGAGAGACGGATTCTTGCGTGAAAGCGCATGTCGGCCAAATCCGTAGTTTGACAGCTAAGAATCTGCCGTGGGTGCTCGTGCGCGCAGTGAAATATGCCGATGAGGTGTAGACTGCGCAGTAGAGTGATGCTCTAGGTAGGTAGGCATCGAGGATGCTGGCAGAACTGACAATGCAGTACGTAGATATAGCGGAAAAATTACAGGTACCTAAAAAAATTACAAAGAGAGAAGAGAGGGGAGAATGGAAACAATAATGATTTTGTTTCAAGTGTAGAAATCTTGCCTTGATTGCTTCTTCAACTTTGCTGCCTTTCTTGTTTTTATCCCCTGCTTGGATCCGTTTTGGTAGCAACAGTATTATGGAGAAGAGCTACGATAGATACAGGGCCTGCTCCGTCAACGAGTGGGTACAGTACGCGGATGGGCGATGATGAAAACAGACTCAACATTCTTTGGCGAGACATCAGATGTCATCTTGCTGCCCTCTTCCCTCTCAATTTACTCATCATCTGATGGATGTTAAATATGGCTATTACTAACCAGTCTGGCATCGGTCGAATCAGCCAGCCTCAATCCGTCAATCCGTCAATCCTAGCGCTTCAACGTTCCCCTACAGGTGCTTGGTCTGCGCTGTAATCCTGCCCACCCTCTGCCTTTCCAGGGCTTCTATGCCGCACTAGTGGCTCCACTAACATCGGGAGCTCAGCTTCTAAAGACAGGGCCTAATCCCACCAGCAAGTACCAGTGACTCCCGTGCAGGTGCGCGCGGCACTCCATCCAAAGTATTTGCACATGTCATGTTTGGCGTCCATGCTGCGACTCCGTACAAGGTACCTATACGCACCTTTACTTTTCAGGTGCCTTGCCTCGACACTTGACTAGAGTCTCTCAGCCACGCTTCCTCCACCTCATCGCCGCTCCTTTCCCGTTCCTCTTCTTCTCCAATCCCTTCTCTCGTTCTCTGTCATACCGACTACAGACTCTCTCCGCCAACATCGTGACTCGTCCCAGCTGCCCAGACAGCAAATCTCCCCCCGCCAAACTCCGCTGGACATGCCGTATCGTGTATAAGCAGCTGATTGTTAGTGGAGCAGCGTCATGGACGACGCCGAGGCGCCGCCAGAGGCGCGGCGGTTGAGTATCGAAAAGGTGCCCATCGTCCTCGAGGCGCCGCCACCATTCGACGGGCTACCAGACGAAATCATCGAGCAGTGAGCATTTTCTCCCCTGGACGGCAGACGAGACTCCCAAGGGCGAACAAAGCAAGGGCGGAAGAGCGCGAGGAGGCGGAAAGAAGAAAAATCTGACGGCAGCATCACAGGATACTTCTGGCGACAGATCCCAATGGCTTCGCCTCGCTGATGACGCTCAACCGCAAATGGAGAGATGTATCACAGCGCCCGCACCTCTACCGATACCACCTCTCACGATGTCCGACATATGCAACGTCCCATGCCAGCTTGCCGTCCGCCGATGACGAAAACTTGCCCCGTCTGCGGCGCCTGTTCGCCAGGGAAGTCAAGCGAAACCTCTTCGATTCCTACGTGCGGCCGAGCGTCACCATTATTAAACTCGTGTCCAAGGCCATCAGCTCGTCGTCATGTCCGGGAGGAGAAGGCATGGGCTTCACCACGTCCCCAAATGGCCACCACGTATTGGCGTACAACTCATCAAGGATGTACCTGATAAATGCCCAAGGATCGGGTATCGAGATGAAGCGCGAGTTCAAGATGCTGCGCCGCCCGGTATCGGCATGCGTCTCCAACGATGCAAGCCTCTTGGCCGTTCTTTCCACCGAGATGCAAGTCGACATTTACGATCTAAAGCAATCTCCACCCAAGCGGAAGCAGTCTATGATACTCGACAATAACCCACGAACCATTGCGCTGTCGCCTTGCGGCACTGTTCTCACAGCAGCATATGATGGAGGCATTGAGGTTCAATCGCTAACCCGTGGAGCGTCTTCCACAGAAAGGCGCGCGGTTAAGTGTGATGCAGTCGATGCGTTGGCCTTTTCCTTTGACGGCACGCAGATTCTTGGCACAACATTACATTCGTCTCCACCGAGCACGGTCGTCATCACTGCGCCGTACTATGATCCCGGCGCCCTTGCCATGGACGAGAGCGAAGAAAACCTCAGCGCAATGTGGACTACATCCATCCTGTTCCCTAACTCGAGTCGAGACTGCAGCCATGCCGTGCTTCTACAGGACGGTAGCCAGGAGGAGGCCGCTTGGGCATTCGCATATGACCGTAGCTTCGAGACCTTTCGAGCCGTCCGGATTGACGACCTTAGAAATGGCACCACGTATTTTACAGGCCCGGTGCCCAAAACAACCTCGCAGGCCAAGTTACTTCCTTGTACGCTGCCTTCAGCTACGTATCATGGTGAGTTGGTATCGGCGTGTTTTCACGGTAGCGAAGTTTGGATTTATGGCGTGCCTGAGGACTTGACTGCAGTGCCTGAAGCTGCATCAACCACCGACACTGCATCTGGCCTGGCTCGTAGGAACAGCGCTCAGAGCCATTCTTCACGATCGCCATCGACAAGGACACAGGAAGTTGCTATTCCCACAGCTACCACTGGAAGGGTTCCCCAGTGGCAGATTTTGTGCGATAAGCTGAGGAACAACTTCGTGGCGGGGCACCAAACTTCGGAGCTTATCGGCGTGAGCAATGTGAAATGGGTTTCTGGATTCGGCGATACGCCACTCAAGGAGAGGCTCATTGTCACTGCCTCTGGAGTGGCAGGACCCAGGCTCGTCACCGAAGACGAGGACATGGATTTTGTCGATGGCGGCAGAATCGCTCTGGTGGATTTTGGATATGCTTTCACCGACGGAACCAAGACTGAGATCACCATTGAGGTTGGAACTGATGATGCCGAGGTACTTGAAGAAGAGCAGCGCGATATAGAAACCGAAGTCGCCATTGTGCGGCGAAGGACGGTAGCCCAACGTGGAGGGAGGAGAGGGGGGAGGAGAACCAGCCTGATGCGGACTGCAACAATCGCCGTTACTCCCACCTCTGCTACCGGACCGGGTAATCATCATATAGTGTCGCCCATTTCGCCTGTATCAACAAGAAGCAACGAGGACGACGACCCCCTAGTACCAAGGACATTGGGCCGCAATCCTGGTGTAAACCGCCCAACCATACAAGAACCCATCGATGACGACGAGTTCTTGTCGATTGAGGAACAAGAAGCCATGGACGCCCCCTATGCACACTCTAGCCCGCGCTCAGGGACAACATTGCGCCGGGCAGCTACAGTCGCCGCTGCCAACCGCTTACTGAATCCTCGAACAGCTGATGGGCGCCCCATAGAGTACCGTCGGGCTGACGGTAGGAGAGAGCATCCTCACGAGAGTGATGCCGATAATTGGGAGCCGCCGCCACCTCCGTACCAGGCCGAAGATCCTGGAGACACGCCTGCCTTTCTGCGCGGTCGCGCAATTCTGGCACCTGCATCACTCCCGGGGCAAACGCGACAGTATCTGGCAATGCCACCACCTCAACACCCTCCGGCAAGTCACAGTGTTCCACCTCAGCCGCCCACTCTGTTGATTCCACCGAACTTATCGTCGGTCCCGGCTCATGGGGCTAGCCATCTCAACGACCAAGGATTAAACCATATTAGATCCGCCAGCGACTCAACCGTAGTAAGCAGGCTACGAGTGGATGATGAATTGCATTTACCCCTGTCAAGCACGTCTGGCCCGTTAGATCATGAGGACATATACGACGTATCTCCCCCGGCTTCACCAATGAGGGTTCGGAGTCGAGATAGTCAGTCCATGGCTACTTCTCAGGATTCCATCACTGTCACGCCGCGACCAACGACTGCAACATCGAGCACTTCGGTAGGGGTCTATGAAAGCAGCCCAGCGACTGTAGGCCCTCTGGTTCATCCTGAGTTCGACTTTGGCGGGCCGGGTCTTGGATTTGATACGTCTTCAATTTCAGCGATAGACGCCACCAGCGCCTCTAGTAATATTGTACGAAGGCTATCAAATGCACAAACTTGGCCATTAGTATCTCCATCGTCTGAAAGTAATGCAACGCCTTCTTCCTACACCGCTGAAACAATGCGATCAGTCTTGCCACCGGCCCCTAGCTCGGACCAAATGGCCAGGCTGATTCGGAGGGCCAGCCAGGGAAATCCTCTTAACCTAGCAGGCAGTCTGCTCTCGACACATGACCAGCAAATACAGCGACCACAGCCGGTTGCAGGCTCACTGGCTCTAACCGCAGCAAATGCGCCTCATCTTGACATTGATCAACCCCTGATCATCAGCACCCCCGGTGGCGTGGGAGGTGCTTTTGATCCCCCAGGGCGCAGGACATCCCGCCGCGGTGATCTACCGATTGTAGCGCCTGTGCCCAGAAGGCCTCGCGCAACTGGTGGCTCTGCTGCACCTCCCACGGTAGAGAGGCTGGAAACCATTTCTACTGGTCGTCCGGAACCCATACAGCCCAACAACCTTGTCTTGCCGACGTGGATGAAGGGACCCCCAGCCTCGCCTGGCCGGCAGCCATCAACGGTAAATAGACGGCCCAGTCGAGCCGAGAGGAGCGCGGCGAAGAATATGCGCGACGCTAAGAAGCGTGGGTGGACAGCCAAGAAGAAGAAAAAGGAGGCTCCCAAGCCAGTCATTGTGGAGGAAGACCACAATGGCAGTATCTGGATGGATATGGATCCTCCGCCGGCCCATGATAAAGACAAGAAGTGCAGTGTCATGTGATGAATTGGTTTAACATTGCTTTTGCATTTTCGAATTCCCGCGGCCACTGTGTTTTTTCAGCGGAACGGTTGGCTGGCATATATATATAATATCTAGTAAGGAAGCGGGCTTGTAGTTGTCTGTCAGTGTTTTTTTTTTTTTTCCTTTTTTCCAAAGATACTCTCTGATTTTTTCGTTGGATATCGTCAAAACAAGATACCGGGTCGTCTACGCAGCAACTTTTTGCTTTATTGGATTTCTGTTTTTTTAGTTATTTTTATGATGGGCATCTATCATCGGCATAGCGTGTAGGAAGCAGAAGAGAGAGAAGAGAGAAAAGCGATGGTTTTGCGTTGTCTTTGGGGGTCGTTTTGTTGTTTTTACGGGATTGGATTTGAGCGATAGGTATGCGGATATATAAGAGAGGGATGATGTTGCTTTCCTTTTTTTTTTTTTTTGTTTACATATATGCGTACAGTTGCATTCGTTATTAATGTATGGCGATAGCATGACTTGGAAGAATATGTTTTTGATGCGTGTTAATACCACCTCGATGCTTATCTCATAGCCAAAAGTAGCTCATTTATACATGTGACATATATGTGCTTGCGATTCTAAACGCTTTTTCATTCTGCAGAGTATACGGAGTATTAAAGCCAGCTATTACTATCGCAGACTACCGCCCAGACACTGTCCTAACGAAGTTGTTATTCCTTCCAATGCTTCCCTCCCCCCCATTGGTATGACGATTTTCAATCCACCCAAGTATCAATCAAATTAAGCGCCTCGCCACCGTCTCCGACCACCCATAGCCCTTGGTATATATACACAAAGGAAATGTATATCGTTAAAAAATGGATGCTTTGGATCCATGGTATCACTCATTCTTGTTAAACAAAAGAAAAAGAACAAAAAAAAAAGACCTTTTGCCTCTCGTTGCCGTATGCACAATTTTATGGAGGAGACGATTAAAACAAAGGGAAATATCGAGAGAAACAAAAAGAAAACCAGACCCAGAACAAAAGCAGAAGTGCTTGTAAATAACAAAAAGGAGAAAATAACTCATGGCGTAGAATTTGACCAAATGATGAAAGGGAAATAGGAGATATTATCGGTGTCATATTCTGTTGTTCATCGGAGGGCCGAGGTACGGCGCTCCCCTGTGTACATCGCCGAGCTGAGCTTCGACCATGAGGTCTGTAAACGTTGTGGCGTGCGTCAGCCGCTTATCATAATCATAATTGCTGTTCATCATGATTGGGTCGGCAAAAACGTCAATGTTCTCACCGCTCTGCTCCCTGGGTACGTTCTGCGGATAGACTCTTGTGCTGGAAGCCTTCATAGCTCTTATAGGAGCCAATCGAGATCGAGACTCAACGACACCTGTGCGCGCGTTCCGTTCATCGTCCGAGATAATAGACCCCTCAGAGCTCGTAGGCGAGTGGTTCGAAGGACTGGGAGAGCTAAAGGGGTTTGGAATGGAAAGACGCTGTGATGCACTGGTGTGGTTGAGAACAATCTGCGGCGGCCTCTGGCTGATGGAAGAGCTGATGGAGGGGCTCTTGCGGATAAAGTCGGCGCGGTACAAGTTTGGCTGGAGGATAGGATCGGAGACCATGATGCTAGTACCCTGAGGGCTGGGGCCGAGATGTTTGATCCTTCCAAATCCTGTCTTCTCGGGGTAGCCATTCTTGCTGCTGCGGTTGCGGCGGCGAATGCAGAGGAACACGATAGCCCCCAGGACGGCCAAGACGGCGCAGCCTCCAATGACACCACCAATGATTGAGATTGTCTTTGGGTTTGAGGACTTAGAAGATGACGATGCCGGCGCCCCAGAGCTTGCATCGGCCGTTGGAGAGGGATCAGGGGCGGATGTGACTAGTGGGGCAGTCGATTCTTCCGTTGGCACCGAAGTTGGCGTAGTAGTAACCGGCGCAACGACCAGAGAACTGACAGGTGTAGAAGAAGAGTCTGCAGAGGTTGGCGCAGCAGTTGCTGATGTAGCACTTGCTAGTGAAGTGCTTGTTTGTGTAGCAGTTGTTTGCGAAGGACTAGATGAGCGAGAGGCGCTCTCGGGAGAAATGCTCTGATCAGAGTTCTTCACGCACTGAGTGTTATCTCCAGAACAAGAGAACCCAAACGGGCAGCAGAGATTGGTGCCACATTTTTCCAACGAAACGTCAAAGACGCTCGTCTTGATCGGCGAGTTTTGGTTTTTGCTCGGGTCCTGCTGGCTCACATCGCAGGTGATGGGCTGGATCTTTTCGCAAGTCTCGCCATCAGGGCAGCACAACGCCGTCGTGTTGCCGGCTAATGGGATACATGAAGTTCCCTGAGAGCAGCAAAAGTTACTGGGCAGACCCGTAGGGCAAGACTGAGTATTAGCAGGGCACTGCGTGTCTCGAATGAAGACGGAGCCGCCTAAGGGCGAGGCTGAGACAAATGATGCCAATGCCGAGACCAGCAGCAAGAGGCAAGCAGACCGTGATGTGATAGTCATTGTAGTTTTGCCACAAATTCCAGCTGAACTCGTCCAAGTCGGCGATTATATGTTTTTTTGTTCCCAGTAAAGACACCAGGCAGCAGAGAGTAGGAGTCGGGGTCGATAAGTTTGGCTGAACCAGCAGCCGTATAAGCCACTGAATAGAAGTCTCTTAAAGAAGAATGAGAGAGAGGGGGATGGAACGCAGGACGAAAGTGGAAATTTGAAGTTCGAAATGATGCGTGAAAGAGAGTCGTCACGAGGTAAACTTGGGTCTCGTGAGTTGGATCAAAGAATAAGTTAAGTGTGCTCCAAAGACAAAGTGGCGCACATGTACCAAACAACGGGGGAAAGCAAGCACTGAACGGTTGTTAACGTGAGAATGAATGTAACATGAACAAGCAAGTAAGTCGAAGAAAAGAAGGTTGGGAGGCTGGAATAGAGAATGGAAGAATAGGTGAGGAAACTAGGTAGGACAAGAAACTCAGTCACGGCGGGTTATGAGAGACGAGAGAGAGGCCTCTGGACGAGGGCTACGATCCAAATGCATAGGCGCGCATCAGACGACGCTGGCGTGTTTAATCCGCTCTGGCGCGTCTCAGAAGCGGCAGCACTCGATTATCTCGATGCCTGGGCGGCTTGTTCACCATGTCGAGCATGAGCATGTTTCAAGGGCATTCCATTCTATTCTGCACTGCCAGCGAGTGAATGCAGGTCCGGCAGGCAGTCGAAACAATGGCCAAGTGGCCAGTCGACGATCCAGGACCACTCAAGATGCGGCCACAGGGCGCCAGTGCCACTCGACACACGCCCGAGCAGACAGGGGAAGATCGGAGGAACGACTGGAGATGCCACGTCCATGTCAGCATTGCCGTCGCAGTCATAGTGGTAGGGCATCGTAGTACGGAGCTTTTTCGCTTCTCGACATGGTGCTGGGCAAACGACTGGCCGGTAGACGACGGTAGACAACGGACAATGCGTCATAGCTTGTGAGGTTGAGGCACAGCTTTTGACAAGCTTTGGTGGGCTGGCGATGCAAGTTGGAGGTTACAAGTTTCAGGCTTAGGCGCGCTGGGGGAGGCGGTTGGCGCTCATTGGCCCTGGCGAGAAACAATTGGCTGTCGATAGGCGCCTTTGTTGCAGCCGCCAGGGCTTGATTGGGCGCCTACAGGCTGTGAGCGGCAAGGTGCAGGTCGCTGTACTGCGCCGTGCTGAGGAATCTGGGCGGTTACGGGTGGGCAGCAGAGTACCTATACCTGTACTGTTGCACAGCCAGAAGTCGGTGAACGGCACTGAGCGGCGGATGAAACAATTGATTGCTCCAAGACGGCGAAGCCAAACGTCAATTCACCGGAGCATTCAGTTTCTTTGTACGGACTATACACTGCGGATACTAAGATACCTAGTATTACCCATCTGCAAACGCTGGCTTACATACACAACGAGAGCACATGCCAGACCAGACCAAACCAAACCAAACCAATGCCCTATGAAACCAAACACTCGCTCCCTCGGCATCTCGTCAGAAGAGATGCCACTCCAGATACCACTCTGCGGTACAACCACCCCCGTGTATTACTGCAGTGTGCAAAAGGGCCTTTTATTTCCTTTCCTTTCTGCATTCTCGGCCATATAACAAAAACTCCGCATTTTATCAAGTGAAGGAAGAATGAGAAGAGAGAGAGTGAGAGATGGAACTACCAGGTATACAAGAAAGAGACACACAGAGATACACAGAGAGATGCACAGAGAGATTGCAAAAACGGCCCCCTTCCCCCCGGTCAGTTTGCCGTCTTATTAGTACTCTGTATCAAAACAAACTGTCGTCATCACCTCCCATTTGTTTTGTGTTCTTACTGTCCCTTGTAATATTCCCTCCATTCCCGCGCCTCGGTCGGAGACAAGACAAGCCAGGCCTCTACCGGTCCTTGTCCCTGTCCCCAGTACCTGTACTTGCACCACCACCCCGTCGCAGATGGAGCTGTACCTCGTACCATGTGCTACCAGGTACCTGCAATCCCCTTGGCGCTCCATGTTCCTGCGTCCTGCACTCACTCTCTCGCCCGTCACCAACAAAAGCAATACAAGCAATGCCCCCAGCATGGAGGATTGCATGTACATGCTCCCACCGGAGATGCCTGTACCTGTACAAATGCACGAGGTCACCCGCTCACTTTTCCCGCCCCCAAGCAAGGAAAAAAAAAAAAAGGGCCCAATGCCGAAAGTTTTTCTTCTTCCCTTGCGCTTTTGAAGCTACCCCTGCTCCTTACAAAGAAAAACCCCAGTTGGATCGAACCCGGCCTTTTCCCTGTTTCTCGTGTTTGTTGTTGTAATTCCGTCCTTCCCCCCAGGGTTGCAACTTGGCATTGTATGGCCGGTCTGAGTATTACTACACACCACCTACTCCGTACATACTAGATAGATATGCCTACCCATCATTGATTATTACACACACAAATTTCAATACGATATGCCTCTCTACTGTATACAAGCAACGGAACAAACCTCCCCGTATCGTAATCAATCAATTCATACCCATGACTTACACAAACATCATCCACCTACCTCCCCCATCAGTCCAAACTCCCGCCAGCATCCATCCACCCGTCGCCGTCCAAGCCCCCCGTCCCATTCTGGGCTCCCTCAAAAGCCAACAACCACGCGTCCCCGTTATACGCTGCTCCGTCCAGCTCACCACTTGTCCACGCTTGCGCTCAGCTGAGACTCACCACCCCATCTCTGCATATCAATAGTCCGGGGGCCATTAATATCAGGTATCTGTCGGGAAAAACGCCACCCAATTTGGGCCGCACCGCCACCACGCCACGCCCAAGTCCCGCCCCAACAACGCCTTTCCCGTGGTTCTCATGATGAGGAATATCAACAACAGAAAACCAATCATCCATGCCCTGTCGTTTTTCTTTGCTCCCTCCCAACCCCCGGTCTAGTAAAAGATGCATCGTTTTTTTTCTCTCTCCCCGGTCTCCCCCTCGCCATCTGTCGCCACATTGAAAAATCGCTAAGCTGCAATGCAATGCCACACCCCCCGTCTTCTCCTCACAGTACGTGAGCAACGACACGCTCTGAAAGGCTCGCTGTAAAGTGGCCACATTGACTTTCGGTTTTTTTTTTACATGGATTCAATGGCCTCTCGCATGCCTCTCCACGGCACAGTATCGCTCTGAGCGTTGCAATTGCAGCCCGTCCATGTTGTACACCCACACCCTCCACCCGCAGCCCCCCCCCCCCTTGTAAAAGTCGGGACTCGCCCGCAGACCTGCCGAGCAAGTTGTACGAGTATTATCTCGTCCTCCTTCTCTTGCGTTTTTGGCCTGTTCGCTTTTATCCCGTTCCCCATCTCAATTGCCCAGCCGCAAAACCTTACTTCTTCTTTTATCCGGTCAGCTGATACCTTTGCCTTGGCCTGGCTCGCTGCAACAGGGGTGCACACAAGAAAACCCAATCCGGCGAGATTCCGAATTTGACAGGCTATCTGAATCCCTACCCAATGCCGTAATTCTCAGTGTAAGTGGAGGCAGCATCTCGATAGTCGAAAGAAGAAAAACATGCCATCACTGTTTCCATCTGCCCGGCATACCTATGTGGACTTGCTCACTCTTTTTTTCTTCTTCTTCTTCTTCTCTCTTTTGCCCTATCTCTGTCCAAAAGTTCCCCTCTCCAAGGAATCGCTTCCTCTGCCTTCTCCCCGCCAATGCCACCCTCCACCGGTTGCATCTTGCATATTCTCACCCAATATTATTCAATATCCATAAGCATATTCAGTATGCAGTAGCCCGTAAATAGACCAATGAAAAGATCCATCATGTCGTAAATCGTATAAATATACACCCTAGTCAGTGCAATGATAGACTCAATTCATTGCCTATCCAACCACATTTGTGCAGAAATCAATGCAAAATGCAAGAGCACCAGCGTCGTCAGTTCTCACTATGCGATCCGCCTCACAGGGCTCATGGTCAAAACAAGTGCAAGTATACATTATGAATAGTCACAAAATTGATATTTTAGACTAACTAAATCATGTCTGTATAAGACGACATGTATCATCCCAATGGGAACTCCATAATTTCCCAAATCCCGTCCCTGATGGCCGCCAGCTTGCTCTCATCCTTTCTGTATCCTAGGACCCATACCCATGCTAGATGCTTCATGATAACCAGCCATGGAGGCTTTCCGTCCTCTCAAAGGCCTGGAAAAGAAAAAGAAAAATCCAAATACACACGTGTTGCGCCGAGCCCAATGCCAGCCTGGTATATAGTATAAGCATACTGAGTGTGATACCGCAAACTCGCTGTCCCACAAAGGGGAACGTGCAAAAAGAAAACCAAAATGCATCATTCGTCACCAGTCTGCCATCCAGGCAGAACATCCACGCAAAAATCTTCGTTAGTTCCTCCAAGTATTCCAAGTTATCCAAAGTGTGTCAAAAGTATCCAAGGCTTTCCCATATCGCACTAATCTCTGTTTGTTTAAAACCCGCTGTGAGCCCTGCTTTGCCTTGCGGCGTCCTCTAATAATCCCGTCTCAGAAGGGGTATATGTGTAAAAGGTAGAGATGACATCTCTCAAGAAAGAATCATAAAAAAAGAATGAAAATATAATAAGAAGAAAAAAGTAACATGAGAGAAAAGAAAAGTGGCAAATGCCTGCTTTGCCTTTGCGGCGGAAAAGGAAGAACATGGAACAGTGGCTGTTCAGACAGGCTCTTTTTGCTTGTCACACCTCAAAGACCAGCTTATAAAGATATGCCAAGTTTGCCTTACATGAGCAGGTAGTCCATGTTCTGCATCCGCATGAGATCTCGCCAGTGGAGATATGGCTGAGGCACGTCGGAGCCCGCGCTCTCGGGCGTGCCGAGCCTCGACAAGTTGTCGTTGTGAAGCCAGAGACCACGCAGCACCATGACCATGCGGCCAAAAGAGCCGCAGTTGGCCTGCTCGCCGAGCTGCGCAACGCGTTCCTCAAACAGGGCGCGAAACTCGGAGCCAGGGAGGCTGATGGAGCCGCACAAGAGGTAGACCCAGACCAAGCTGCGGTCAAACCCTTCAGGGCCCGACGGGATAAATCGCAAGACATTGGTAAGCTTATCAACCAGACCCATCGGCGAGTGCTGCTCGGGGCTGAAGCCAGGCACCAGACTGCACAGGTAAATGCGTGCGGCAAGGCGAAAGGCGGCTGTGATGTTCTTGGAAAGCTGCTTGGGCGACAGCGTGCCATTGGCATTGTAGGGCATCCTGGGCGTAAATTCATTGACTTCAGTGAGGCTGATCTGCTCACCAAGGGCAGAAACGTGCTGGCAGAGGGTGAAGTCATCCATGCCGTCTCTCTTGAGCGACTCGAGGCAGGCAATCTCAGAGATAAGGTACATGACTCGGTCTTCACAGCCCATCAGCTCACGCAGACCCATGTAGGGATTCGACTGAGACAGGTGCTTCTCGCGGTACGTGTGCGCAAAGGTAGGGGATGTTCCCTGCATGGTGGCGCCAAGGATATCAATCCAGGCGGTCAGGGTCATGTTGAACGGAGTCTGCGTCATCGGCGTGGCAGGGTCCAAAACTTGACGGGGGAGGTCCAGCTTGGTGACCAGGTTGATGGCAGCTTGGAAGTGCTGGTGCCACGCAATGTCAAGCAGCTCCTCGTTTGACGAGCGGCCAACGACACACTGGAAGAAGATGAGCCCAAGAGTAGCCTCGAGGATCTGCTGGTAGTTTTCATCGCGCTTCAGCGACTCACAGAGCGACCAGATAGTCGCGTAGCGGTGTCGCATGATGTCGTGGTCAATGTCCTCGCTGGGGCCAACTGACAGAGACTTGAGGTGCTGGGCGGCGATGCTCAGGCAGCAGTGCAGATATGTGTTGTTGGACTGCAGGGCAGGGAGAATCAGGTCTGACGCAACTGATCCATGCTGGTTCGTCTCCAGGATGGGGAAGATGGTTGGCAGGACGAACTGGATGAAGTGGTCAAACAGGCGCTGGTCGTTCTCATCCAACTCAATCTTGACCTGCCTGGAGTCGTAGGAAGGTCCGTGAGAAAAGTCAAAGAAGTTGACGTTGAGCGCCTCCTCGGCCAGCGATTCGCGGCGCTCCTCGTGAACCTGCTCAACCCAGCTTCCAGGCAGGCTGCCCGACTGCAGGATGGTCCCCGGTGGCGGAGGTGGGCAGTAAGTGCTAAAGGTGGAAACTTGAGACTCCTTCAGGGTGGGGATATCATTGATGAACATTTGTCGCTCCGTCTTGACATCAATCTCGTAGGGCGAGTAGGAGCCAATCATGAAATCAGGGGGCATTTGAGAGCTGTAAGAGGAGTAGTCGGCCTGGTGCAGCGGGCCGTTGAAGTTGAAGCCGTTTGAGAAGTGAGAATCGATGGATGCAGACCTGTTACGGTCCATGGGATCGGTGTATGTTGCAGATGAGGGCACGGAGTGTGAGAGGCCAGGGGGCGAGGAAGTGACAGAGGTTGAGATGGAAGCATGCGATGACTTTTCCGACAACTTCTTGCGCTTGATGATGCCCTTGATGTCTTCCTTGTGCTTCTTCCGCGCATCGTTGTTGCTCCACCACATGGGTCGCTTATATTCACATTGCAGGCCAAGGTGCTTGCATGCCGTGCAAAGAGGCGTGCCCTCGTCGCACTTCTTTCGTCTTAATCTGCAGGTATAGCATCCTAAGGAGCAGACGTCCGCGTTAGTCGAGACATGTCCAAATTCCAGTGCAGAGTGCCTCCGCGGTGTCAGTGACATACCTGTTCTTGAACGGCGGTGCATCTGTGTGCCACGTCGTGTAGAGCCATTGTTGGCTTTGGGGGCCGCTTTGGCCTTCCCAGACTGCGAAACGGCCATGTGTACGGAATTCATTGATGCTCTTGTCAAGATATTGTGGTGATTGGGGGGCAGGGTAGACATTTGTAGCTTGCGATGCTCAACACCCAAGGTACCTTCTCTTTGTGCTTTGGGACCAGGGGAGGGGTGTACTTCCACGGTCCGACAGGGGTGTGCAATACGGTGCTTGACCGGCTGCTGCTCGCACTGTCACGTCCTTTGTTGTGGGGCTGGGCAAGGAGCGGGACGAAGAGCAAATCCAGTCAATGCCGCCGTTTCTGTTGCCGGGGGTCCAAGTCTCGGACGATGAAAGGCGATAAGGATTAGACTGTTGCTGGCTGTGCTGTCCTGCCCAAGCTGGCTGTCCGGGCCCGAAGTTGAAAATATTAAATTACAAGTCGGTCTTTTCAGATCTGAGTGGTCGGTGTAAGTCGAAGCGAGCTGTCGTATCAAACAACGGCGCCGCTTTGTTCGTCCGTCAACGGATTCTGGTGAAATTGCGCGAAATAAAGATGAATGTGCGTATAGTGAACGACTGGTTCCAAGCAAGTCCGGCTTGCTTTTCACTGGAAATAATGATGATGATGCCTGATCAAAGAGGAGGAGGAAGAGGGCGGAGGGGGAAATAGGGTTAAAAGAGAAGGGGAAAGCCTTTCTGGCGACACTTGGATACTCTCACCAACACAAGAAGAAAAGAGGGCTAAATTCGAGGAGCAGGATGGGCCATGGACTTATATCATGGCCGCCTTTCTCGCGGCCAAGCGTCAAAGGCCATCTCGACCGATTCCGCAAGGGAGGTTTTGCAGCTCATGTTGCTATTTTTGTCAATCAAATGGCACTAATTATGTCCATCTGGAACCATGACGCTTGTGTCCAGAGCTGCGCTTAGAGCAGCCAATGAGCGTCGTCTGGACGCCGCTCCCTTGCTCCTTTGGCTCATGGAGGGCGGTGGATGTGCGGAAGAGCAGCTCTAGCGTGAGAGATGCTTGCCGGGGGTTGGGCCAACCACCGAGGCGAGAAAATTCCTCTTGGATGCCTGTCTGGACCCGCGGACATGTCACCCACACCGAACGCCACAGCGGAAAGAAATGGGTGATGGCTGGACGAGCTACCCGCACGAGTTACTCGTATGTCTGTCCGAAGGACCCGCTGGTCAAGGGCTAAAAGCCTCTTGGACGCTTGGCCTGGGCCTTTTGGGCACGATGACGCCGAAAAAGGTGCCATGCTTCCAGTACCAGTATTGGCATCCCCACGAGAACGTGGGCAGCAGGTCGGCCATGAGAGAGCCATGCCCGAGGCCCTGTCCATCACCAGCGGATGGCCATGTGTTCACACGCACCGCATTCCGTGTAATGAGCAGCGCCGGTGCAAAACGAACGGTGTGTCGTTCAACATGCCCTGTGCAAGTCCGTACCTTACTTTTCATTTGGGAATGTCGTCTGACCTGCCACTGCAGCCCAATGTGCAGGGCTTACTTGAACTCTGTTTGTGCTTGACGTGAACGAACGCAGTATCTAGAGCGAGAGCTGCCAGGGTTGTTCTCCATCTCCCGCTAACGGCCCAAAAGGCCTAAACCGCATCGGCGACTGGCAGCATATTTGGACGAAGGAGACTGCAGATCAAGACCCCGGCACAAGAGCTGATGGTGTCGTCTTCATTAGCAGAAAAGCTTGGGTCTCCGCAGTTGCTATACAGTATTCCGTACTCGCAGTAGCTTCCTGACAAGTAGGCACCTGAGTGGTACATGGGGATTTGCTGTTGGTCGCCAAGATGAATCACAACGGCAAATCGTGCAAAAAGGTGCCCACCGTCCACAGAGGCGTTGGTGGCTCTGTGTTGTTGGCGGGATTGCTGCAGTAGTGCTAAGGCAGCGTAATGCTCGCACCAAGCAGGTACAGGACGGTCGACTGTCAACAGCCGAGTCGTGGAGGAGAAGCTCGGGTACACGCAAGTAAGGTGACCTCACTGTGCTTCGACAGGTACAGGTACCAATGGAGCCTCGGTACTGAGAGGTCTATGTTGTTGATACATGTTCTCCATAAATTGCTGCCTTGGGAATCAATAGGTACCTTGGCCAGAGAACGGGCCGCAACAGAGACTCTCGTCGCAGCGAAAGGAGCCAAACCCTGGCAGGTGATTCTGCAGGGATTCCAGCGCAGCTCTGAGAAACGGCGTCGTCTCCCGCAGACGCCGAGCACAAGTACGAGTACACGGGTGAGTGCGGCGATGTAGCGCACAGCATAGGTACTACGTACGACGGCAAATCCACAGGGGACGCAAGGGAGAAGAGGAACGGTGCCGAGAATGAAGCACGAGGCCTGTGCTTGGATTGCCTGTACGAGCAGCTGTACGAGTACTCTGCAGTTGTACTCTGCAGTTGTACTCTGTAGTTGGGATTAGGCCGAGCGAGAAAGGGAACAAGGTGAGGGTTCCTTGTGGCGGCAGAGTTGCGCGCTAGTGGGCTGGCCCCGCTGCGCAAGAGAGCTTCCGGCCACGTTGATTCGACAACGGGATGTGACGAAATGCTGGCTCGTGCAGCAAGCGGCAGGGGCCGCGGGACCAACCGAACTGTAGCGCCTTCTCTGCGCAAGGACCAGTCCCTGTCAACAGACCACCTGTCGATCGAGATTGGCTCACTTGCGCAGGTAGCGTGCCGCGCTAGCAGGGCCTGGGCTACCAGAAACAACCAATCGCATGCACGGGGGCTCCGCTGCGGAGACAAAGCCGCACTTTGGACCGATCTCAGTGAGGAGAGAAGCACTGCTCCTTCTCAGTTTTCACTGGCCTCGGGCAGGTGTGGCTGACTGAGTGAGTGAATAAAGAAGGAGGAAGTGGGCCGGGGTAGCATTTTGGAAGTTGGATTGCTCTTGCTCTTGCTGGTCTTGTCGATGGAGATGAGATAACGGCAAGAAAAGCCCATTTGCCTAAAACGGCTGAATCCAGTGCCGTGCTATTGAAAGAGCAGCGTAAACTACTAGGTAGGATAGGGGGAATATTAGATGCTTCTCCTTCACCTTGCCGTGCTGGCGAATTTGCGTGTCTTCAAGGAAGGAACATTTGATTGTACTGTACACAATACAACAGCAAGGAGGTAATATCGGGTAGGATTACCAGAGATCCCGAATGAGACAAAAACGGTTCTCGTTCCTCCAAAGTGAGTGACAAGCAGCAGAGAAATCCCTGCTCCGTCTACTGTTGAGTCAGTTAACCCCTCACTCACTCTGGCCCGATTGCGGGCTAAATTTGGCGACGGATCCTGCGGCCATCTGTTCATGCTGTCCGTCGGGCGCTTAGATACAAGCTACCATCTAACGTAACTGTTTGTCATGACGCGGCAAATCACACTACTGGGGCTATCGCGGTGCCATCTCTCAACACTCAGCGCGCACGTGTCTGCCACGGCCGTCGTGAGACCACGGCTTGATGCTATTTTTAATTTAGCCCGCAATCCCTTCTGTCTCTTAGTAATTGTGGCCTAAACTTTCCGCGACGAGTTTTCCGCCGATGCGTCTGCGTCTGATCTCGGCTGTCGTGAACCGCTAAGCGCCGAGGCCAACACGCCGGCAGGTCAAAGCTCTCGACTCAGTCACCTTGCCGCTGGTGATATCGATCTCAATGCTGCAGATTCGTGTGCTCTTGTCGGATATGCGTCACATCGTTTCCCTCGCTTCTTCGAGCTCGTTAATCGTGTGAGTATAAAGCCTGACGGGCTCGCGCTCGCTAATTTCCTTGCAACTCGTGCCGAAGCTGTGTATGTCACACTTTGCGCCGTTGGGCTACCCACGTTCTCAGTGCCTCTCGAGCCTCTGTTCTGCTCTCGGATCTCGCAGGAGCCCCGCGTCTCTTAGCATCGGCTTTTGGTTGTGTCTAGTGCGGCACTCTACCAGTCGTAACACCGTCTTTGCGACTAGCTAGTACTACTACTGCTACTACGGTCAGCCACTCACTGCCTAATACACGACGACTATTCACCACAAGTACTCTCGGGATTCACGAGTTGGATTCACAGGGTCGTTGTAGAGCTGCCCTTCGGCGGATATTTCAAGGATGCCTCAGGATACTTGCCGTCTACTGTCGTGCCTTTGCATCCTGGCCTCGCCTCCCTGCCCAGCTGGGACCATACCATGTGCAATCACCGCTGCGCAGTCTCGGCTACTGACCGCGACCCCTCAGTCCCCGGTTGACCGATCGCACCCGTATTAGCACCTGGACTTGATTCTTGGACATACTACGAGAACTCGTACTACCCGGTAGTACTTGGGCTAGAAGGTAGGTAGTGCGAAGACTTGGCCTCGAAAGTGGGCGACCCTCAGTGCCTCTCGAAATCGAGACCAGCTACTCGTACGCCGGCTCCGTCGCCTCTTTCCCCGTCCGTCGCCATGATATCGCCGGCCTTGATGGACATGGTCCGGCTCTGTTCTCCGGCACATACGAAGTACATGCATTCATATCCGATTTCCACGAGTAGTGTGGCCGTGCGTAACAGGGGGCTCGCCAGCTCCCCAACGACATATTACCAACATCGACGCCGATAGGTGCTTATGATTGAATGTCTAATCTCTTGAATTCAGCCTCAAGGACGCCACATGCACTCTGTCAAACTAATCACCGGCTATCACCCTCCATCATAGCACATGGCGCATTGAGCTCTCATATTCTGGCCATGAATTCGCAAATGCCCGCACACAGTGTCGTAAGGCTAGCCTCTAAGCTGCCAATTTAGCTTATACTAGAACATTGTGGAGCAGGTATTTGCGCGAATACTTGTACAAGTACTAATCCCTCGCCACTAGGTGGTTTGTCCGCTTCGATCTCGACTGCGAGGTAAAATGGAGGCTATTTTCCGCGTACGACTAATGCCACCTCTTGGGAAAGGGCAACTAGCGTCCACCCATCCTGATGCGGATACGCGCAGCTCCCCAGTCTAGGTCGTTCAAGGCCGGCTCTAAAAAGGTCCCTAGTACGAGGCATGCATGACAGCTTCGAGTCAGTCAATCACGTCGGGTCTCGCACATTCGGAGAGAAAAGAATCCATCTGGGCAAACTGACTGGTCAAATTAATCATACTATCACGACTCCAGGTGGTAAGCTCATGCTGGGTTTTAAGATTGCTGAGTGACTGGTAATATTTTACACAAAGGCAGGGGGCGAAATGACAGCTCTCCAGGAACAAAGCCGAGCTGTACACGAGTGGGAATAAACGCGAAGGCATTCTCTTCCGAGGTGTCCAGGGCCCTTATCCCCAGATGCACAGTATCAACTTGTTGCGGAGTACATGCAGTACTTTTACTAGTGGATCTTCCGGGTGGTGTGCTTCCGAAGCCCATGAAAATTTGTCTCTCTCTCTTTCTCTCTCTTGATGCTCGTACGGAGTTTATAACAGTACGCGCACTGGAGGCTAGTGTTGCCAAACTAGGTCCAGCCCAGTGTGATTTGCCATGGATCTTGTTCTCTCGCCGTAGATTACCTGTCCGAGAGAGTCTGCTTGGACTAGTGGTACTTGTAGTACAGTGTACGATTCAGCGTGATCGAGAGTCGGTGGTGTACATACTTGCACATGCCGATCGCATTCGCCCTAGGTAGCCACTCGCACACCAAGCCAGTTATGCTCGTCTATGCTGTGGAACTCGGACAAAGCTGCGAACCATCCACCACACAGCAATTATTGGGGCGCATTCATTCACGGCCATGTGAGCCTTTGAGATGGGGGTTTCACGCAAGCCATTGGTGGACGTCTAATGTTCTGGTGTTTGAGGCCGGTGGTCGACGGAAATGAGCAATGTCAACCACTGGCCCGTCACTTTTGATTTTTCTCTCTCGGATCGGATCCTCTTGGTGGCTGGTGGCTTGTGGGATGGATTAGCTTCCCCTCCTGGCCAAGAACCAGAGACAAGGGGACCAAGATTGCTTTCCCTTGCTGTACGGGTCCGGGTCCGTATGTCTTGCGCACTGTGGCGAGACGGGTGCTATTTCCTAGCTGGTGATCATCAGGGTATCAGAACTGACCTAAAGACCCTGGCTGTGGACTTTTTAGCTCGTGCTATCACACTATTCGGCCGGATCGGATAGGCTCATTGCCTGCCTCTTCATTCAAGTATGGGGTAAGCTCAAGGATTCCTGCTTGCTCACCTGCGTGAACCCTGCGGGCTTCGTGCAGCTCGGGGCCGGCGGGCAAGAACAAGACGGCCCTTGGCTCATACGAGCATTCCTTCTCTCGACTCTACTATGTACTCCGTCCCCCTCTGACTAGCTGTCTTCCGTTATGAAGTTGACGGCGCCCCCATCCGTCGTCTAGCGGGAGTCTAGTCTTCGTTAGCAAGCCGTTTGTGAAGAATCGGCTCAACATTCTCCGCCCGTAGTCAGTACCTAGCTCAACGTCGTAGTTTTGTGAGACACCACGAAAAGAGAGAACAAAAAATTCCCAAGGGGGCAAAAACACCGCCCTGGTCTGCAGCACGTTGCGCCGCCGGGGTGGGTGTTATCTTGCGGTTTTCTTTTGCGTAATACTGTCTCTAGGTTTCCACCTCAAGGGCAGATTCCATACTGTACCTGTAGAGGCTCCGTTTGATGCTGAACATGTCGGTGAGCAACGGCCCATGCTTGGGCCATGGTAGCTTTTGCCTGTCTGTGTCCATGCTAGTCATTTGTTCTTGCCGGCGCCGTTCCGTTGCCTGAGGTACTACGTAAATGCAAGGCATTGGCGGAGACTGGGGGGCTTGGAGACGGGAGCGAAGCACTAGTTTGATTCTTTTTTAATCAGCTGGCTAGTGAGAGACGGAGCTTGCTTGGGAGGCGTCGAGAACAAGTTCACGGCCAAACGCGGGATTACAAGTCACCGTTTATGACTCCAAAGCGTGCAAATCAGGTGGGCCGTTGAAGCACGTTGTAGGGTAGACGGGTTTCCTCTTTCTCTTGTCTCCTGTCCTCGCTCCGTCAACGCTGAAATGGCACGAGTAGGGCGAATGATGCGATTGATGGAAATCTGGCCAATGGGCATCGCAGAGGCCTGTGCGGCGCTGTGATTGGGTCGTGGGAGTGAAATTGTGCCGTGCCCAATTGGCCTGCGTGACCTCGCCAGCACGTGGAGTCTCTGGAATATCGCCGTCTGGATTGGCTGCACAAGGGAGATTTCGGCCATTCGAATCGTCTTGGCTTCTCTTTCTTGTTGCCTGATATCAAACAAGTCGCTGCAACCCCCGCTCAGCATCCATAATTTGGTGGTACCCGTACTGTATCAATCGGGCATAAGGTAAGACATACATGTACGAGTATGAGTACCGCTGCTGGAGAGCAACGAGGGGACATCATTATCGTCCCATCCCCTCCCTGCTCTTGTCCTCTAGTCGGTCGCTAGTAGCACGAAATGCCTCTGCCGGCTGGATAGTCTCATGCACAGTGAAAGATACAGTATGCGCAGGGGCCAGGGGTCCTGCAGCTGCTGCCCAGGGTGGCTAGCACGGGCCACAGCGCATGAGACCACACCCCTCCCTTTCTGTGTCTCCCACGGGCTTTGGCCTTTCTCTTTGTCTCTTTTTTCCCTCATCAATCTTGCTGCTTATCGCCAATTGGAGCCTCTCCCTCTGCTTTCTGCCGTATACGGTGTGGGGTAGCGGCTGGGAAGCTGACTTGATTCCGAAAGAAAGATCGGCTCCCTTGTCCTGGTGTCACGTCGCATCTCTCTGCTTGACCGAGGTCGCTAGTCTATCTACCATCCCAGCGACGTTGTCGTGATACCCGTCTGCCCTATCACGGACTGCGGTGGCTTGCAGGGTTTTGGGAATGGCTTGGTTTTGATAGAGCCCAGCTGCTAGTCCGGCCGTGATCAAGGTTGCGCAAGCTCCAGATCCTCATTATGCGTGAGCGGCGCCGCACATGGAGGTTATGTGCAAGGTTCGGCCTATCGAGATTGACCGCCGTGCGGCCGAGCAGCTTCTTGTAAGCAGGACCATCATCATCTGTGCCTCGTTCAGTCGTCATTGTGCTAGCATTGGGAAGCCGACAGCCGAGACTTGCTTGCTCAGCATCACCAATTCACGTCACCGCAGCCAGGGTCGAGGAAGCAGAGGAGGCAAGCACAGACTGAGCTTTGCAGCACAGATCGAAGCAGACCGAAGCAGACCGAACAAGGCCTCGACTTGCTCAATGACTTGCATTCTGATACCGATACGGATACTCGTACTGGTATGCTCCCATGTTGCCATGTCTCAAACCTGCGCCTCCCGTGGCCATCACATCAGTCCGTGTGATGAGATGAGATGAGCCCAATGTCATTGTGAGCCGGACCGTCCCACTAGCTTGCCCGAGGTCATCACAACGCCAACGATGTGATGTGATTATCACGGGCTGGGGATTTTCAATCTCTTGCCCGTCCAACACCTACAATTGCCCAAAGAGGCAAGCATGCAAGCGTTAATGATAATCAGAGTAGCGCCTAGAGAAGCCGTGGCCGGTTGGCGGCCGACTGTGGGGTCTGTCACAATGAGAGAACCAACACACATGCACTTGCCGTTCGCACTTACATGGAGATCAAGGCGCCAAAGACATGCAGAAGTGGGAACGGTCAAAGGATTCTCGGCCTCGAGCGTGACCGTTGACATATACAAACATGGCAGCTGAGACAGTCTCAAGCCACCGGCCGGGCGATTTGCGCCTAGAAGGCTAGTCGGCCTCACCGACTACTGCACGAAAGAGTGCTTTGTTGATCGGAGGCTGGAGAAGGAAGAAAAAAAAAAAAAAGGCTCCATCCTGGGACCCGTCTTGGAGCCCAAAAGTTTTTTTTTCCTTTCTCGCTTGGTCTGTGAAGGGAAAGACTCGTTGAGTCACGAGGCCACAATGACGGCATCTGATATTCCACCGCCAGTTTGCGGAGTGTGGCTTTTTGTGAGCTCCTTGCCTTGCCCTTGCTTGCTTTGCAGTTGATGGGGCCTCGCGATGCTGACGGAGGAGACGCTCGGGTCGGTGTTTACATGTGTTGAGTTGAAAAGTGTCACCTTTTTGATGTGTTGGGTCACCGAGATTTGCAAGGTTACGGAGCACTTACACTTTTAAGCAAGTGATGTCGCAGCAGACTTTCAACCACTTGCAGTGCCTGTGAGACGAAGCGGGGATGCATGAATGCAGGGCCAGGACGGAAGCAAGACGGATGAAGCCTTTCGGTCCCTTGCCTCCCTTCTCTCGCCTGTGCTGGGTGCTGGGTGCTTCTGTTTCTCGCAGCACTGGGAGCCCGCTTCCCATGCTCCGTGCATACAGGTACAGAGAGACTGCGTTGAGATCCTTGCTTGTGCATAACTGATCCGTCATTGTCGACAAGGGCCGTGCTAGAGCTTGGTCCGTATCCTAGTCGGCTGCTCAAGAGATCACGGCGCCTAAGCGCCGGCTATATTTGGACAAGCACCGGCGGCCACGGTCTTTGACTATGCGGCAAATCACAAAGCTCGATAACCCTGCACATGCTCCACAGATGGGACCAGTGCGGCAGCCTCCATGGGCGGCCAAGACGACTGACTGGCTGGAAGAAACGACACCATCTACCAGCGTTTGACTGGCGGTCCAATCGATCCCGTCGTCTTCGCGCCGCCCTCACGGCAGAAGGGACCAGCCTCAGGCGCCAATAGGAACCAGCTCTTTGACTCTAGCACCGCGCCCAGTTGTGTCACCTTGTTCTCGTACGGGCCTGTGCTGTTGCTTGTCGTTCTTTTTGCCTGTGGGACTGCTATTCTTGTCCCCCGCAACGACTCGCGAGCCGGATCGGTGTGCTCATCACATCGCATTACAGACTAGCTCTGGTGCTGACTACCGGGACCGAGTCCCCTTGCTCAAACGCGCAGCTGTACAGTAGGCGTATGCGTATTTTTGCCCGCACGAACTTACAGGCGGTCCCTGAGATGCGACCTTCGGCCCTCACGAAGAATACTTATCAACCACTAGCCGCCCACTGAGACGCAGAATTCTCCTCCCCCTTTGCGACGTCTATCTCGTTTTGGTGACATCTACTCCATATCGAGCTGTTAATTCCCTTCTTGGTATTGCTTTTCTTCTTTTTTATCGTAGCTCTGAGCACCTACATCGTTACATTGCTGAGCTGTTTCCCGTCTCTTTTAGAAAAGTTGCTGGCAACGGCTGCTGATCTTTGTTCTACCTGTCTCCGAGCTATCCCGAAGCACCTTGGAGCTACCCTCACTACTTCCATGTATTAAACAGGCCACCTCACCAAGAACAGAAAAGAAGAAGAGAAAGCAAAGGATAGAAGAAAGCAAAAAGCACACGTACACTTAGAAGGATGGTATGTAACAGGCTGCTTGCACATCTTTCCACTCCTGCTTTTCACTAATTTGAAGCTTATTCAGGACTACACATCCTTCCATGTCGGCGAGAGCCGTACATACCAGGAGATGCGCCAGAAGCCCGCTCCCCAGAATACCTTTTTTAACCTCAAGCAAGAGCCACAGCAGTTTAGACCGACGTCAGTAGCCACAGAGTTCGTGGATACAGATTGGGATGAAGAAGAAGATGAGGAGGATGAAATGAGCGAGCCGGAAGATAACTCACCCCGAGTGAGTCTGCAATCGGTAAGTGGATTCCCTTCCATTCTGCTCTATTTTCTTGGAAGCGGAAACAGGACGCTAACTTCGGGTCCTCGCAGGCTGGGCAGCCGAGTTTCACAACCCTCTCTTCGTACGACGAGGTCCCCACCCCCCGTTCAAGTGCAGTCCCGCAGTTCTATCTTGAATACTCTCCGAAGCAGGTTGAAGGCCCTCGCGGGCCACACCTCTTCCAATTCCCTGCCGACCAGTATGCGAGGTTCCAAGCAGGTGAAGACGATGTAGTTTTAACACTGTCGCCCATGACTCCAATGGTGCCTCGAGAAGTCGTATCTCATGCCCGGTCGTCTCGCTGGAACGGCCCTTTCCAATACACCACTGCAGAGCTCGACTCATCGACGCTGTCAGAATGGACACCCGAGATGGTAGCACAGTCAATGCTCAATGCCGGTATTGAGCTGGCAATTACGGAGAGGTTCATCGAAAATGACATCAACGGTGCTATCCTGATTACGTTGAAGTTTGAAGACCTGAAAGAGCTAGACATCTCTTCCTTCGGAATTCGAACAAGGGTGTGGCATCAAATCCAGGCATTAATGGACAGCAGGCCTGCTTCACCCCAGGCTACGACTCCAATTGAGGATAGACCGAGCCGTGAAGCCAGGAAGGTGATGAAAAAGGACAATGCAGGCTCGACGCGACGCCACGAGAGCAAGCGCAGGGTCCGCCGGGCTACCGATCCCATTACTCCAATGGAATCAGTGTCCATCATTGGCATTGAGCAAGTCATTCCGAAGCCGCACAACTGTTCCAAGGGCGAGAAGTGCTCAAAGTGGAAGAAGCAGCAGAAAATCATTGAGGAGTTCAAGGCTATGAACCCCCATATTGACATCAACAATGCTAGTGGAGCTGTTGTCATCTATGGCGATGCAGGAAATCCCGACACAGCCAGGGCTCTGGATCCCAACGAGACGATTCGGCCATTTTCCGACTCGGTTCCGTCTGTGGTGGCATCGTCCGACATTCTTGGCCCTGGCGGCCTGCCGCCTCTGCAGTACCTTCAGGAAACGACCCTTCGAAACTTGCAGGCTCGCGACCCTCAAGATAACGTTCGCCAGTTTCTCAACTTTCAGCGGGCCAACCCAAGCAGCAATGAAGTGCCACTCACTCCCCCCTTTGAAGTTACACCATCTGCACAACCTCACCAAGGCTTGCGACGTCTGCCAAAGCTTTCCATCCCAGGAAACCCTCAGAACGTGGCGCGACAAGCACCTCCTCGACCACCAGTATCTCAGCCTGTACAACAGCAACAGCAGCAGCAGCAGCAGCAGCAGCAGCAGCAGCAGCAGGCAACACGCCGCTCCTCTCCGTTGCAGCAGGAGTTTGTACCATACCAGATGGACAAGGCTGACCCGTTGTCTCCCGACTTGGAAACTGCAAAGAACCCCTATCGATTCGGAACCCCATTCTCCGAGATGGATGTTCCGATCACGGCTGTGCCTATTGGGCCCGTTGCCCGCGACGTCTCTCAGTCGGTGCCTCCCGATATGAACTACAGGGCCGCTCCCACCGTGGGCCACAACCGATCCCAGTCGCGAGCTTCTGGCCGCCGCCCCTCTTTCCCTGTCCTTCCCGCCTTGGATGAGAACCGGGCAACCCGCAACTATCCAAGGGCCACCTCGCCCAAGTCGGCGTCTCCTAGAACTCCAGTCCGACCTCATCAGCAGCTGCCTAAGCAGCAGCCTCAACCTGCCCAAGCGCCCCCTCGCTTCAACTATCCTTGGTCACCTGTTGACCGCACCACGTATGAGCAGGCCATTCCTCCCATCCCCTCAGTGCGCCCTGGTGACTCTAGGGAGGCACCGACCGCAATGCCTGCCAATGGCATCAGCTTCCAAGGTCCCATGAAGAAGCGTAAGATGCGCATGCTTCGCCATGAATGGCAGGACGGCTACTTCACCTTGAAGGGCACCCGCCTGAACATGCACAAGGATGCTCAGCAGGTTGATCGCACGCTCGAGTATGTCGACATTGACGACTACGCGATTGCCTGCTCCAGCCTAGCATCTACTTCCAAGCTCAGTGCAGCCTTCAAGGCCGTCTCTATTTCCCACAACCGCGATAAGAGCGATCCCGTTGGTGCCTTTAGCTTCCAGCTCATCCCTCAAGATAAGAACGGAGCTCGGCTGCGCAAGCGTGATAGCTCTCTTCAGCCCAACGCTTCGGCCGAGGGCGTCAACGGCACCGGCAAGACGCACCATTTTGCGGTTAAGAACCGTGATGAGCGTATTGATTGGATGCGAGAGCTCATGCTGGCCAAGGCACTGAAGCAGAAGGGCGATGGTTTTGAGATCAGCGTCAACGGTAACATGATTTAAAGTTGCAAAAAACATAAAAAGATACATTTTATTCAATCTTTTTATTTTCGATTTGTTTATCTGTTTATCTGTTTTTCTTATTTTTGATGACTTTCCTATTGTTTATAACGAAGAATGAATGATGACCATTTCCTTTTTTTTCTTTTTTTCTTCTCCCTATCTCTTCTCAATCTCCTTGATTCACATTATATCCCCTTCTCTCGCTGAGGCTAAGCCGCAAGACTGCCTGCGCCCAGCTGTTGATTCTACTTCTTCCAAAACCCCCCTTGTTCTCTTCTTGCATTAAACCCCCCCCCCCCCCAAAGAAAAATATGGCGAGTGAAGACAAAGATTCATAGCGAAAGACGCGGGATACCGTTTGTTTTCTTTTCTTTCTTTTTTTTTTTTTTTTTTTTTTGAGAGTTAAGATTGATGATACCTTTTATAAGATGTTAGAAAGTGTCCTTCAAAGGATTATGACGAGTTTTTGAATATATAGTTGGCTTGGGGATTTTGAACGCGGAGAAGAAGTATTGGTTTACAGAAAATTGATGCAATCAAATATAAAAATTTTTATTCAAATCACTGGTGCGCACTTTGATTACCTGTGACTATACTCCGTAGAGCCCTATGATTTTGGCATTTGGCTGGATTGAGTGTTTTGCAGATTTCACGAAGCTTTTGCTCGGTATTTCAGCCACGAGTCCCGTTGATGTTGAAGCTTCACTGCCAATACTCGATGAACTATATTCCTCATGCTAGTTAGAATAGACGCACTATACATGCCAAGCGGAATTAGACGAAAATGCTACAATCTGTCGAAATGTCAAAAATCAATATTGGCTCCAGGGTAGGAGGCACTGAGTATCCATCCCGACCACATCCTACCCTCATGACAACAACTTGATCCGCCTCTCCGCAAAAGTGCGTCCGTTACTCATATTTTCAGATAGAGCATAATAAGTATATATAGTACCTTTACACTATCTTACATCTCTTCCGACCAGGCGTCTTGATACGAACATTTCCAACGCCCCATATCAAGAACGCCGGCGGAGCGTCTTCCTTTTTTAGTATGACATATACACATTGATCTTGACCCTCTCTTGTTCTTTAGGCACCCAATTCTCTTGGCTTCTTATTCTGTTTGTTTTTTTCTTTCTTCTTTCATCTCCTCCCTTGCCCGTCACCACCTCTTCATGGGGACGTCTCCGACATGAACTCGGGGCGCAGCACGCCAGATCTCTGGTGTACCTTCTCCCAGTCAATCAGCTTCCACCAAGCATCGACGTAGGCAGCCTTTCCTCCCTTTCCATCCACACCCATGCCCCAGTCGAGCAGCCAGGCGTGCTCCCAGGTGTTGAGACACAGCAGCGGCTCCAGCTCGATGCCTCCGGGGGGCAGGTCGCCGACTCTCCTCCTTGCGCCGAGGCCCTGGTTCCTGAGGTACGTGCGCGCGGAGCCGTCGCTGCCGACGGTGTTCATGTCCGTGGACTGCATGCGCCAGTGGGCGCCGGGATAGGGCGAGCCGGCGAGGTAGGTGGGCAGCAGGCGGTAGTCGCCGGGGCCGGCCTTGACGAGCCAGACGAAGCCCGGGCCGAACATGGCGGAGGCGGTGACGATGAACTCGAGGCGGAGCGACTCGATGGAGGAGAAGGAGGCCTCGAGCTCGCGGCGCAGCTCGTCGGGCATGGGCGTGCCGTTGGGGGCGATGCCCTGGAAGAAGAAGTGGTTGTTGTGAGCCATGGAGGCGTGGTTGAAGATGGGGGCTTGGCTGGGTTCGCGGGCCGTCATGAGGAGAATGGTCTTGACGTCGTGGCTTTCGAGCTCGGTGCCTGGAGGCGAGATGGTCAGCGTCAATTCAGAGTTTCTCGTTCGAGAAGGGGAGATCAGATTGGGGCATTTTGCTTACCGGCAATCATGGCATTGAGCTTGTCCACCGTAACGGTCATGTAGTCTGTCCACGCAAGAGCAAACCCGCCGGGGCTCATCAGGTTGGGCACACCCTCAGAGAAGTCGTGCGGCAGCGCAGGCACCGAGTGTAGACTCCGTCTGGCATTCATGGTGTTGAAGATGGAGTTGAAGCTGGAGCCATTGGCGGATGCGCGCAGATTCAGGCCCAATGCCTGGCGGGGCATCCGTAGCAGCCGCGAGCGGAACATGGCGGGCTGATTGTACAAGGGCGAGAGCTGGCGATGCGCTGGGAAGGGGGGGCCGAGTCTCGAGAGAGAGGGGATCGTGGTCTTGGTCGTGAGACTGATATTCAGAAGCCCTCCAACTTTTTCCCGCTTGGTGATTGATTGGATTTGATGCCCCACCAAAAAGCGATGAAAAGGTACTTGTTGGTTTGTACCAGTTCACCAGCCTCAGCCCACCAGCCACTAGCCACAGATACACGGCCCCAGCCACAGCTGTCAGGCCACTGTTGTAGCACACCGTAGTTTACGGAAGTTGGAGTAAGAGGCGGAAAAAGTGTTGGGCCGGCAGTCAATCAGGGATGGAATGCCGCCGTCAGATCGTGACCGTCATCCGAAACGCCACCCCGTGATTGGGCGGCTTCTGCCTTGTAGCCCCTACCCCGTTTCGCGCCTTGCCCATTACGAGCCATCCTGTCACAGGTACTCCCAGGTACTCTCGGCAGCTTAATAACCCCCCAAGCCCGGCTGGAAAATAAGGTAATCAACGACACCCAGTGATGTAACCACGAGCATCGCACGGCTGGCGTTTGGCAATCCTGTTTCGTCCAATCTCGTCGGTCCCTGGCTGTGCTTCTTTCTTTTTTTTCTTCCTTTTCCTGGCCCCTTCACTGGCTGCGATTTTGTTGTGCTGGCACGCACCCCGAAAAAAAGGCAACTAGAGTCTCTGGGAGGGCTCCCGTGACAATCATTCACTGTCCCGTGCCCAAGGTAATTAGCAGTTTCGACACACTTTGCTCCGCCACTCAGCCGCGGCGATACCCGCCAGACCTTGTCCTACCCTTTTTTTTCTTCTCTCTTCTCTCTCGCGACCGTTTGCCTCGTTCGTTCTTCTTCTCGTATCCCGACGCTCTTCTCACGGCATGCAACTCGCTCGTGATGCGGCGATAGGAGTCGACATTCCTACTCCCGCAATCCTCACCATGGCCACTCTCACATCGACGCTCGCCACGGCCACGGCCACGGCAACCTCGTCTCCCTCTGGACCCTTCCACATCGACTCTTCGCAGGGCGAATGTCAGCTGCTGGGGCCCTTTGCCTTGGTCGTCCAGGCGGCGCTCGGCGGCCTGGCCATGCTGTCGCTGGTCTACAAGCGCTGGAGGGAGCACCCACGACGGCCCGTCAAGGTCTGGTTCTTTGACGTCTCAAAGCAGGTCTTTGGGTCGGTGCTGGTGCACATGTCCAACATCTTCATGTCCATGTTGACCAGCGGTCGCTTCTCCATCAAGGTAGAGCCTACCGTGGTGGAGAGGCTGGTGGCTAGAGGCGACGACAGCTACGTGCCCAATCCTTGCTCCTTTTACCTTTTGAATCTGGCCATAGATGTAAGCAACGTTTTGCCCTCTTGATGCTATGCCGTCTGAATTCGAGTGCTGACTTTGCCACTATAGACCACTGTCGGCATCCCCATCCTCATTGTGCTCTTGCGCATCTTCAGCGCCCTGGCCAGCTTGACACCGTTTGGCAAGCCGGTCGAGTCCATCAAGTCGGGATACTACGGAAACCCTCCGAATGCCTGGTGGTGGCTCAAGCAATCCTTTATATATTTCGCCGGGCTGTTTGGCATGAAGGTTTGCGTTCTCATCATCTTCATCATGATGCCCTGGATCTCCCGAGTCGGCGACTGGGCGCTTCGATGGACAGAAGGAGACGAAAAGCTCCAGGTCGCATTCGTCATGATGATCTTCCCCCTCATCATGAACGCCCTTCAGTATTACATCATCGACTCCTTCATCAAGCAGAAAGTGACGGACCACGAGGTGCTGCCGTCCGAGGACCATGACGACGACGACGACGACGACTACGAAAGAAGGCGATCAAGCGCCGATGGTACCAATTCAGACGATCGAAGCGAGAGTCGTATCAAGATCAACGGACGCTCGCGCAACAACATGGACAACGAGTACGACCCCGAAGTAGATGGAGATGCCCCGACGATTACCGGCAGCAGTTCGAATCAATCCAACTCCAAGCCGCCCAGCGGAATCTCAGTCGAGCTGCTCCCCAAAGAGTAGAGCAGCCCGCTCTTGCTAGGATTTCCTCTCTTTCCACCCGCAGAACATTTTTTTTGTATATAAACCAACCATCATCATCGCTCTCCTTTGCAGAAAGGGCCTTTTTTGTTCACTGAATTCATTTTCATATCTCGGCGCTGGAGACAGCTGGGGGCGCACATCATTTTTGGGCCGCAATTGATTTTTTTTTTTTTTTCTCATCTTGCCTTTTTCCGTTCTTTGTGCCATTCGTGGGAGGTTTTTTTTTTCAGTCGTGTTAAGTAGCGGTTATACAGGATAGAAGCGACTCTGGAGAAATACATAGCATCACCTGGTGAAACTTTTCATCTCTCACTTTGCCCAGTAGACAGAAACGCTGTGACACCCAACTTGGTCGTAACAATCGCAAGTCCTCCATTCATCAGCAGTGTTTGTGCGCCGAGGCGTCAACACAGCTTAAGCTGGGCGGATGGTTTAGTGGTATAATTTTCCCTTAGCATCTAGCTTCCTCCTGGAAGCTGGTATCCACGCCTGGGAAAGGTCCGGGGTTCGATTCCCCGTTCGTCCATAACAAGCGATGAAGAATTCCTTCTGACAATCCTTTTTTGCCTTTTCTTCTTCTTTTTAAACTTTTTGTGTGTTTGTTGTCATATTCTTTTTCTTCTTTTAACTGCAACCCCACGCAGATGTCAAATCTGCCCCGTACAGAGTCAATACAATTCATCTCACAAAGATAAAAGAAAGTCATATCAAAATCCGTGTAAATAGCTTCTTCATCATAGTTACGTTAAAACTTCAATCACCTTGTGTCATACATCCAAAAGCCCCAAGCCATGCTCATCCATATCTTCAAAAGGGTCAAGGCAAACAATGCCCGTCAAAGAATCGTAAAAAGAAACAAACCAAGCGAGCATATCCAAACAATATCGTCATAATGTGAGCAATGATCCAAGCACCGAAACACTAGGTTTTGCCTTGTAAAAAAAGAAAAACACCACTGGACCTCTAACTGGCTACTAATTCGCCTTTTTAAAAACGCCACGCAAAAATGTCCTCAGAATATATGATACACCAACATACATGTCATGCAGATAGAACGGGATTAAACATGAATAGTCGATCATTCGTCAGAAGCTCTTTAGACACCGGTCCAGTTCTGTGGGGACGGGCTGTAGGGCTTGTAGCCGGGGTATCCCTCGTGATCCTCACGCTCGTGAGATTCGCTGGGGCGGCGATCGTAGTTTGGCCCCTCTCGCGTCTGAGGACGGGAATAGCCTGAGCTAAAGTCGAATCCCCCGTTGTTGGTGATGGGAGCCGCGGGAGCATCCTGCACAGCCTTCTGCGGCGCCGGAGTATACGTCCTGTAAGGGACCGGCTTGTTTTGCGGGGCGATGCCAAAGTCGCTCTGGGGGCCTGGGGAGTGTCTTTGGTTCAGGCCGGGGCCAGGAGACTTTCGCATGTTCGGATCTGCGCCATAGTGATCTGGTGAGGAGTGCCCGTCAAGCTCATGAGGGGCAGTCGGCATCTGTGCCGGGCCTGGCGTCATCTGTCGTGGAATGCCGAATCCATTCTGATTGGAAATGGGCGATTGGTGGCCAGGGCTCATTCTCATGCTTGCGGCAGGGGCAGCATGATCGTAGGGCTGGTTGGCACCATACCCATCCGCCACGTGGTTGTCATAGCCTTGCTCATGCCCATTGTAGTTTTGCTCGTGCGCGCCATAGTTCTGCCCATGTCCGTTGTACCCTTGGTCGTGTCCTCCGTAGTTTTGCTCATGTGCTCCATAGGCTTGATTGTGTGCGTTGTAACCTTGGTCGTGTCCGTTGTAACCCTGATCATGAGCACCATAACCCTGATCGTGGGCGACATGGCCTTGATCATGAGCGCCATAGCCTTGATCATGGGCACCATAACCTTGATCATGAGCGGCATATCCTTGGTTTCGAGCACCGTAGCCTTGGTCGTGGGCAGCGTAACCCTGGTCGTGGGCGGCATAACCTTGGTCGTGTCCGCCATATGGGCTAGCAGGCTGGCCATATTGGCCAGGCGAGTTGGTCTGTTGCCGGCCGTATGGGTCATTTCGGCCCATTGGCCTCTGTTGTTGTGGTCCTCGTTGCTGAGGTCCTCCGTACCTGGGGCTGTTCATATTCTGATTCTGCTGAGGAAGAGGCTCTTTCTTGGGCGGCAAATCATCCATTTCGACCTCCTCTTCAAGCACAATTTTCTTTGAGTTGGCCGTTTCCCAGCTTGGCATGGCGGGGAGGGCATCAGCATCATGCTTAGAGACGTCAAACTCGGCGTATTGTGGAGGTCCGTGAGAAGCTTGCGGTGCGAAGGCTGGCACTGTCGTGGGCGCTGGCATGTGAGCTGCCATGGGTGCCTCCTGACGATATCCTCCGTATCCAGATTGCTGGGGATTGTATGGTTCATCGAGGTGTTTGTGGGGCTTTCCACCGGGGGTGTCGCAGCAGCCACAGCAGTTGCCGCAGCACTTGAGGCAGTAGCAGCAGCTGCAGCAACAGGACATACCCAAGCAGGTGCACCGGACAATACAAATGACAATACTGAGAAGGATAAGGCCGCCGATAATCATAAGCGCAATAGCAGGCCACCTGTTGAGGAGTTAGCAATGTCATCCAATTGATAAGCCATCATGTTTCGTTGGTTATTCCACTCACTTGCAATATACGTGGGCCATGCAAGCATCCCAGCTGGAAAAGGCTTGCTTAATTTCTGAGACTTTGTTCTCGCCATCGGCCACGATATCTCGCTTCACGACCTGGGCAGCAAGGCTCCTCGCAACAGTGTCCACCACGGTCTCCCACAACCCGCCGCGAAGGCTTCGGACCATGGCAACGTCGACCGAAGGCATCGTGTATGTTTCGACTTGCGTCTTCGATGTATATGGTGTGGTTGATTCCGGATATAGACGAGTATAAATAAGGTTGGTAGAACGTTTAGATCCAAAATGTCGTCTTTGGCGAACGGTTGTCTAAGTCATGCTCCAATTGGCGAGTCTCGGAAGCGAAATTGGCAGCACAAAGGCGGCTCGTCTTTTTGATATCGGATTCAATGCGCTATTCGATGGGATAATGCAAATGATATGCTATGCTCTCGCAAGTCGAATAAAATAATGCGAAATGTTCTGAAGTATAAAAAATCGTCGCGAATCTAAACAGATAGGCGATGTGTAATTCCGCAAACCACCGCCGGTGCCGCAGAATTGCAGAATCGAAACGTGTTTGGTCAAAAACCAACAAAGAATGGCGTCGCACGTTGCGTACTTTGATACAGCAGCAATATCAACGTGATGTTACCCCTGGCAAAAAATCGCTAGAGGCGTCGTAGCACAGAGGAACAAGTCTCTCTCCGCAAACAAGGATCGTAAAAAGGTGGCCGAAACCGCCCAAAAAATGAAGGATTGGCTACAAAGGCCCGCGCGTAAATGGCGAAACTCGAGATCGAGTGAGAGAAGGGCTGTGCAACCAAAAACGTTGCTTCGTCGAGACGGAGAGGCCAGGCAGTCCTATCCAACAGAAACGCTGACGAAAAGCTCGGGTCGACTTAGCGCGCGCGCACTCGGTTTTGCGTCGTATGCTGGTACCGTCAAGGTGTCGTTTCTTCTTCAATCTTGCTTTCCCAGTAACAGTTGAAATGAGGGGCGGAAACAGAAAAAAATCAGTTCCTAAAAAAGAATGAACGTGGCCTGTTGGTGCAGGGGGCCGAGAAGCAGAAAAAGAATGAAGCCTGGGAAGAGGCAGTTGAAGATGTTTGGGGGAGGGAAAAGGAAGGGCCTGGATCGAAGGAAAAAGAGATCCAACAAGAAGGTTTTGCAAAGGCAGAAAGAGCAGGGGAGAGGAAAAAGAAAATTAATCTGGAGTGAGGCCACGGGCATCGTGCCGCAAGTCCGGCATGGGAAGGGGCACCTGTCGCTCCAGCCGTTTATCACGCATATGCAATGCAGGGAGCTGGGAACGTGCCTTGCAGGGGCGCCGCCGGGGTACCGGTACCTGTCAGGCGGGTTAGGGGTGCCAGCGGCGCCCCGTACTGGATACTTTGGGGCTCCGATTCTGCTGGAGGCAATCTCTTACAGGCACTCGACGGACAGGGACCGGCCCTGACAGGCTGTCCAGGCGGTGCAGGCACTAACGGGCAGAGGTACAGGTACTCGCCGCCCCAGCACGCTATTCCATTGCTGGCGTCTTGCTCAGGTACCCGGCCGGAAGCTCTCGTAATCTCTACCCGTGCCCGTGCTTCAGCCCGCTATCCCACTTGATACAATACACCTAGACAACGAAAAAAAAAAAGCCAAAGGTCCACCGTCATCACGTAAAATAAGCATCGGCAAAGGCAAAAAAAGGGACGCAAATCATCAACGTCATCCGTCGCCAAAAATAAGAGAGCGATAAGATACATAAGATCAAATTGGCTCTGGATTCTCCCCCCTTGTCTCATCGAAATCTGGCTTGCGCCAAGAACGGTAATTGGGACAAGAGGATCCCAATTCGCAATGGGGGCCGCTAGCATCAAACGTCGTGGGGATTGACAGTCAGACCCTCTTTTTCCTTTTTCCTTTTTTTTTCTTTTCTTTCTATTACAGTACTATGTACTTTCCTTTCCTATTCTTGCTCTTTGTTCTGATTGTTATTTGCTTTTCTTTTCTTTTCGTTCCTTTTCTCATCCTCCTCCCCTTTGTTCCACTGCAGCTCACCATTTCCCTCAGCTCACCATTTCCCTCAGCTCAGGCTCCCTGGGCTCTCAGCTCTCAGCCTCCAGCCCTTAGCTTTTCACGGCCCGTCGACCCGGCCTATTCTTGAGCACGCACGCCCCATAACCAACCTATTACAATGCTGTCTTCAGGGTCTCGGCCGGGCAGGAAAAAGGAAATAAAGACAAGAGAGAGAAAAAAAAAGCCACAGTCCTCCCCTGCAGCGTTTCACCGGCACAAGAATAGGCTGCCAGTGCCACCCAATACTGCCAGGTGGATGCAGTTGCCTAGAGCTAGTATTGAAATTTGTAATAAGCGTAAACGATGCCGAGCATGCTGGAGACATTCACTACAGTGCCTCCACACCCACATGTCGAGCGCGAGATGATCATTATGGGAGACTTGTGAATAATGAACATGCATGCGGCATCTGCGGAGCGTCATGTCTCAAGACATCTGATAGGCCTTCGACTGGCACGCAATCCCCGCTGCCGTGCAGGAGAGAGGCCTCCGAGCACTGCCGGGCTTGGCTGCATTGTTGTGACATGTAGACACTGTGAGGAGTGCTCTGGAGAACATCACAATCTCGTCTGTTCAAGATCTTCAAGCAGTCAAGTCACGGCAGTTGTGGTCATTTGGAGGCGTGGTGCGGAACATTCGTATTAAAACTTGACTATCAGATGTGAATGAAATGTACCAGGCCGAAAAAAAATAAGAAAAGAAAGAAAAATACATATACTAGTCTTGGCTCAGCCATTTCAGCCGCATCAAGAAATAGTAGTTCAACGCCACGTCGCATAAGGCATTCGTCAAGGCATATCCTATTCCATCAAGGATCATGGCCTCTCTCATCCCGTTAAAACAGAAAAGCAAAGTTGGATATCAGTCTCCCGCCATCCCCTAGTCCCTACCGAAACGCCGGACTAATCCATTCCATTTGTATCCCTCCCTTTTTTTTCTTCTTTGTGTTTCTTTGTTTCCTTTTTCTTTATGTGTGAAAGAGTCAACTTCCCGCCCGTGCTTGGTTCACGCCTCTTTACTTCCCTGGGGGAGGTCCCGCGGGAGGCTGGTAATGACCATCGGGCTGGTATGCGTGCTGAGGCTGCTGAACACCGTACTGGGGCTGGCCTGTCATGTATCCATCATTGGCATTGAAGGTGGTGCCTGTTGTCTGGTTGGGCACGGGGCCCTGGCCATAAGGCGGAGGGCTAGTATATCCGTATCCTTCGCCATAGGGAGGCTGCTGCTGGCTGTAACCTCCCTGGTTGTATCCAGACTGGTAGTTGTTCATCTCATAGGCGTTGTTGTTGCTGTTGTACTTGTTGCTTCCGGAGGGACGGCCTGCTGGGGCCGCTGGAGGGCCACTGAACCAGCCGGTCCCGTACATGGGCTGGGCGCCACGTCTGCGGTTTCGTCTGGAGATGCACCTGTGGCGACGGCGATTAGTACGAGGTATGCGGAAATGGGGTGCGATGCTAGCAATAAAAACCAGAAGAAGAAAAGAAGAAGTAGAAGATGATGATGAAAGCAAGGGAAGAGGAAACGACTTACAAGCAGAAGAACAAGAGAACCAGAGCGCAAATGATGGCGATGCCCGCGAGCACCCATCTGCCCCAAAAGTACCAGCCACTCTTGCGCCGACATATGATTCCATCAAAGTAATACCCATATCCACACCCGTCATCTCGAGCGAAGAGGTCCATCGTCGGAGCCATGTCTGCAGAATGGAGAAAGAAGCAGAGGTCGATTTGCTTGCCGATGGGCTATGGAGCAGAAAGGTGATGCGAAAAGGAAGAAGAAGAAAAAAGGAGGAGAAATAAAAAAACAAGGTTACGTGTAATGAGTGGTTAGGTTTCGAGGGATGCAGAGTTTAAAATTCGTTGGCTTGGCCGTGTCTTACTTGGCGTGGGCAACAAAGCTGTGACTTGGCTTGTATGACGTTTGAATCCCTGTGAATCAGAAGCCGGCGCCGTTCCCCTCTTTTTATTTTAGATCGAAACGCAGTGACAACAGGTTGTAAGTAGTACAAGTACAAGGTCGTAAGCAGTCTATTATATATGCCAAATGGGCGGGCGAGATAAGAAAGGGAAAGAAAACCCGTCGCATTATATACGAAAGCCCTGCGCACATTTATCGCATTAGAATAAGTCGGTCTTGTCGGCCTTTGGATTCCTCCAGTAGCTCAACAGGGCCAGCAGTGCCACCGCACCAACCCGCCACTCTTGGAGTGATCACTGGGACAGGCGAGTTACAGCACTGCCCGCCGCATTGATGCCAGACCCTCTTGCCTCTTAGCGTGCTTATCCTGAGGTTGTCTTTGTCGCAGCGTGACAGTGATGGCCCATGTCCTGATGATTACAACCCGGCTGTACTGTATTGTTTTTTTTTTTCTTCTTCGCTGAATCAGGCATGTGCCGAAGCGAGCTTTGCCAAAGTACAGGTAAAGGTACAGCCGTGATTTGGACGGCAGAGAAGGAAAAAAGCACACCACCAGCACACCAGCCACAGCGCCCAAGTGCTTCGCAACACGAGCCGAGCTAAACAGAACAAAAAGCATCCGATCAAAAACGCAAACCCCGAAACATGCAACTCCAAAATTCAATTCCAAACCACCACGGCATCCGGCAACAAAGGCTCCGACGTGGCTAGATTTTGGCAGCGCACTATTTTCTATTTCCCACCTCGGCACTCCACTAGCTTGTCAAACCGTTGATAAGGCAATAAGGTTGAAGCTCCGGCCTCTATCGCTTCTTCACTGCTCTCGAACTTTTCTGCTCCGACTCCGTGTGGGGTGGCTGTGCAGCTCCGCTTTCTCTGTATCACATCCAATCACCGCTTGCGGAACAGCTTTCCCCAGTCCGATACAGTGGGCCAGGCTCCAGCACTTTGAGTGGCGCTGTTCGAAAAGCGCAAATCGCATGGAATACCCGCAAAGGGAACACGACCAAGAATCCTCCAGCCAAGGGCCCTGTTCTAGAAGAAACTGAGGATGCGGATTCCATCTGACGTCGGAAGCTAAGCCCTGCATGCAATGACAAATATTGCAGTGTCGCCCTACTCTGCTCTGCCCTGCTCTGCCTTGTTCTCCTCCGTCTTTGCTCCGTCTTTGCGCCGTCTTATCCAGAGCTCCCAGGCACTGCTGCAGTGAATTCCGCTCCCGCTCCTCTCTGGCAGCTTTTTCGTTTAGCAAACGAGGCTGCTCCATAAAACCACCGCCAGCCGGAACCTTAAACCGTGCGACCGATCGATGACGCATTGCGAATCCGGGCGCAAGTCCTGGGCCTGCGCCAAGTAGCCCTTCCCGGCTATGCCCGTATACGCCTCTGCTCTAATACTCTACGCTCTGCTCTGCTCTCAGCTCAGATCAGTGTCATCTTTTGGCTCGGTTCCCTTTCCCTTTACCGAGGAGACTTGCCCAAGCACTTGTAGTTGCTATGAATTAACTAGCACAAGGCCAAGGCCGCTAGGCACAAGAAAAGGCGTATTCCTCCCAAGCTATCAACGCCAAGCCGATATAAATACATGCACCCGGTTCAAGGCGCAACCTCCCGTTATCATCATGTTCAGCTCCCAGCCTTCATCATCTGACTATTCCATTCTGCTCTATCTCGGATCATGCCCTATTCTTACAGTAATTATTGGAATCAGAATACACCAAGCCCTATTTCTGTAAAAGTGCCCTGTCCTGCCGAAAGAGGGTCCCTTTTCTTCCTGCCATAACCGAAATGGGAAGTATTATTCGATTGTTTGACGGCCTCACTTCGTCTTTTTTTTTTTTTTCTCTTTCACTTTCTTTCTTTCTTTTCCATCGGATTTCCGGGACAGGGGTTAAGCCAAACCTCTGCCAGAAAACAAAAGGGCATCGTTTCGAGTATACGCAGCCATCACTGCGTCTGTGCCGATACCGAATCATCTGATGCCGCAACACCCGTCCGGATTTTTCGGCTTGCAAGACTATCCGATTAATCAATCGACGCGGGGTGCTTGTGGTTCTGATGAGTCAATAATACCCACTTCTGTCATTCAATCTGCATCCACGATATTATTTGTTGACCAAATGCTAGAGATGGCACGCCGTTGTATTAGTTGTTTTATATCGTACAGGAGCTCCAAATGTGCTCACTTCACACCCCAGGCGAGAAGAGCTACCAATCAGAGAATCATTCCGTCATTCTCCCAAGAAAAGAAACAAAAAGGAAAAAAGTAAAGAATATAAAAACTAATAGTCGGCTTTGCGCGCGATCAGGACAAACAAAGACGCCTTTTTCTCCCAAGACTCCGTGCTCGATTCCGCTTGTGTAAAGGAGAGTGGCTGTAAGGGGAACCGCCCTTTTGCCGTGTACTCAAAAAACCCAAGAATATCATCCAAAAATACAAAAAAGGAGGGTATAAGAAATAAAAACCCGTCTTCCAAAGTCAACCAACCCCCAGTTCTCCACTGGAGACAAATCTGATTTGCTCGTTCATCGTTGAGAATAACGTATAATTTTAGGCCGTAGGTCGTTTGGCGTCAGGAAAGATGTGTCATTATTTGCCTTTGCCGCCTTGTTTTTCTCGTATGCGAAAAGGGCCTTGGAAAGAGTCCACATGGAAACCCAAGAACCCTTGGTTTGGCTGCAGTCGGCTTTTATGGTTTGCGCTATGCTTTGTGCGCAAACCAAAATAAGGCACAGAAAGGAAAGCGCCGAAAGCATGGTACCTTATACCTTTGGGAAGGAATATCGGTTTCGTCGCATCTCTTCGGCCTTCTTCATGTTGAGCTCGGCGAATTGCTGGGCCTGTTGTCTTTGAGCCAAAGCGTTAATCTTCTCGCGCGCCCTGATGAGGCTGCTGTTGTCCTGCTGCTTGAGCTTGGCGCGAATATCGTACAGGGCCATGAGCGTATTGGCTCGTTCGAGATCGTCATCGTACTAAAGAAAGAGCAAGTCTCTGTTAGCTTTACTTTACAAGTAGCTTGAGTGAAAGCTCTCGTTGTAGCTTTCTCTCTCTTCTGACTTTCAAACAAAAGGTAGCGCGTCTTACATTGGACGGTTGGGGGGTGCCGGGAGTGGAATTGGCGGCAGATCCCGATTTGGGCGAGCTGATGAGAATACGGCGCCCCATCTTGTCAAACTTGGGTTGCATAGCAGCCTCGGAAGACCATGCGCGCCTCAGGCCAGTCGATGGCCTCTCCTTCTGCTGGGAGGATGCATGGGTGTCGTGATTGATGTGTTCGGTCGGGAAGGTGGGGATATTGGCCGTGACAATGGCGGCAGCAGCCTCAGGTTCCTATCGTTTGTACAACAACAGTCAGAATAAAATTAAGATTCTCTTGCGGGCGATGTTGCGGTGGACGCCGGGGATGGGGGGCAACTAATGGTAAGACATACAGCTGCGCCGAGATTGCTCAAGTCGGCGAGGACCTGGGACAGCTGCAGGCTCTCCATTTCGATATCTGTTCCCTCTCGTGCGTTCTATAATTCTGTTCGGTCTCGGAGCGAGGGATCTAGTATGGAGCGCTGCGGTCGGCGGGTTTGGATATTGAGGTTCCTCCTAGCAGGCGCATAAACGGGCAGGATCGCGTGTGCGGCCGGGAGCAGCTGGAAAGTTTAAAAATCGAGCGAGGACGAGGTGCAAAAATCTGCGACCGGACGGAAGCCAATAGGAGCGGTGTTGGTGAGGAGGGAAGTCGAGTCGCAGCGACAGAGCAGGTGGAAGAGCGAGAAGGAGAAGGAGAAAGATGAGGATGAGGATGAGGGAGAATCAAAGATCCAGGAAGAGGAGAAGAAGCCAGGCTGGATGAATGGCCGAAAAAAGTCGAGACAAGTGCTGAAAACAGGAAGCCTGGAGCGGGGATCCGGCAGCTTGCCACCGAATCCATCAAAACTCTGCGCAAAAACTGGAGGTTCCCTGCGTGTTTTTGCGGGGGCTCCAGGGCTCCTAGTCTTCTAGTAGTCTCCCCCAGCGCTGTTGCAGCCCGCTAGGCCCGCTCAGCTCCCCTGCCATTTCTCGGCTCCACAAATCCCGCGTGGGCATTTTCCGTATTCAAAGTTTCAACGAGATCAGATGGAAACACGGAACATCAAATCGTCCATATTTTTTAGTTCCGCTCTTATCAGCAATCGAATCGAATCGCTCAGGTACCTCCAATCGCTGGACCACACCGTTCTGCAGCTTTTCCGTGCTTCCCTTCCATAGGCCCGATCTCTGCAGCTGCTGTCCTCTGGATTGGTAGCATCGGATTGCTATTAGCTCCAGCTTACGGGAGAAGCGCGCATGGATCAACCGGCAGGGAGCTTGGACAGCAACGGGATACCTGCCTGGTACTTGTGCCTGCACCGTACTTGTTACTGCGCGCCTCGTAATACTTGTCAACGGCAGTATAAAGCCCGACCGATAGCGGCAATCGCCTTGCCTCGCTCTGACAGAATGACGGGGAAAGGCTCAGGGGGCCTTGCATGTACGGGCATGACGGGGTAATCACTGCTTTGATAGGTACCTGCACTTGCAGCGTGATGCTGATGGCCGTAGCAATACCTGAGCACGAGACCACCTGCCTGGACAGAATACGAACCGCTACAGCATTACAGAGTACAGACAGTTGAAGACAGCAGCTGTCATGATACGAGTAACCGCTATGCAAACCTCAGCTGATAAAACTGCTGCGTATCTGCATCAACATGGCCCAACCTGTTTTGCGCGCGCATGTTCTTATTTCTTCCGGTTTCCCATGGAAATCCATCCCATCCACCCGGGCGCTACAACTGATGGCCGACGCGGAGTAAGTAGCTTCCCAGTACTGCCACTACCAGGCTGGTACAAGTGCGCCGTCCATTTATCCGGTTTCCAGTCAACAAACAGCATTTGCGCTTCCCCTCACGAACCAAGATATGCTTGCATCTTGCATTAGTACATTCTTTTGCATAAACAGGTTCTTCATTTTCATTCACTGCATCCGATTTGCTTGATTGGTGCCGAATCGGATGCCCTGTGCTGGCTGACATCAGCGTAAGAGACGCCACAGCTTAGTACATGCAGTATACGACGAGACACCGACTTGGAAGAGAGCATAAAGCCCCTT